ACGCTGGCCGATCGCAATGAATGAGGGCGGCGTGTAAGGAGCTGGAGTTTTTCGTTCGCTTGCAGACAAAGGCTGGGTACCAAGAGAAAAATTGAATTACCGCGACACAAGTGGGTGAATTCAATCTTTGTCCGTCTGTAACACAATGTAGTCAAAGAAATCGAACAGTGTGCCTGCGGTCTACGTTGGAATATATTAAATAGAAAAACTGAAAGATATCGCTAACAAAACTCACATCGCCAACATTTTCATTGTCGTATGGCATCGATCTTCCCTCCAAGCTTCCCTCCAACTGCTACCGCTAGGCAACACCACTCCAAAACACCAAGCCAAGATGGTGGCCAGCATCGATTCTGCTAAAGTTCGGGAGCTCGAAAATGAGCTGAACGGTATTCGGAGTGCATTCAAACAATACATTAATAATACGAGGGAAACAGAGACGGGGCTTGATCAAGAGTTGGGGAATATGAGTAAGAATCAATCATGCATGAAACTTGTAAATAACTGGCCCAATCATCAATCTCAAAATTTATTTCATTCTTGTAGACAACAAACTCGTAAATACAGCAAATGCAAATGTTGACTTGGCGAATCGACTTGAAACAATGGCACCATTGATTAGTAGTCTGGAGAACTCTCTGGGGGAAAGTAAGAAACAGCTTCTAGAAGAGTCGCGTCTGCGAAGAGAAATGGAGGCAAAATTGAAGGCTGTTGATGGCAAACATTTTGCATTTCGACAAGAATTTGATTCTTTGCGGGAGGAGAATTCTACACTGCGCGAAGAACTTGACGGGAACCGAAGTCAATGGGAAGAGTTTCGTTCCATAGTAGGCTCCAACCGAGAAATAAGGACGAGCCGACTGGGAGACAGATCAGTTGTTACAGATGATGCTAGGCGCTCGGATTGTGATACAATATCAGCAGCCAATCTGACAAAGGGTAGTAGCATTCCTCTGGATGACACGTATTTAGAAGTGCTGGATGAACTGGAGACCGTGACGGAACAATTGATATCAACGCAACAAAAGCTCTGGATTACAGAAGATAAATTGGGAATTGCCACAGCACGTATTGAAGATATGGAAGATCAAGAGCAAAGGCATTTAAATACCGAAAAGAAACTGCTTGCAGCCGAGGCTAGATTGCGAGAACTTGAAGGAAACCAAGGTAGACTCAGACTCGCAGAAGCTCGGATGCTTCAACTCGAAAACCAAATGGTATCGGACGAAACTCTTCATGATAGGGTCCTGGAGTTGGAGAAGGAGCTTGTGGCAGCGAATAACCATATTCAGTACTCGAACGAGCTGAATGGGACAAGAATCGAAGAGTGCAAAACAAATGCCAGGGCTGTCAACCACGAGCTTAAAGTCAAGATAGAAGAAAATGAGATGCTGTTGGAACAAGTATCGCACTTACAACAGCATATTGCTGGTGAAGCTGCAAGATTCGAAGCGACAAAAATGATGGAACCTCCCGGTAGCCAAGACCAGGACCACGAAGTGGAAGCCATGCGTAGTAAAATTGACAAGTTGTCCCAGGAAAACAGTGCGTTAAAGGAAATCATCATTCAACTAGAAAAAGGCCCTGGAACACCATCTATGCCGAATGGTGGCGGCTTCGCTGAACTCAAGGATGAGATTGAGAATTTGCATTTCGAATTGACTGCAACAAAAGACAAGCATCGATTGACTCTGCTGGAAAATGATGCTGCCTGGCGCCGAAAGCTAGAGAAAGCTCGTGGAGGTACCAGGTCAGAGATGCAGGCAAAACAAATGACTTCCGAAGGGAAAGACAAAATCGTCGAAGGCCTACAGGAACAAATCAAAATTTTGTGTAAAGAGCGGGATCTGCTGGAAGGAAAGGCTATTGATTTGGAGAACGAGAATTTCGAAAAAGACCATCATATCCAGGATATTGAAGGCCGACTTCTCGATCTTCAGAAAGAAAAGTCCAGGCTGGAACAGAGTATACGGTCTTTGAAAAGTACCGGACAAGCTTCATCGGCTATCATTGAAGAATTGAAGGCTGAACAGGGCGTGCTTGAGGCTGGACTGAAAGCGATGGAGCCATTGGTGAACGATTGTGGAGAGAATGATACCGATACAGTGTCGGAGCTAGACTTGATCGAGCGTGTGAGGAAATTGTGTAGGTCCCTAAAAAATTCAAATCAGAAGCCACAAGACGTGGACATGAAACAAATCGAGGAGCTACGAGAGGAGCTTGATAGAGTGACTGAGGAACTAGCAGCTTCCAAAGCATCACAAAAGAGGCTGAAGAGAGCGCTTAATCTTCGAGGGGATCAAGAAGACGAAATAGATGGCATTCGGTCACAATTTCGACTGACAAAAAGCGGCCAATTGCAACAGAGAAACCCATATGCACGAGATCCAGAACCTCACGATGAAGCCCCTCCGGGTGGTTGTCTGAGATGGATGCCGAACACAAACAGTTTGAATATACATTCACCTTCTCACTGCAGAAGTGATCCACCAACAAGAGACTCTCAGCCGCATGGCGATTCTTCGGATTTACGATGGCTGCTCCAACGATTGGAGGCCGTTGATAGAGAAAATCGAATATTGAGAAGTAGCGGTGGTGATGAGAAGTCAGTCAAGTTTCTGGATGGGGGGACAAGCTTGACTTCCAGTCGAGATGCAGAGCTTCGAAAGGAATCAATTCGTCGCATGGAAAATTACTTGGAAAATGAGAAGTCAGGCATTACCAGGGATGATGTGGAGTCAGATATTTTGCTCAAGCTAACTGCAGAAAGGAAAGATCTCCAAGACCAAATTGTGGAATTGAAGCAAGCACTATCGACCTCTGAGCTTTCAAAGAATGAAAGCGGAGAAGAGCTCAAAGCCTCCCAAGGCGAGATATCACGACTCCGAAATTCGATTTTGAGCTTGAAAGAGGCCATCTCGAAGTTGAGAAACGAATACAACAACATTCTCGAAGAAGCAGAAGAGAGGGAACAGCAAAATAGATCTGAAATTGCCGGATTTGCAACCCAATTCAATGAGCTTGTGGAATCAAACGAAGAACTCGAAGAATCAAACAATGCAAAGGTCAAACAAATCCAGACTCTGACGCAAGAAATAGCATTGGCGCAAGATTCCATTCACACTGCGAACGAAAAGTATGAAGATGCTGCCACAGAGCTGGAATCTGCGAAAAAAATGGTCGATGAAGTTCGAGAAACTGCTGAGCAGAAAGGTAGAGAAGTTGCTACAGCAGAACTACGTGCTGAAATGAGAGAAGAACGAGAAAAAGAACGACTAGAGATAAAAGCTCAGTTGGAGGAAGCGCATCGAGAAAACATCAGACTAAGAAAAGTGATGAAAGCACATGGTGAGAAGTCATTCAAATCACTACAGACTTTCAAAATGAAACTCGAGGACGCCGTGGCAAAATCTGAGCGTTGGCAACAGGCAAGCGAGAAAGCACATATGGAAATGAATCGAATGATGGAAGAAGAGAAGCGTCTGAAAATGGACTTGGAAGCACTGACGAATGAACTCCTTGCCACGCGAGATGAGCTTGACTTTGCAAACTCATCGTTGACAAGACGTCGGACAGATCGGGTGAAACTAAAACGTTCCAAATCTCTCGGACTTCTTTCAACCGGAACCGACGAGTACAAATTGTACAAAGACCTTCACCAAAAGATCCAACAAGTGATTGCAAAAGTAGCTGATGTGGATAGCGATTCAATGATGCATTCTCGAAGGACAGAGGGGCTTCATCTCAAGGCTCAACTGACGGATATTGATATGTCGATTAACAAGATCTTCAGGGAGAACATCATGCTCGAAGAGGAACTAGACTACCTCAACAGCACGATTGATGAAACTCGGGAAGCCGCCGCGAAGAAAGGTAGAAGGGAAGCCACACGGGAAGCATGGTCAGAGATCAGGGAGCGACAAGAGAATGATATCAGAGATTTCAAGGATCAGTTCTCATCTCTTGTTGAAGAGAATCGGTACCTCGAAACACAACTGCGAAAATACGAAACAGAAAGAGCCGATTCCGATGACTCGACCAGTGTAATGGAGTTAGGGAATGCAGACCTTTGGAAGGAAGTCGAATTGTCGAATCTAGAGGCCAAAAAACTTTCGCAAGATTGTCTTAGGCTGCGATTGGCAATGGAATCAATGAAGGACGAACACGAACAAGTCCTGGACGAGTTGAAGATGCAGATGAGGGGAGAATCCGAGGGTATTATCTTGAGACTCAAAAGCGAAGTTCGAGAACTACGATCCGAGATTTCTGAAATGCAGCAGATTACAGATGAGCCGAGGCGCAAAGAGAAAGAGTATGACCGTGAGATCAAACGTCTTGTCCATGTACTATCCAATTCTCAAAAGACGCTTGACAAGGTAAATGAAGAAAGGAACAAAATGGCAGAGGCAATGAAAGTCACGAAGTCGTCTTCAGCACAAGTGATTGAGAAACTTAGATTCAAGCTGCTATCTTCGTCCCAAGAGATAGCCGAGCTGAGCTCGAAAGTGTCAGACTTGACTCTTACAATAGACGAACAAAAGAAGGACCTTCTACATTCCCAACAGCAGGAAAATCAAAACGACCAAGAGGGTGAAAGACAAGAGGTTCATAACAACCATATCAATTCCAGCTCTCTCCACGAATATACCAACGAGCTCGAAGCCACTCTAAAGTTGTCACGGGATGAAGTGGTCCGATCGAAAGACGAACTTCTTCGATTGAAGAAAAGATTGAAATGTTTGCAGAAGGAGGCCAAGGAGCATTTGACCGCTCTCAACATCGTAAAGACAGAACTTGCAAAGGAAAGACTGAATAGGGATCAGACGATAAAGGTCCTCGAAGCTATCAACAGCCGCTTGAATTCGGTGGAGGGAATGACACCGGGACATGAGCTCGGAAGGACTACAGAAACTACACAAATGGCCGAACGACTGGAATGGAGAGTTGAGAAATTGATATCCATAATGAATGATGCCAAATTAGAAAAGCAAGACCGAATGAAGCTTCAGGTACACGTCGAAACAAGCGAAATGAAGTTCACCCAAGCAAAGAAAGAAGCATCGAGGCTGGAACAGGAGGTATCGCGGCTAATCACTGAGCTGAATACTACCAAGAACAAGCACTCCAAAGCCAATACAAAAGATGACTTTCTGGCACTAGATAAACGACCCAGACCAGAGGTTGCAACAGCGAAAAACAAGCATCATCAGCAGCTATATAAGGATACTTCCACCACCAAGCTCCCTTTGATGAATCAAGCATTGAATCGGAGACCAAAACTTCGAACTGACCCAGAACCCAGAGACTCAATGGATAGTGATATCATATCGGAGGTCGCATCCATGAAGTCGACAGAGTCTACCGATTATATGGCCGGACTCAGTTCCGAATTGATTAGGACCACGGCGGCCTCCTCAGGTGAACCGGCGTCGCCTCAAAAGCGATACGAAACTGTTGACATTCGATCGGAAGCAGACTGCGCCATCATTGATGTGGAAAGGTTTCAAGTTGAAAAAAGGCATGACCCTCCAAGCCAAAGTGATCTGCGGATGGATAATGCTATCTATCATGTGTGAGAACAGAAATTTTTAAATTGTGAGGGTCTTTTTATGTGCATCGGTGAAAAACTAGTCCCATTTAATGACGTAAGACTAAAATTTGATTGATTCATATGACTCCCTTTTGCATGACCAAAATTTCAAAATAAATGACCGAATTGATGTTATCTTTTACTTGGATTTCGCATTGTGCGTGCTTGGCGTCCGTCCTTGCGTGCGATTTCCATTGCTTCCGTATGACGTTTTACTGGCAGGCTCGAGTACTACCACAACGTCGTAGAAGCTTTCGGTGTGGCATTTTGCTTTCGAGAAAAGTCTTTTGCTCAACGTATGTATGACATCCTCATTGTTTTTGCCTCTATTAGTCAAAAGTCATCCAATCGTCTTATATTGGATACTTGGTGAAGACCCAAACTTTCTCGAAGAGCCCCGAACGTAAATCGGAGTGAAATTGTTCAGATTGATCGTTGTTGGATTGATTCTCTTCTGATAAACAACAAGCAACATGCCAGCCCATATGCCTCCAACAATGGCGGAGCGTGAAGCCGAGCTTGCCGCTTTGCAATCCGCCTTCGATGAATACATTGCCTCTTCCAGAGAGTTGGAAGAAGAACTCGATGCTGAGCTTGCGAAAATGCGTAAGTTTCAAGACTAGTCGTTCGATTTGAAATTCAAGATTTGTCCGAGTTGAAATTCAAAGTGGCAAAATATTGGCATTTTTGGATATAACCGTTTTGAATTAAATGCATGCTGAGGATGATTGGGAGACTTGAAGAAACGTGACAAACTGAAATCCATTTTCTCTCATTCATTTTTCACTTTCTACAATACAGAGGAAAAGCTTGCTGATTCATCTGCCGCCAACGCAGCTCTATCTGCGCAACTTGAAAACATTGCCCCTCAATTGGCTGCCCTTGAAAAGGCTCTATCAGAAAGTCGAAACAAGCTCAAGGAAGAGCAAAAGCTTCGACGTCAAGCCGAGCAAGCCCAAGATGAGCTTGAGGCCAAATTCCGCGAGGCTGAAGGTTCCTTGTTGGCAGTTCGCGAGGAATGCGATGCTGTCCACGAGGAATTGGCTTTCAAGGAAAGTGAGCTCGAGGAAACCAGACTCGAGCTTGAAATTGAAAAGGAGAAGCACCGTGTTGAAATGGAAGATGCCATGGAGAACGCAGGCTCCGGCGGCGGTGGTGGTGATGAAGGCGACAAGGATGAAGCCAAGGAAGAACCAGATGAAGATGGTGACCTCTTCCCAACTGTCGATGACGCTTATGTTAAGAAGCTCGAAGACGAGCTTGAACTTGTCACCGAACAGCTTATCGAAACCGAAGCTAGATTGTCTCAAACCGAGGAGAAGCTGTCTGAAGCGGAGGAAAAGACCAAGGCTGCTGAAGAAACCGGCCCATCCGAAACCAGTGAAGAGGATAAGAATACCATGAAGTCTTTGCAAGAAGAACTTGATGCAAAGTCCGAGTCCGAGACCAAGCTTCGTGAGGAACTTGAGCTCACCAAGGAGGAACTTTCCTTGACACAAGAAGAGCTCAAGGCTGTTGAATTCGATGCCACTGAAGTTTCTGGTAAACTTGACACAATGCGTGCTGAACACCGTGAGGAAGTCAACAAGCTAAAGAATCTATTGAATGACCAAGAGATTGAAGCTAAGGTCCAACAATCCGGAGGTGATACAGAGACGTTCGAAAAGGCCCTTGCCGCTGCTACCAAGGAAACTGTCACTTACAAGGACGAAGTTGATAACTTGAACACCGCCCTTGCCAACGCCAAGGCTGACCACGCCGCCGTTGTGAACGAACTTGAGGAAGTCCAACAACGCTTCGACGAAGTTCGTACAGAGGCAGAGAAACGTGGAAAGGAAGCCGCTGGCGCTGAAATCAGAGCCGAACTCAAGGCCGAGCGAGAGGCAGAGGAAGCTAAGTTCAAGGAACAATTGAAAAAGATCCAAGAGGAGAACGCTGCACTTCAACAGAAGGTCAATGACGCTGAGATTGCCTTGGCCACCGCTAAGGACGGACAAAGCAAGGGTGAAGCCGGGGCTGAAGAATCGAGTGAGCTTGTCAAGCAATTGCAAGCTCAACTCGCAGCAGCTAAGGAGAATCTCGCTAAGAAGGAGACCGAAATGTCTGCTTCTGTCACCGAGATGGAAGGAAAGGTCGGCTCTGCCGAAGAAAAGGTCGGCAAGCTCGAAAGTGAGCTTTCGGAGACCAAGGGCAAGCTTGCTGAAGCTGAGGCCAACCTCATTGTCATTCGCCGTGAAAAGGAGATCGCGGAAGCCAAGGATGTCCAAAAGGCGAACTTGCGCAAGAAGAATGAAGGTGATGGCACTGCTAAATACCGCAGTGAACTCATCGATATGGACGAAGTTCAAAAGATCACTAGAAAACGCCGATACCGATCTAACTCTCCCAACAATATCAAGCGTTTGGAAATCAAGGTTGAGGATGAACAAAAGAAGTACAAGGAACTTGAGGTCGAACACGATAAACTTAAGGAGCAAAAGAGAATTGGTGACGCTCACATTAACAGACTTGAAGGAGACATCAAGGTTCTTCAAAAGCAACTATACCAATCTGGGGACATGGGTACGAAGACTGATATGTCTCGTCTAAGTTCCCTCGCCAGCGGAAGTGCTGGCGGTGGTGACATTCTTTCCGAGGACAAGTCGAAGGTCCAAGAAGTCATTGAGAGCGGAGATGTTGAGGGTATGAAGAAGGAGCTTCTTTATCTTGACAAAAAGTGCGCCTCCCAGCGTGACTACAATAACCAATTGCTATCTAAGATGCTTGCCTTGCAAGGAAACATCCAAGTGTTCTGCCGTATCCGTCCCATGAGCATCAGGGAAATCCAAGCGGGATACAAGACTGTCGTCGAATCTCTTAGTGAGAGTGAACTTGGATGCTTCGACTCCAGAACCCAAGCATGGAAGAGTTTCGCCTTTGATCGTGTCTGGGGACCTGATCAATCTCAACAAAATATCTTCCAAGATGTCGAACCTATTGCACTTTCTGTTGTTGATGGTTTCAACGCCTGTATCTTTGCCTACGGACAAACGTAAGTTGCTTTGCAAATTTTGATTCGAAAATTATTCATATTATTCTAACCCTTCCTCGCAGTGGATCCGGTAAGACATTTACGATGGAGGGTGCTGAAGAGAACAACCAAAGAGGTATCAGTTACCGTACCATCCAAAAGGTCTTCCACTTGTTGTCTTTGAAGAAACAACAAGAAGCCGCCGCTGCTATCTTGATGAAGACTACTGAAGAGCGCACCGAAGAACCTGATGAATTTGTATTTGAAATCAACGTTGGTATGCTTGAAATTTACAACGACGAGTGTTACGATCTTCTCGGAGCAGGAGGTTCTACTCTTGCCGAAAAGAAGGCTGAAGCGCAAAAGGCTGGAGGAAAGGCATCTCTTGATATCCGTCGCAACCAAGACGGCCGCATTGAAGTTCCCAACCTCACTAAGGAAACAGTCCATACCATCCAAGACGTTATTGACTTGTTGAAGAGAGGCAACAAGCATCGTGCCGTTGCTGCCACAAGTCTCAACTCTCAATCTAGTCGATCGCACATGGTGTTGTGGGTCGATGTCAAGGCTGGAATGAAGAGTGAACCAGGAAACAATGGAACTCTTTTCCTCGTCGATCTTGCCGGATCCGAACGTGTCAAGAAGTCTGAGGTTGGTGGTGATAACCTCAAGGAGGCCAGTCACATTAACAAGAGTCTTTCTGCACTTGGAAACGTGATGGAAGCCCTAGATCGTAAGGCAGCCCACGTTCCATACCGTGACAGTAAGCTCACATTCCTCCTTCAAGACTCCCTTGGTGGAAACTCTAGAACAATGATGGTTGTCGCCGTCACCCCCGTTGACTATGCATACGACGAGTCTATCCATGCTCTTCAATTCGCCACCCGTGTCCGCCGTATCAATATCGGTGCTGCGCAGAGAAATGTCACTTCGAAGAACCTCGAGGAGACAGTTAAGGCATTGACAGCTGAAATGAAGACTCTGACACGACAAAAGCAAAAGACTGATTCTCAATTGAACAACTTGAAGAAGGATAATGACCGTATCCAAGGAAAGCTTGGAAAAATCGATGCCGCAAGAAAGGCATCCAAGAGTGATAACAAGACTTTGGAAGTACTTCGTAAGAATAACGATGACATGGCCAAGAGATGGCAAAAGGAGAAGTCCGCTCGTGAAGCTGCCCTTGAAGAAGCCGAGAAGGCCACCAAGCAACTCGCAAAACTTCAAAAGTCTGTTTCTGCGCTTACGAGAGAACAAGAGTCTCTCAAGAACAAGTTGGATGAGAAGGACAAATTGCTCGAGAAGAAGGCTACCGAGCTTCGAACAGCAAAGGAAGCAGCATCTGCATCCAACATTCGTGCCCGCAAGGCACAAGTTCTTGGTTCCAGAGCTGAACCAAAAGCGAGAACGAAGAGAGCGTCCGCCACTGCCGCCGCCCCTGAAGAAACTTCTGCTACTCCTCCGGAAGAAGTTAAGGAGATCCGTGAAAAGGTTCTGGCTCTTCTCAAGGAGCACGATCAAGGCAAGGTCAACAGGATCGACATTATTATGGAGAAATTCAAGGGCAAGGAGAATCTGTTGCTAGAAAAGATGACTCAACGATACGAGAGTGGCACCGCCGCGAATGACGCCAAGACACGAAGTGAAGCTGCTGCTCAACGTCACATGTTACGTATGAAGAAGCTTCGAGAGAAGAAGGGATTGAAATAAGCTCCTGGTCCAAATTTCATTGTTTATAGAAGAAACACGCGATGAGTCTGACACCTCTACTCGTGACCCGGGTGTCGTACTTTGATTGATGTTTTGTGTTTCTTCTTCATGTTCAGTGGTACAGAAAATTAAGAATATAAAAAGATTTTCATTGAGAATTCAGTGCAATTCCCGTCGCCGCCTGACAGAGATTGCTGGTCAGCTTCACAGTCACATCACCCAGAACCTCAAACCGACTTCAATGTACAGCAGCTGCGCTAGACCATTGATCAATGTAAGGTGTTTGAGTACCTGGTACCATACAATTTTACAAAATAATTCGATTGGTTCTCCGCTTCCTGTTTCACAATTCAATAGTACTGATACTTTGCGGGTTGGATTATTATTATGTTGTTGATTGATACAAGCTAGAAACTTCGCTCTCCGCTTTTAAAATGCCCGATTGCTCACCTTTCGAAAGCTGCACTTTCTGCTGTTCAGATCACAGCATCAAGGCATAGTAAGATGGAATCATATCTCTCGAGCATAGAAGGATGCTTCCTGTTCCTATTCCCATGCGTAATGACGTCGGCCAGTTCAATCGACTACACTCCACACTCCTTGAACTACTCTTCTACTGCAGCATTTGGTTGTTCGGTATTCATAACTTCTACAGTTTTTACCTCCCCAGTTCCATATAGATCAGAGAACCTTCGTTGCCAAGCATAGTATTGCTGCTGATGAGCGAAATTTCGGAAGGGAACTTGTCCCAATTCGCGACAAAAAGAGTCGTTATTGATCAAAAGCTCTAAAAAGTGAAGTGATGATGGATATACTATGAAGCGAACATAGTCAGGATGAGTCCATGTTTCGTGTAAATAGCGTAGAAAGGCCTTGAACCGCGAGTCCAATAGTAATGACTGCCCATCGCTCGTCGTTGTCGTAGCGATGAAATGCAGATAGGCAGGTGAAGCCAAACTTTGTACTTCATATCCCAAGAACAAAAGTAAATTAGACAATATCCCAACGACCAAACACAGGCGGTTATCAAGGTCTTACCAAATTCTAGTTCCAACGCAAAGCGGTCTTTGGGAAGATCCTCTGTTTTCAAGCCAGTCGCCATGGTTTGATTATTTTGGATTCAAAGTTGTACGGTACTGTACGTTTCGATTTAATCGATTCTTGATGATCTGAGATAGTCACAAAAGTCAGGTTCAGAACCCCTCAAAAAATGTTGCACTCTTGGAACCCAATTTTTGGTGCACAATTCAAATGCGCTTTTTTTGAGGGGTTCTGAACCCTGACTTTTGTGACTATCTCAGATCATTTTAGATGTTGACCCGGACATGTCTGCCCTTTGTACGCATCCTCATGTCGATTCATTCATTCAAAACAAACACAACCTAACAAAATAAAAATGATGTTGGAGTAGCAAACAAGCATGATTTCTCGGATACCATTAGCTCGAGCTCTCAAGCGCCCACATATCGGCAATAGAACACTTCGGATAGTTTCCTTAGCCGCGGAGAAGCTGCAACCAAACGCACTCCCACGCAATCCACACTTTCGCCCACAACAAGCGAGGCTCTTCAGCCAGCCTCCATCACAACAGGAGCCTTTGGACACGAACGTCGTCCTTCAAGATGACGAAAACGCCAGTATAAAATTAGACTCTGTGATTTCGAACATTGAAAAATCTTCAAGATTCAATCAAGGGAAGGGAGGAGGTCCATCCGGTCCAAAGGTTCTATGGAACTTTGAATTTGCAAAAAGGAGCGTTGATGAATATGAATACTGTTTGAAGCACTTTTTCAACCAACATACAGACAATGATTCGATCGATAATGGTGGACTCTTAGATCAAAGTTCAGTAACGGAAGAAATGAAGAAGCTATTCTTGTCTTCCCAAACCACCGAGTTGGCGTTTCGTTCCATGCTAAGGTGCAAGGTACCCACATTACAGCTGTCACGCAAAGTACGAGAATGGGAGCGGTATATTGGTGCTCTAGGAATGACTCAATTGACTGATGATCTTTCGCTTCGAATGCTTGAAGCCAATGGCAAGGGTGGAAATATTGGACGATCGATTACGCTACTGAAAGTGCGAAAGTCCAGAGGCTATGAACCGACCAGGAAGGAATTTGTATATACAATTCAAGCAATCCAATCTGCAGGTCTCTTTCTGAGAACCAATCGAAACGTTTACTTGAGTGACAACGATCAACCACAAATAGATGACCCAACGAGGTGGCTGGATGATATTCTCCTCAACATGAACCAAAGAGATTTCCCACTGTCAACCGAACTTGCCAACCGGATGCTGAATACCTACGCGTCTACTGGAAAATCTGGAAAGGCTGTTCACTACTTTTATCGAGTATTGAGAAATCCAATTGATGAATCGGTTCTTAACGTAGAAAGTTCCGAACGCAATATCGAGGGAATGGCAGAGTTTCGAAACAAGCCGGTCAAGGTTTCAATGACAATGCGTCCACCGCCTCCATACCACAAAATTCCTTCGCAAGTGAGAGGAAAGTTGGTTCGAAAACCGGGATCAGAGATCAAGCAGCTGAAACTTGACCGGGAGCTTGACCCAGATTGGAGTGCACCACTTACTGCCGCCATTTCATTTGCTGATTCACTCACCCAAGGAGCTTGTGGTCATGAGCCAATTGAACTGGATCTGATAGGCTACAGCACTTTGATCAAGACATGTGTAAATAGAGGTAGCTTGTGGAGAGCAATGCACATTCTGGACGAAACCATGCCTTCCAATGGAATTGAACCTGATGTGATTGCATACAATACGCTCTTGAAAGGGCTATCACGAGTCGGAGATGCTCCGACGATGAAATTATACTTCAATCAAATGCTAGGCAAAGGAATCTCACCCACAAAAGAAACCGTTGAAGCCATTGCAGACGGCCTCCTGAATCTTGGAGACGTGGGAGCTGCCATCACATTGGTGCAAGATATTTTCAATCAACATTCTATACTGCCACCATACACCACGCATCTCAAAATTCTGGAATTTTCTTTGGGGCGATCGCTTGTGCACGAAGCGAAACGACATGTCTTCTTCATTCAACAACTCTGGAAGTGGGAACAAAATGCCTATCACTCGGAAGAGTTTTGCAAACTAATGATTCTGACACAGAAGAATCCCAAGCTATCAAGAGAAGCACTTCAAAAGCTCTTTGCCTATTTTGGGGAGAAGCTAGACGACTCCGACTTCCTTTAGTGAGTGCAACATGATAAAATAAACAAACCGAGAAAAATAGTGCAGTCATTTTGGTCAAATGTGCTTCAACTTTTGATGGCATTTGGCCATCAAGACCACGTTGTAACCTTATTTGTGGTCGTCATGGTTGTCCCATCAAGCAGGAATCGTTCCAATTTGCAAACAAGGCAGTACCTTACATTTCTAGTGATTGTCGTGGTCGGTCTTCTTGTCCTCTGGGCCTCAGGTCTAGCATATCTTCTGTCGCAACCAACTTCAACTATAAACCGTGTATCATCGGTGGGAGCACTGAGAAGAAGGGTTCAGCCACGGAAAAAGCCAATGACGCAGCTACTCTCAAGATCCAGTAGAGTCACTGCTAGTGCTGATGTCCGTGGGAATCTCGGACCTGTGAGTGTTGTCATACAGAAAGATCCGGGTACCGATTGGATAAAGGATCGATGGCAAGCTGCTTCCAACATGCACGGCACTGCCATCAAAGGGTCTCACTGGGTTAAACTAGACTTTGGAAGAGAGATCATAGTTGACAAGATTATCTTGGATTGGGAAGCAGCTTATGCAAACCAATACAAGCTGGAAGGTTCACTTTTTGAGCTTAGCGACGACGACGGAGCTGGCAAGTGGATTCTATTCGATGGAACCGATCCATCCCAAGAGCATCGTCGGACAACCGAAAAGTCCGGCCAATCGCCTGGGGTGAAGGTGGAAACTCCTCTCCATGTTGTGCATACTATCGATGGATTCACAGAAAAGAAGCCAATTCGATATCTTCGAGTGTTTGTCTATCGAAGTGTAATGGGGTGGGGCGGTAAGTTTGATGATCTTTCGATTCTACTTGTCAAACTGTCTCTCACTGCTCGCTCTTCTATTAGTATCTTTGTGGCAGTTCGATGTCTATGGGACATATGCTGATGAGATAAGCGATGACTGACTGACTGATTCAACTCACGCGCTCGGAATCTAGCGTCGGGCACATTGTTCACTGAAATAGCTCTGAGGACCAGGATAAGAGGACTCTGAATTATGTTCTATGGTGATGGATTTGCTCATCTTGCTTCCACTGGCATCATTTCGCTCATTGAGTACGGGCTTATAGTCCCAAGCTTTTCTTCATCTCTCTTATTTATCTTTGAAGGACCTATCACATCGTTGTTGCGGTCAGAGGAACACCTGGTTCTGCATTTTTTTGGAGCATGAGATTTTTCATGGCCTCATACACACCAAATTGAATTCCAATCATTGGAACTACACCCAATAATCTGGGCGAAAGCCCACGGTAGAATGTTTTGATTCCTTCTTCGTTCGCAATCCGGACTGCACAATCAATGATGCCCTTGTATGGTACAGCACTCATCACCGCCGCATTCGATTGCGTCACGAGTCGAGTCTTGATGGTATCCATTGGCATCATGATGCAAACAGTAGCTGCACTTGCCAAGCATCCCATCATTGAATTTTCGTAGTTTGTGGCTTTACGGTCGGAAATTGCGTCTCGGAAATTTTTGATTTGCTGAAAGAATGTCCATGTCAACGCCTATGCAATCGTAGAGTCCAATATTGATGAATGCATGGGTCAGAAGAAGGTTCCTTTGCAACCCAATAAAGAAATAGTGACAATCGAAAACTTACATAGCTTGGGATTTTTCCGGCTAGACCAGGCCACCACCCAGAATAGAATCCCATGATTCCTCGTTTTTGATAGAGTCCCACGCAGGCTGACCCCAGGGCAGGATAGTTTCCGGCCATAATATTGTCAGTGATCATCATTTGCGGTGTGGAAACAACCGAGCAGCAAATGGTGGATACAGCCGATGACACGAAATCCAAACCAGGCCCTATTTTTTCTGCTCGAGATTTGAGTGCCGGAACGCTTTCGACAAACTTTCCCATTTGAGCTCTTACCAACTCCAATACGGCGAAGTTGACAGCCCCATGTGGGATGGATAGTGCCAAAGTGGCACCAGCTCCGCGGGAAAGGGTTTTGAACATTGAGGGTTTGAACAGCTGTGTGAACGTAACCTTGTCGGCTCCCCGTGATGATTGCATTATTGTTTTCATGGTGTTTGCAGGATGCATGGTCGTTTGAGCAATGCTTCTAGAGATAGCGCCACAGACCATATTCTCCCAAAATAAAAGTGGACGAGTTGCCATTCCCTTCTTACTTGCCGCTGGAATGACGTTGTTCGAAGACAGAAGTGCCTCCAGCTCGCTCGGTTCACTGTCCCCTTGATCAGATCTGGTATCTATTCTATGAGCTGTTTTAAGATCAAAAGGTTTGACTTCGTTTCGTGACGCTAGGTCGGCGGATTGTGCACGTGGCGTTTCGCCATCGGAGGTGCGAATGGAAGAGGAACGAAAGGACCGGCGACTGCCATATTTTCGAAAGGCAGCACTTGTTCCAACTCCAATTGGACTCTGTTGGACTTTCGCAATGAAAGGGTGGGCATCAATGGCGCATTCTTGTAATATCAGGGAAATGACAAGGAAAGTGAACAAGATATTTCGGAAGTTTGATTTCGACTGAGTGTATTCCATGTTCATGACTGATGATGAAGGAAGACTCGATTTTTATTTTGTTGAGGAGGGGGCTTCGAATTATTTGCAGCTTTCAGAAGGAATGAGCGAGAGAAGTTATGATTGAATATCTACTTCCACAACCTTCGACAGAGCAGATGAAAGTGAAAAACTCACATCGATGATTTGGTTGTACGGTTTTGACACTCGTGACTGAACGGTTCGGCGGTCAGACGTGCAACTCATTTCTTCCACAACCGAAGCTCAAAAAATCGCATCAGCCATCATTGCAGTGTCAGCTTTACTACTTTTCAAATACAATGTCCATCTTGTTGGAAACAACATTAGGAGACATTGTGATCGATCTGGATGTGGAAGGATCGCCTGAACTTTGCAAAAATGTTCTCAAGCTAGCGAAAGCCAGATATTACAGTCAGTCGCTCGTTTATAATGTACACGCCAATCGATTTTGTCAGCTTGGAGATCCCCATGGTGATGGAACTGGTGGTGCTTGTGCTCAGGGGTTAATTGCATGTGATGGGTCCTTGTCCAAAGTTCTGAAGAGTCAAAAACGCTTCCTGAAGAGCTCCACTGGGCGACCTCTTACACCTGAAGAGTGCAAGCAGAAAGGTCGGGTTGTGGCTACCGAAATGAAGGGAATCCCAGATACGATAGGATCTCAGTTACTAATCACAACATGCGAAGGACAAGATATGGCGTTAGATGGATATTCATCGAGGGTGCGAAGAGCAGACGACAATGATGAGAACCAATCTCGCCAGTTGTTTCGATCCATTGGCATGGTAGTGGAGGATGAAAATGACATTTTGGACAAGCTAGGCAAAGCGTTTTGCGATGCAGACGGCCGACCTTACGCTGACGTTCGAATCATTCGTGCCCTCGTTGTAGATGATCCCTTTGAGGATCCAGAAGGAATGGAAGTACTTTACAAAGCTCGTGATGTGAAATTCCAACAAAAGAAGCAAGAAAACGAAGACGAACGAGTCATCGGGTCGCCCGAATGGGAACGTCCACCAGAAGAGGTGATAGAGGAGCGGATTCCGGCAGATCAAGTAGAGTCACTTACTGGAGAGGAGAGCATGGAAAAGTTGCGAGAACGCGAAGAAGAGTATCGGAAGAAACAGGACAAATCGCGAGCGGTTGTGCTGGAAATGCTTGGGGACTTGCCATCAGCTGACACTACGGCACCTGAAAACGTTCTCTTTGTTTGCAAATTAAACCCAGTGACAGAAGACGAGGATCTCGAATTGATCTTTTCCCGCTTCGATGAGCAAGTCAAGGCTGAAATCATTCGAGATCCAGATACAGGAAACTCGTTGCAATATGCATTCATTGAATTTACGAAGAAGGAACAAGCTGTAGAAGCTTATTTCAAGATGAACAATGCTTTGGTTGATGATCGTAGAATAAAGGTCGATTTCAGTCAAAGTGTTTCGAAGGTATGGGACAAATACAACCAACGAATGAGAACGAGTACAGGAGGTCGATCCAATAGTGCCATGCCACGGGATCCATTTGGAGGAGGACCACCACGGCGTAACCATGGCCCACCACAGTCTTCGCTTGGTCCACCCAGGAGGAATGACCGAAACTTTCAAAGGAAGGGACCGCCAAAATATGATAATCGGCGCCAAGAGAATAGAGGCCATTATGGTCGCCCTCGCCATGATCAGGATGATAGAAGGCGGAATGATCAACAGCACCGTGGTCGTGGACCACCGCATAGACATGGACAAGCTGATCATCAGCGGCCACCTCATCGAGGTCACGGAATGGATAAAGACTACCGAGACCATGGCAGAGACGAGGGGAATCAAGGACATGGGAGAGGCCAAGAGCATCGAGGGCACGATAGGCATGAGAAACAGCCTAAGGACGTTGATCAGTTTGGTCGGGAGATTCGACGAGACACCAGACCACTGCCACCGAAGAAAGATCCCGGGTCTGATGCAGAAAGTGTAGACTCTCGACGAAGAGATCGGCATCGAAAAAAGCATGGGAAAGAAAGAGGAAAGCGTCACCGAAACAGGGACAAGAAACATCGGAAAAAGCCTAGTTCACGTGATGATGATACCAGTAGTGAGGCCTCTTCTCGTGCTCGCTCTCGAGGCAGAGATAAAGATCGCGAGGCCCATCGCGAACGCAGACGCTCGTCAGGGGAAAGACGCAGCCAAAATGACGAACCATCGTCCAGGGGAGCAAGGGGGGACGAATCAGATGATCGACGTGGCAGTAGTAAACAGAGAGATCGCCGAGATCGAAGCAGTAGAAGCCGTGATGGAGATCGCCGACGACGAAGGAGTAGGAGCCGTTCCCATAGCGACGACGAACGTCGAAGGGGGAGATCTCGGGATGGGAAACGAAAAGAACGAGATCGACAAAAAGATGACAATCGTAGATCAGAACATGATGATCGAAAGCGAAGGCGGCGTCACGATTCTCCTGATCGTTAGGACTAATAATGATCCCTAGTTTCTATCGCCGTTATCTATATTGCTGGCCCCAATCTATCCGCTCTAAAACGTATATTGCATCTGTTGTGTGTATTCGAAATTTTCGAAGGTTCAATGATGGGTTTCCTTGGATTGTGTCAATGACATGAAAGTCTGGCGAGAAGTTTGCATCCTCCGATAGAACATGTGTGAAAATCTCCCGTCCTGCTGATGCTTCCAACGAGTGTTCTTCCTCATAACCACTCTTGTGAAAAATCCAATTGACGTCTTTGGTTTGGGCCTCAGCAGCGCGTTGACCAAATAAGGACACTCCCGACATGGCGGACGCCACATCAATGTGCACATGCAGCTCCGTGGAGGGAGGGAGTTGCAAGTTGGATATGTGAACCGACAGCCTCAATAGGGCATCGCCACCAGGATAGTTCTGGTGTGACACAGCGACAAATGTCAGGCTTCCAATCAAACTTGCCAAGATGCAAAACAGTCCACAGTAGAATGCCAAGCTAGCAATGAGCATTCTTTCTTTGCCCTTAGCTGGAAATGCTAATGAAGAGAGCCTTTGAATCCCGACCGCGGCCAACGCATTGAGCATCGGGATGGCAGGAAAAATGAATCTCACTTCCTTGTGGGCGAGAAATGAGTAAAGAGTGACAAAACCAAGGACTGGAAGCAGATATTCCAACCATTGTCGGTCGAGTAGTCCTCTCAGATTAACCACAACAGATGAAGACGAAGACGAAGCCTTTCGTACTCGCCGTTCCAACCCCATGAGATATTCAACGATTCGCAAGAAGGAAAACGGTACCAACAATACAGTCAGGAGCATTGACTTGGGCAATGCCGACGAATAGTACCAATGCCATGGTGAAGTCCCCCAATCGCTCGATTTGCCAAGGATTGCATTGTAGTAAAATACTTCGCCCTCTGCCCACAAGAGTCTTTGCCACAAGGCACTATCTAGTGGAATGGTGAGCAACAGGCTGATTGCACCACTCGCAACTCCAATCTTGAGTGCTTGTACTATCGACAACTTTTTGGTAATCAACCAAACCAATCCGACGGATCCCAACAACAGTAGCAAGTCGCATCGAAAAATGGCAGTGGCTACCACCAACAAGGTGGCAGCACGGGAGACATTGGCATCTATCCACGCCGCATAGGAATTCAGTACCATGGCCAGTGCAAAGACATTGGGCAGCATTCGACTGGCATAAAAGGGCATGTGGAATTGGCATGCCGTCAGGAGGAGCATCCAAGCACCAGCACCTCTGAATTTCTTGTCGAGTGCCCGAGCAAATTGACTCCATGAAAATACTAGTATGGATAAGAGACAGAACCGGGACAGAAACTGCATCATCATGGGATGTTGGGCAATATCCATGACAGGAAGCAACAAGAGACGAAGTACAGTGCAGATTGATGCCAATAGGCCAGGTCCAATAAATGATCTGGGGACAACTCCGGGGTATTGTAAATCTACGACAATAAATCATCGAGCATAGAGTGAGCCACAATTTCATAGTTCAAAATACAGTATAGCTTTTAAAAAAACCTACGATCATAGGGTGTTTCCGACGAATCGTCATTTCCAAAAAGTGCAGGCCGTATTCCAAAGTAGATCAAATCATGCGTGGCTTGCAACTGAAAGCTCTCTTCTACTTTGGAATGTGGACACAGGGTCAAATCCAATAAAAAGGATGAAAAGAGCAAGCATTGGCAAATGCCAAAGGCTCTGGATGTTTCCATCTTGGGGAAAATGGTTGTGTTTTTCGTTGTGGTTGCATCATTTCGAAAGTCTTAGCGGTCGAATGGGTCGACAACATTAGCGGTCCGTTGAATCGATCGCAAGAAGTCAAACGAAGAAAAAAGAGCACACACCACGACACGGAAAAAAGAAATTCCTTTCGAACGTGAACGCAGTGCACGTAATTTTGACATCGCCAAGTCACAGGCAGGTCGATACTTCATTATTGTACTATTGTAAAACTTTTGTTACAAACCAACCAAACAAATAAATAAAGAAAGAATAAAATGATGGGCGGATGGGGATTTGCTGGTGGTGGCTACGGTGGAAGTGGCTTTCCTAGAAGTGGACGATTTGAAGAGCAATATCACTGTTACAGTGTGGCGTATGCCGACAAGGCGCATTTGGAGGTACGATTGCACAATCATTCTGAATTCTTGTTGCAGTGATGAAGGTGAAAGATACTTCTATTGTTTTTACATAGCACTTACTCACTATCTCTCTTTAACACAAATCAAACCAAACCAATTGAAACCAAATCAAATCACAGAAAGGCGACAAAGTGTTGCTTCCGCCATCAGCGTTTGACACATTGGCACGATTGCAGGTAGACTACCCAATGCTCTTTCGCTTGACTTCAGATGCTGATAACCGTACAACGCATTGTGGTGTGTTGGAATTCACAGCAGAAGAAGGTACTTGCTACATTCCCTTTTGGATGATGCAGAATTTGCTATTGGAAGAAGGTTCTGTTATTTCTGTCACCAATGTCAGTTTGCCCAAGGCTTCCTTTGTCAAATTGCAACCACAAAGTGTGGACTTTTTGGAAATATCCAATCCCAGAGCTGTTTTGGAGCACGCGCTTCGAAACTTTAGTTGTGTCACCAAGGGAGATGTCATTCAAATACCATACAACAACAAGAATTTTCATTTTGCCTTGAAGGATGTACAGCCGCAGGATGCTGCTTGTATTATTGAAACGGATTGTAACGTTGATTTCGATGCTCCAGTAGGGTACAAGGAACCAGACTATGCCGCCCAAGCAGCAGCCGCCAGCAGTGCATCCAACTCAGTCGCATCTTCCCTACCCAAGGAGTCTGCATTGGGAGATCGGTCTTCGGCGTGTCCCAGTCCGGCCACCATGTCCACGGCTTCATCGGTCACCAACGCGGATGATGATAATGCAAATGGAATTCGGATTATCAATGGAAAGATCGTTCGCCCAGACGAGTCGGAACCAGCAGGACCTTCCACCAAAATGGTCGTGGACCGCGCTGGTACCACAGGGGTCCAAAATAACGCTGCCATTCCCGTCAAGGCACCTGAAGTCAACTATTGGGCAGTCAATGCTGGAGATGGGGCTAGATTGGACGGAAAGAGCGCAGTAGCTCTCAAGGATAAAGCAGGAAACGAAGTGGACATTCGCAAATTGCGGGCGGAAGCCGCTGCCCGACGAGCAGAAGCTGCCGCTGCTGCCCAAGCTAAAATGACCTCCACGGGGAAGACCTTGACGGGGAAGGAAGTCGCACATGAAGTGAAAACGACGACTGCTCCCTTGTCCAAGCGCAAAACAAAGGTGGGGGGCAAGTATTCTCGCCTCAAGACATCTGGAGTGGCCTTTAAGGGAGCTTCCAACACAATGAAGTAGTACACTATACTATACTATTATATAGTAACCTAGTACCGGTATTGTCCTATCATTATCTTACCAATGCCTTCTAATCTTTAGAACAAGTCTATGAGTTGCATATTGTATTTTCATTGCAATAGGAAGTGCGGGAGATGTTCGTAGCGCATTATAAATCTTATTCTCAAATAGACTATAATAAAACACAAACAAGTGCAAGTCCGTTATAAACTTTTTGTTGTTGCGTGTGTGTGTGTGTGTGAATAGCAAAATAGTTGATTTGCATGGCAGGAAAACAGCCAGGACAAATGGGTTGAATGTACAGATTGCCAGAGAAAAAAGTGCCCACTCCTTCCCATTAGGGCCTTTCAGACAACCAATAGAAATACAAAGATAGACCCTAATCAACGTCGTGAACACTCCAGATAAACAACCAAGGCATGGGATGAAAAGATTCAATTCCTTCTTCCCCGATAATCGTCAATTCCTTCCTTCCCAGGCAGTAGTCCCCTTCACCAAAACCCCAAAAGCAAGATGAATCGTACAGTACAGTTTAGGTGACACTGACTACGATTTCTCCGACATGGAATCAGTCGGACATGTCGCTACTGTGAAATCCTCCTTGGTGGCCACCATATAGTCATCCTTGGTGGCCAAGGTGGCCACTGTGTAGTCATCCCTGGTGGCCAAAGTAACGTCATCGTTCAAGGTCTGCTTCATGCCTCCAACCCACTGGGTCGAGCACCAAGTTCTGTCATCTGCATCAACCTCCGTCATCTTGAACTCCTCCTCTTTTTGGCTATTACTGTAATATTCATCAGTACTGGTACTACTACTTCCAGAGCATACTGGTAGAGCGTCGAGGATTTCAGATAGCCAACGAAACAGCAACATCATGATTCAAATAGTGAAGTCGATTTTCAGATTGAGCTCTTTGTTGTCAGTTACTGTAGTTTACAAGATTCAGTCCACCAAATTTCTGTTGTTGGGGTGGACTGGCGTGATGCTGGAGCGATAGGCGAATTATTTCGCCATAGCAAGCCGTTGTCTTTGGCGCCAAAGTCGTGGTGTGTCTTTCGCCCAAAGACTACAGTAGTGCTTTTTTATAACATCAATAAGCACTACTTCAGTATTTTGGCAAATATGAAATTGCAAGAAAAGTGAAAAAGGGACCGCAACGAGTTCTTCGGTGTCAGAATTTATCTGCGACATGAACGACATTCTTCAGATTTAACACTTCTGCAGATTTTGCACTAGAGATAAACAGGGAAGAAGATACCGTGACTCAGTCATCCAGTAAAATTCCAATTTTAGTCGGGGAACATCATGAGAAGAAGACAAAAGATTATTTAGATCGGCATTTTCATTTTTAAACGATGAAGATGATGAAGATGAAGACCAGCATCTCCGTCCTACTCCTAGCATTCCAAGGTGTATCCTCTTTTACACCCATTTCCCTTCAAACTAGTGGCAGAGTCAAAAGTAGAACCGTTCAGAAAGCTGCCATGATTGATCTTTCCTCTCTCCTAAACATTACTTCCCTGAAGAATGGGTATTGCGACGATGTCATGTTTGAGAAAGGAATCAAAGCCATTAAACAATCAAGTGCTTTTGCAAAGCCAGAAACCAAAGAGAACGATTTTGAAGTCTCTTCAGAAATTTTTGAGGACCTTCGCTTAAAGAGCATCAAGGAGCTGAAGCTTGTTTGCTCGAAACGATCGATAACATATAAGGGATTGGAAGAACACGAAGAGTTTGTGCAAGCAATCGTCAAAGACATTAACGACCTAAAGGACTTTTCTGTTTCGGGTTACCTCGTGCCCGGAGCATTCAACGAGGTTTCTGGCGACATTTTGGAACAAGAGATGGACTCGTCCATTCCTCTATTGTTGGATGTTTATGCCACATTCTGTGGTCCATGTAAGTTGATTGAATCAATTGTGGAGAAGCACATTGTAGGAAGAAGCAAATGCGGTAGTCTCACTCGACATTCTTCAATCATATAGGCAAACTGGTGGAAACTGAATTTGAAGTGGCGGCACGACGACTAGGCAAAAATTGCCGGGTGGCCAAGCTCGATTCGCAACTTTACCCCGACATTGCAAAGAATCTTCAAGTGCAAGGTCTGCCAGCAACTATATTGTTTCACAAAGGCCGCGTTGTCAGTCGACGAGAAGGACTTGTCTCGAGGGATCAATTGATGGATTTTGTTGACACCTTTGTTCCAAAGAAGTTTTGGTAATTTGCTGCAGGCTGCCATGCATGTGCCTTGTTGCATGCAATGCAATGTTATCATTCTGTCACACATTATAGTTGTAAATTAGAGTACAATTCTCTCCTCTGTGCAGTACTATTTGTACACAAATTAGTCGGTTCAAATCTAGTTCTAGTATCCTCCGTATGTTCGGGTAGAAACGGTTGGATTATTCATCGTTCATCTCCCATCGCTGCAAAGTACTCCTCTGGTGTCAAAATGGAAGCACCGCCAAAGAAATCAATCAACCAAACATCCTCAATATCAATCTTGGCAATCACCCACTCGTGATTTTCAGGCCAGCCTTCCATGCTAGGATGGCGCTCAAAAATGGCTTCCTTGGCAAGGTTGTACTCCTCCGTACCTTCAGTCAGGACGACAAATTTTCCAGTCAGCGTCAATCTTGCACATACTGGATTCTCGGGATCGCCATACTTGGTACCCAGTGCGCAAGAAGTGAATGCTTCTCGCTCGGTGCACACAGACGACAGGGATGCTTCGCTCAATGAAAAGGATACCGTCTCGTGGATCAAGGAATCAGCATATGATTGGTCCATGTAGGTACCGTAGAAATAGGGTGTTCCAGTTGACTTTTCACAAGTCCCATCCACAAACGAATAGACATTGCCAAACGGAACCGGACTTGTGTCTCCCCCCAATCGAGTGGATATTGTGGCAAGAATACCCCAATCCAGCGAATGAACCATCCATCTTTTTGTATATGAGTTGAGTCATCAAGACATGCGTATGATGGGGAAAGTGAGTACACTATTGGATTTTGGAAGGTTTGAAACTCTATGAACACAAATAATCGGTTACCTCGCAGTCAGTGCTTTCTCTGCTTTGTCAGGGCGAGGTGCCAATTTGCATGGGCACTCCTCTCTGATGTCAATCTTGCCTTTCTTTACGTTTTTGGCAGAAGATGGAAGAACTGCCGCCAACAACAGCAGGCATACTAGAGTGATGAAAGGGGCCATGATGATATACAGTACAATATATAAGTCTCCGTGAAAGATTTATTGTTTGTTGGAAAGATCGTGAATGAAAATTGATTGAGTCACGATGCTGACTCACTCACGCTTGCATGTTGCATCGCTCTCCTTCGATCTCTATCCCAACGTCAACTACACGATTGCTAGTTCACAATTACAACTCACAAAAGAAAAAATTGAAACAACCGATACATTATGAAGCTTCCTGGAATTGCCCTACTTGTCCTTGGCGTCTCGTCATCCATCCGCTCGTCTGCTGGCTTCGTTTCTCCATCGATCAAGGCAGTTGCCGGAAGGAACACGCAACAACAATTGTTCAAGAACTTGTTCGGCACTGCTGCTGGTTCCAGTAAGTACCCCGTCATGGCAGAAGAATCTGTCATGGGTCCAAAGGCACACGGAACCAGTGAAAAGCCAGTCCAAAAGGACTTGAAATGGAACTGCGACTTTGAAGTTGCCGACCGCATCTGCAACTTCAATCGTCACTACGCCGAGTATGCAGGTTACTGGCAAACCACCGATTTCATCAAGAGTATCAAGGAAGAGGAACAGCCAATCAAGTTCTACGATTCTGTCACTGGTGCCCACCTATTCACTGCCCCCGTTGGACGAACAATGGAGGAATTCCTCAAAGAGAGCCAAGGTCATGGTTGGCCCTCATTCCGTGACGACGAAGTCAACTGGGATTACGTGCGCTGTTTGAATAACGGAGAATGCATTTCCACAACTGGTACCCACCTTGGTCACAATGTAAGCTTCACAGAGCTGAGTCGTCGTAGTTTGATTTTTCATTCGTCACTCAACACTCGTACCCCTTTTTTCTTTGTATCGTAGCTCCCCGATGGCAGCGGAAACAGATATTGCATCAATTTGGTCAGCGTTGCAGGAACTCCAGAAGAAGACTAAGCACCTTTGCATTTCACAACATTTGGGTATGGCTGTCTTTCTTGGAACAACATTTAGAATGTACATAGGACCTAAGAACATTAAGACAGGATGAAAACGAGTAGCTGATGAATGATTAGTAACAATTTTTTAGGCTCCATATACCAGGATCTACCGTCTTCTTGAATACTGTAGATTATCCTAAAACGTTGCCAATCAGAGCAGCTATACTCGCAAGCACTGAAAGCACCAACAATACTTTTAGTGCGATAGCCTGCGATGACTTTTCCTTCAAGTCAAATCTACCATACACCAGTACTGATCCAAGCTCGTCAGTCTCGTCCAGCGTATGCAGTGCAATCAAGACGGGAAGAATAAAGGCAACCAAACTAGTAAAAACCATGCCACCCCAAGAAAGCAACTGTGTCACCCAATCACCAGTATAAAACAACCAAGAAATTGCAAATGGCAGGTAAACGGCAAACAGGTTGGCTTTGTTTCTCGACAACAAGTTCCTTCCAGTCAAGTTCATTCTCTTCAAGACGCAGAACAATGGAATTCCAAGCCCAACGATGAAGAATGCGAACACCGAGGCACATATTTGCATGGTAATTCCAAAGGTCCCAGACATCATTGATTCCAGCATATTCTGACTAGCATGAGGCATAGTCATTGCTCCCAAGCCTCCAATCAAAACATATAGGATAGTAGAAAGAACAGCTGAGCCATTGACAACTTTTGGAACGTCTACCGTGGGCTCCTTTTCATACAACCACGCAGGCACGGCGAGTACCAACGCGTAATTGAACAAGATCACACCAAACAGTGTATTCCAACTAGTGCCCCAAAGACTGATGTAATCCGTATTCAATCCTTCCAAAATAAATATGATCACAAAAATCAACGAGCATACAAGTAACACAGCAAATCCCAAGACTTGCCAGGCAGCATTTTCCTTCAGTGCAAAGAACAAAACAAGAGTCAGTCAACTACGAAGGAAAGTCCTGAAATTAGCTCCACATAAACAACATACCTTGAGATCCATGAGAGCCATGGGCAGAAACACCAACACACACATTACATAGCCAATAGTGAAATGGTGTCCCACGTCGTCGTCATCGGCGAACGGAACGCAGTCTCCAGCTTTGAGTGTGTCACGAGAACAGGAATGAAAACTCCATCGAATGAATTCAAAATGCGGCCCGTCTTCCCAATACATATAGAGTGCAGCAGAACCGCCTGGAAACCAGTGCCCAAGAAATGTATCGACCACTTGCGCAGTGTCGACGATGGATGAAATATTCAAACATGATATGCATAGGAAAAATAGAATCTGCGTTGCAATGAAGCTCTTGTGACCCCAGAATGCTTCGAATGCTTCAGAATATTCGATCTCTTTTCGAAAGCTTGAGTTCCCTGTCACCTTGGAGATTGTATTCGACATATGCAAGCAGCATAACGATGAAAGTACAGCAACAAATATAAGAGTCAAGGTTGTTGGGATCAATCCCGCGCGTTGAAAAGTATCTGGAAGATTAAGCATGGCTGGTCCGGTCAATGAATTCACAGCAATTGATACAGATCCAAGATACCCAATACTACCAATGTGAGTTGCCCATCCCTCTGAAAGATCGCGTGACATCTGACGAAACCATGTTGGCTTTGGTCGGTTGGAGAGGGGAACGGCAACACCGTCGTTTGCAGCAGAAGATCCCCCATTGACAATCAGTGGGCTCAAATCGTCCAGCGACTCTGAAGAAGGCGACGTCATCTCTACAACGAGACTGTCGTTCAATGTTGGATCAGGTGTACTATCTTTCTCTAGTGGTTCGTGCTTCACCATTCACATATGCGCAACAATACAAGAATCTGTTATTTGGTTGTATCGTTTGGTATGCATTTTCCATTGTTTCGGCCATCGATCCTCCAACGTAGACCGCAGGCACACTGTTCGATTTCTTTGACTACATTGTGTTACAGACGGACAAAGGCCGAACGGCCTTCGACCGTCAAAAGTTGTTGTCGATGCGCCCAGGCAATGATGCCCAGTTTATCGACTGAGATTGAATTCACCCACTTGTGTCGCGGTAATTCAATTTTTCTCTCCCAAACCTCACCCGCCCTGTTGGGCACCGCCTCCATTTTACCATATCGGCGGTGCCTGGTAGGAAAGCAGATCTCAGTAATACCGCACACGGGATTTCTGAGATTGGTCGAACGAATCGAGTCTATTACTCGATCAGTTCGACCCGCTTCACACCACAACCCACCAGCTACACACCAAGACAAAATACTACGAACACACACACGGAGGACGGCAGTAGGCTATCTTAGATAGTCTACAGTAGCGCGTGTCGAAGGTGCGCAAACGATTTCAGATTGTGCGATGATTCTCTTGACTCGTCTGTCATCACTCGCGCCAGGAGAGGCTTAGCTAGCTGAGTATGGAAGTTGTGGTAGCAGTTGTCGCAATGAAGCATTGAGAATTTCTAATTATGATTACACAGATTCATTTTCCTGATAATGCTAATTATCTTCTTCCAATTTACAGACCATATGATGATAGTCGGGACGCAGATAGTCCCATTGCTTCCTTCTTCTTTTTCTTCTTTTTCTTGCGTTTCTTCTTATCCTCACTGGAACCGGGAGTCTTGGTTTTCTTTTCATTAGCAATGTTTTCACTGGGTGGCTGATATCCGGCTGAATCCTCGGTTTTCTCAGAATCATCCGGAGGATAAGATTCAAAGGACTCCCCTTTCTTTCCCTTTTTCTTTCTCCTTCGTTTCTTGATACCGGTAACTTCCTTCTCAGGAATAACTTCTGGTTCCATCTTTTCGGTATTCCCCGCTGACATACTTTCACTGTCTCGTTTCTTTCCTTTCTTGAGTCTCCTTCGCTTCTTCTTCTTTGGCTCCTCATTATTTTCTGCTTCATTTTGTTCTGCTGTGTCTTCCTCCTCAACGGCAGCCTCCTCTTGTTCCTTGTATTCCTCCAAGTCATCCTTCAGGGCGTCACGGAATCTTCTGCGCTTCTTGCTGCCAACATGATGCTCACCGTCTTCGGTGTACGGCGCCATTTTCTTTAACGAAACGAATTGCTTCAAGTTGGAATCTCTTGCAAGCAAAATTTCATGTGTGTCCAAACCATAATCGTTCTTCTCAACTTGTCGGTACTTGAATCTGGTAGGCATTCCAGCAACGATATCCTCGTAGTCAAGTTTGTACAACTCCTCTTGCATCTTCCTCTTAACTTTCTTCTCTAACTCTGTTTCTGGGTTTTCGTCCTCCTCACCTTCGGCTATCTCTTCGTCGTCGCCCCAGGCTTGTTGGTCCCCTTCAGTGTCGTCATACTCGTCTTCTTCGTCCTCCTCCGCGCCCTGTGTGTCATACATTCCGCCCTCCACGTCATCACCAACAATTGCTTCGCCATCCTCGTCGCCCTTCAAACCCTCTCGCACGTCGAGATCTGTCTTCCATTCTTCATCTTCTTTCTCATAAAAGTCATCGCTGTAGGCAGCATTCATGGCCTTTTCGAATTGCTCTGGATCATAGTCTCCTTCGAGCATCTTCATGATGGCTGCCTCGTCGACTGTTTCTTGGTCGACAGAACCCAATACGGATTTGATTTGCGCTAGCTTTTTGTTGGCTTCTTGTTGTTTCGCATTCTTCAAGCGCTTCAGTTGCTCTTCCTTTGCTTTTCGCTCGGCTGCTTTTCGTTCTTTGCGAGATTCACGTTTTTCCTTTCTCGTCGTGTCAGTTCTTCTTACTGTGGTCATTGTATTTCCACGAGCATATGTCTGAACAGATAGGGTGGCACCAGAGGTAGCAGCTGCTTCTGCCTGCTCAAATCGAAAGTTGTAGTTGGCTTCATAATCGTCAGCTTTGTCCAAATCATCAATCGAATCGTCATCTGCCCCAAAGTCGCCGTCTTTATCAATCCATTTCTTTTGCTTGAGGAAATCGATGAGGAACTTGTCGCCATCTTTGACTTCTCCTCTTGGATCAATGGTCGTGTTCTTCTCAGATTGCTGCTTTGTAATTTCCTCAATTTCTTCGAAATGATTCAACGCCTCTTTTTCTTCGAGAGAAGGCTCCTTTCTAGTCTTGATAACCATCCAATCCTCTTTATTATCATCGCTCTCATCGTCGTCGCTGCCTCCAGCAGTTTTCAGAAAGGATTTTCGAATTTCCTCTTGTTGAGCGTCATATGCAAACTTTGATTGAGACGGGTCGCGTTCGTCGGACTTGTCGGCTCCATCTTCGTCCATTTTTTCTAAGATCTGTTCTCGAAGCACATCTTTCACCTTTTTAACCTTATCTTTCTTTTCGCCCTTATCTTCGGTTTCGTTTGATTCTTCTTCGTCAAAGAAACGAGCCGACTTGTCATATATCGTATCATCTTTTTTCCTGAGTGCTTTCATCAACTTCAGAAACTTGAGATTGACAGAACCGGTCAATAGTCGTCCATCGTCATCCTCTTCCTCGGAGCTACTATCATCGGAGTCAAGCCCTTCCTCACGATATCTCACGCGCTGGAGTTCCTCTAGCTGCTTTCGTTCTTGGAACGCTCTGGCATATCTCTTGTTCACCTTTAGTTGGGTATCATGGGCACCGCTGTCACTCGCAGAGGATTCTGATCCAGACGAAGAATCGTCTTCGTCAAGCAACGACTTTTTCTCTGCTGCCTTTGCAGATAGTGTCATAGTCAAGTTGAAAGTCTACTTGTGTAACAGTAATAAAATCATCTTTTGCAGAAAATTATTGGTGACGGTACCGTCCGTCAACCGATGAATTGAATCCCGTGTCTTTAATCCACGATTGGAGTGAGTCCTAGTTTGAAGTTGGGCTGCTGATGTCAATGACAGTGGCTGATCTGGTATTGTATCACTATCTATCCTTACTCAAAGGGTGGAATCTCAGTTGCCCAGCCTTCCCTTTCTGGCAGGAACTTGTATGCATCCTGAAGCCTTTTTGTGGTTTCTCCACGACTTCCTGTGCCGATGACTCTACCGTCGATAGTATTCACAGGGGTCTGCACGAGATTGGTTAGAGTTTCCTCGATATCAACGACAACTTTTTCTCCCAGATGTTTTCTATCTCTTACTTACTAATTCTCCCATTGTGCCAGTTGTGAATACCTCTTCAGCAGCGTGAAACTCCGCCAAAGACACGCGACGAACCTCGCATGGAATGCCTAACTCTGCAGCAAGAACAATGACCGTGTTTCGTGTAACTCCAGGAAGGCAATGATCTCCGTGTGGAGTGAGAAGAGTACCTTCGTCATCTACCATAAAGATATTTGTCGCGTTTGTCTCACTGACATAGCCATCAACATCCAGCATGATTGCGTCAGCTGCACCTGCAAGGTTTGCTTGAATCTTTGGCAAGATATTGTTGATCAGATTATTGTGGTGAATCTTTGAATCACAAGTGTTTGGAGAATTGCGTCTCTGCGACGCTGAAATGAGAGTAATTCCCTTTGTGTTGTCATACGTTGTCGCTCCCTCGGTAGGTTTCCATTCCGGAAGGATGATCTGTAAGCAAGTGTGTTGATGTGAGAAAGCGCAAGAGAATGATCCTTACATACCTTCTGCCGAGCTTTCTTACCAACGTGGTGCCGTAGACATTAAAGTCTGGATTCATACTAGAGGTGCACTTCTCGCCTCTAGTCAAGGTTAGACGCATGTGAGCGTTGTCACGCATGCCGTTTGCTGCAAGAGTTTGGAATATGGCTTCGGTCACTTGCTCCTTCGTGTGGACATTTTTGAATCCCAAAGCTTTCGCTGATCTCACGAGTCGTCGTAGATGTTTATCTAGAGAGAGAATCCTCCCTCTGTACACTCGAATACCTTCCCATGCCGCATCGCCACCTTGGACACTGCTGTCCCATGGTGAAACAGCTGCCATACTCCGTGGGTACAATCGTCCATGTTCTGGTGCACCAATCCAAACCAATAGATGCTCATTTCGTGGATCTTCGTAAATTTCACTGGGCGGTGGACCACGCTTTTGATACTTGGCGGTTAGTTGTCTCAAGAACTCATAAGCTGGAAACGAAGACTTGAGGGCCGGCATCAATGATGGGTCTATAGTTCTGTACTTTCCAGTTGGAGGATAGTATTCGTCCTTGGTCGATTTTCGATTCCACCCATCCGATTTGTGAACATTGTGATACCACCACTGTCGAACACCAAAATTGAATTAGAATGAGTTGATATTTCGGGCCAGCTCCTAAGCTTACAAGCTTCTTACCTTTGCCCATGGGCCATCGCACTCTTTTGGCCCAGTGGGCCATGTGAGCATCGATTCCTTGTATTTAATACCAAGCTCTTCACAAATAATAGAAAGAATCTCATTTGGGTCCTTTACAAGCTCCTCGGATTCGAGGACTACGGCATGTTTTTTGTCACCATTATACCGGCTTTCAAGTTTCGAATAAATCGACAAGAGAGGAACGACGCCAACTTCGTCTGATGTGGCGGCATTACCGTGAACGCCTGAGGACTGGCCCCAAGATGAAAGAACTGTTACTGGGTCTCGTACAAGCAACAAATGACGATGCACAACTTCCACACCCTCGACGGCACATTCCTTATCGAAATCGTAAAGATGGGAGTGCTTGGCCATGTGCTTGCAGAAGATAACTCCAGAGCTCAGCTTCTTCGCAATTTCAGCGATGCGCTCTTGTAGTGACAACCGTTCCCTTTTCCACTGACCTTGCTCATCCGATTCGCCCTCCGGAGGAACTCCTTCAATCAATTCCTTTGTGTAGGGTCTTGCAACAGTGTCACCCTTTTCAACCAACCACTCTCGGTACAATGGTTCATCAATACCGACGCAATCTTCCCTAGCATCGAAGGAGTAAAGGAGCGCCGTGGAGCGGCTTCTCGGAGCAGACCAACAGTGAATGACAGTTATCATGATTGATATGTAGGTATGATGAAAGTACAAGTATTGAATACAAAATGCGGTGGACTGCTTTTTTTCTGGACAGAAACAGTTCTTCGAAAGGACTATTTCTGTTACACATTACTCCAGTCATCTCTATGCTAGCGCCCTGTTGTAAGTGAGTACAACGTTACGACGTCCCTTCTTGGTCATCTCACGTTTCAGATGCCTTTCCCCGTGCTTCAACCATTCGATTGGATCCTTTCCAATCATGTCGTTGAGCATTAGGTCTTCCTCGAGATCAAGTTGTCGCGCTAAGGTTCGCAAATTCGACAAGTATTTCTGACTAGGTGCTGCTCCATGTTTACGAATGCATTCCTTCAAGAATAACATTGCAGAACCTAGCTGCTTTCGCCGTGCATAGTATTCGATGAAAGATCCATACGATGGAATATCGATTGTGCGGCCATCATCTTCGATGCTCTGTTTCTTGGCAAGCGCCCGGGTCAGACGATTGTTGTCAACCAACATCTGTAGCATCAATCGGTCACTATATGCTGTTGGCTTCTGTATGATACGAAGAGCAAGCGAGTCGAAAAGGGGTGAGAAATGGTCAAAGGTACAGCTAGTGCCATTACAAATGACTTACGACTCTGTGTTTCCGATACATGTCGGAGTGAAAGGCAACAGCATCGTTTAGAGAGCCCGAGTTGGTCTTCACCAATAACATAGAATTCAGAAGTTCTTTGTTCACGACTCTGTCTTCCTCTGCCTTCTGAAATGCAAAATCAGCGGTTGCTGTGTTCATTCTCCGCAAGTATCCCATAGAGATATGATCTGGCATTTTTTCGCGCAGAATTGGGACAAGAGACAATAGCGACGGATAGCTTAGTGTGGACTTGTACGCATTTAGTACTCTTCTCAGACGATTGATTGGCATCCCTGGAAGGGCCTCCTGGAGTTGCATCAATTTCAACTTATCGTCCTCGCTCACACCTTCAAGCTCAGCAATTTGATGTCGAACGTCAAGTGCTGCTTCGTCAAGAGACTCATCGAGAGAAATAGATGCGTGCTCTTGGCTTTCAATATCTTCGGCCCTTGCCCCATCCGTCGTTTGGAGTGTTTCGTCATTATTTCTGACTGAACCGTCTTCCTCTTCAAACACAACATTGTTAACTTCTTCATTCTTTTCATTGTCTCCCTCAGACGGCTGAAAGAACGCTTCGTCCCCAAGCTCTGCGTTATTCATCATTGCACGTTCCAAGTCATCATCTGACATGTTTGAGAATTCTTCTTGCATCGAGTCAAAAAGCTCCCGCGCTTCCTCTCGGCTTAAATCGTCAGGAGAATTTCCCTCCTTTCTCACTTCTTCCTGCAGCTCTGCGTAGAATGCGTCAAACATGTCTGACCCGTCGTCATTATCGTCGAAAATGTCATCGAATGTGTCCTCAATACTATTTTCGATTGGACGCTCAATAGCATCCGTAGTAATATCTAGCTTCTGTTCGTGGCCAGGCATCTCCATGCCGAACTTTTGAGGACTGTCAGTCTCGGAAGCAGAACGTGGTTCGAGAAATTCAACTACCTCATCATCTTCCTCGTAATCATTGACATCATCCATCGTCAAAACAGCATCGTCATCAATGTAGAGTCCTCTAAACTTCTTGCGCTTGCCTGGCTGTGGCTCCTCGTCTCGAAGATCCTCGTCGTATCGTCGAAGCTGGCTTAGACCAATTTCGGTACTATTCTCTCCTATGTCCTTTTTTGTGTAGCTGGGTTCCCACCTTGTTGTGATTAAGCGCAACGAGTTCTCGCACAAATACCCTTGATTCTGTGATCCTGCCCACATGGTTCCAACCCCATTCCTATTCATTGCTTTAGCACAGGAGTGTAGCAACGCCGAGATTGCTCTCGTGTCTTTTCCATATTCTCTCTCCCCAAAGGCACTAACACCACTATTGGCTTGCGCTTCAGCTAACGTTTGATCACTAATTGTTGAAGGAGAAAGACCCCTGCTCTCCATATCCCATTCGCTTGTTGCTTCATAGCCCTGCTGTGTGACATCTGAACCATCTTCTAGTCTAGCGAGGTTTGATTGGCCGCCTATGGTACGAAGATTGTCCATCTTGCGAACTTCTGACGCCAAAAAGACTGCCTTGGCCGTGGCCGAGTCACCTGCAGCAGCGCCACATAACATGAGAGCAGATGTGAATCCATCGTCTATCTCCACTTCCACTGATTCGGCCATGATTACAATGGCTCGCGCCATGTTTCCATGGTGTGCTGCAAAAGACTCTCGCCGTAGTTGTTTCTGGGACCACCCATTCTCGAAGCGGGTTCCAATTTCATGACTCTTGGCCACCGCTCGCAAAGCACTAGAAAAGCAAAGGGTGGTCGGTTTGACATCAAACCGTTGCATTTCTTCCAATAGGTTGATCGCTCGTTCGGGTTGGCCTCGAGCGGCGCAGAGGCGAATGATGGCACCAAAGGCCATGGCGTCGGCTTCAATTCCAACAATTCTCATTTGTTGCCAATGGTCCCATCCGACCTTTCCAGCCTTGGCTCGGACGGAATGCGGAATACGACCATCGCTACATACCTTGTAACAAGCCGCTAGAAGTGAAGTGTACGCCGCTTGTGTGGGAACCACGCCTTCGGCCGCCATTTCTTTAATCACTTCGACACATCCCTCAAAGTCTCCCATTTTGGCGTGAATGTCCACTAGAATAGACCAGCTAAAGGCCGAAATGGGATGCTGACTATCTCTCATGAGCTTGAAAATGCGCCTCGCTTCCTTGGGAGTCCGACAACAGGTGAGCAAGGACGTGAAACTGTATTCGCCAAACGCAACGACGGGCACCCCAATGTCGGCCAGCAAATGTTGCAAGGCTTGAGCAATCCCAATTGGTGCGCTGCGTGTGCCGTTGGCATCCCGATAGGCTCTCAGTAGATTGGAAATCGCCTTATCTGATGGCAATGTTGGAATGCTCTCAAGGTCTAAAAGTTCCGATTCGCCAGTGGATTGTGCATCAATCGTGCTCCGATATTGATCCATTTTTTTGGAAACCTCGTGGAAATATTTGGTGTATCGGTTTCCCATGTACACTGGTTCAGGGGTTGGTTGACTCGTCAAATGGGCAGTGTTTCCCATGATATCTTCTATCAAGGCGTCCTCGTATCCATATTCCATTTCCGTGTCCAAGTCCAGCAATTCAGTTTCAGTACCCGCTTCCAAGAGTTGTTGTTTTCGTTCCTTGATCCATTGTCGTCGGGGACCCGCCTTGGAACCTGGGGGACTCTGCAGATCCACTTTTTCTTGTATCTTCTTCATTCGTCGATTGTAAGTCTGTCGTTGTTTTCTTGTCTTTGGGCGTGGTTTGGAAAATGCCGAGGCACGGTCGTGCCGTCGAAAACGGACCTGTGTTCTTTGAAATGCATGTGGTCGACATAATCGGTTGATACTTGGTCGAGCCACCATCTCATCTTCAGGGGGAGGAGGACTAGATCGTGTGAACTGGGCAACGTGCGAAGCATCTTTGGAGTCCAAGCTGGACAAGGCGGAAAAGTGTCTTGAGGAAAATCCTTCGATAAAACCTTGTTGAAAGTGTTGGTTGACAGACTGTTGAGCCAGAGGGCGGGATCGGAGCGTCCTCTTCAGTCCATGCCTTATCATTGTCGAGTAGCACAATATATTGAATTGAATAGCTCTGTGGTTCTGTGGGTATCTTGGGGAGTCTTCTCGCAGTCAAAGGCTGGGAGTGTGACATTGATCGATTGGAAATCACTTGGTTCGATTTGATTTTGTTTTGTGGACATCGTCGTCACGCGAGGATCGCGCGAACATTGAGTCGAATGCGTCATGGGAATTGTTTTTCTATGTCAGTCATGCAAACTGAAAACAGCATCCACCATCAGTGCACATTTCAAGAGTTCAGTCTATGCCATGGAAAACCAAGATAACCTTAACGAAGTCGCCGTAGTCCCTCATCGTCCTCACGGACAACTTCATGCACCCATTGTTTCCGGAGAGTCTGACATTGGAGAAACAGACGAACTCTATGGGTTGGATCCTTCCGACCCAACTCACGCGGATGGTTTGTATGGTGCCAATCTAGACGAAGAAGATGAATCCTACGTTTACAGGCACATGCGCGGTGGCGTAAAAGAAAATATATCGGTTATCTATGACGACGAGGGGGTGAAAAAGACCAAAACTATTTCCGTATTGAAACCTCGACATTCGGATGCCCAACTGCAATGCCCTTGCTGCTTCCAGATTGTTTGTATGGATTGTCAACGGCATGAACGTTATTACAATCAATTTCGAGCCATGTTTGTCATTGGTATTGCAGTGGATTGGCATTCCAAGCTGGTCTATGATGAATTACAGCAAGCACTTGTGCCCAAACCATTCGATGTTGAGACGGAAACGGACGAAACTTTTGACGGGATTTCCAAGAATGTGGCAGAGGGTGATTATTTCGCCGTCTTGTGCGCCAACTGTAGCACACAAGTAGCAGTGTTGGATATGAAGGACGAGGTTTATCATTTTCATGGGTGCTTGGAATCTTCCTGAACCAGCAGCAGGATGACATTAATAGTACCTACTGCTGAAAGGACCTGCATTGGAGCTGGACTTCAACCGGACCCAACGGCATACGAAATTTGAAAGTCAAGCGCAAAGAAAGATCTCTGAAGGCTATCATCAATCCTATGTTCCTCATCAGATAGCGATGCTGCAAGATTCTTATGGTTCAGTGTGCTGACACCATATCTAACCCAACGAGGAGATGCAAGAAGTTGATATCCAAAGGGAATCGACTTGGTGGAACCTGCCATACCTGAAAGACAACAAACTAGCTAGCCAGCCTCTAAGGAGTCTTTTAAAACTATTTCTCTTTACTTTCCTTTTCCTTTACGTTACGTTACTCGGCGGTAACCTTTGCCATCATGGAAGCAATGGCTCCAAAGTCGACACCCTCTTGGAAGACACGATTCCTCTTGGTGTTTTCTGAAGATGCTACAAAAATAATTTTGTCGCCTTGTACAGATTCCACGTTGGGGTGGCTCAGCTTGGTAATGGCATTAGCTGAACTGACGTTCAAAGCCTCACTGACCTTGGCTACAGAAGCGGACTTGTAAGTCAATGACAATACCTCCAAAATTGCACTCTGCATTTTCTGTGTGGAATTCGTTACCAAGTTCTTTAGCAGATTATCTCCTTCAATAGCTGCAACAGCTGGCCAAAATTCTGTAAACTTGCACGATTCCAAAAGTTTGGCGCACTTGAGGACACTTGCACACGGTTCTACTTTTTGTGTTCGGGCAGGAACCAAATATGAAAATGCCAAAATGTCGGTGGATGGGTATTCCAAGAGTGCCAACATTAAAATTAGAGCGATTTTAGACGGATCTGCAGATTGGGAAGAGAATTGGTAGATTCTCAATAAGGATCGGTTGGCATCTTGGTAATACGGGGCTTGTCCTTGGGCTTGAGCATCCACATAAGCTTCCAATGTGGCCTGGTTAGAGGCACTGTAAGGCGATTTTTGTAGCAGTTTTTCGATTTCTTGTTGAGTTGGCATTATTGTGACTTAATTTCTGTATTTGTGATAAAATCAGTTGGTGCGTTGATGGATCAAAGGTTGGATGAACACTTTGCCTTGGTTCAAGTTTGAAGATGATTTCGAGTTGTTGTGGACCACAGGCAAAGAACAGCGTCCTTGCGTCGATGCAATGCTATCGGATCAATCATGTCAATCAAACCCTACAGTACAGTACCAGGTACTCTTGATCAAACGGACGACAAATCGGACTGATCTTTTTTCGGGTCAAAGTAATCAGTGGAAATTCACTCGAATTCCGCGTCATCGCATCAACTTCGACGACTCGGTCAACAATAAGATCTTCTACGCTTCTAACTTGGACAACTATGTCGTCTATGTCGTCTATGTCGTCTATGTCGTCTATGTCGTCTAGAAGGATGAATGGCCGAATGAGTCGATCAATCGCTCTATTACCACTGATTACTGTCCTGTTTCTCTCGGCGTTTCCAAAGGCATCTTTTGCCTTTGTATCGCCGACCTCAGCGAAGCGGTTCCAACGATCATCGATAGCACAGAAGAATCCTTTCCTCGGTGCGTCTCTTGGTGGTGGCAATGATTCCGACACTGGTCTTGAAAAATCGTCAAAGCTAGGACACAAGTTGGATTGGGAAACAATCGGTGCACAAACCAAAGAGTTCTGGCAAATGGCATTTCCTTACTATGAAGAGAGTATTCCGGGACGATGGTTGTTTGCTGGTATGATTGGCCTGACACTTTTGAACTCTGGAGTTTCGGTTGCCTTTTCGTATCTCGGAAAAGATTTTTGGAATGCTCTTAGTTCCAAAGATTCTGTTGAATTCTACAATGTTCTATCAAAATATGTTGGAGCGCTCTTGGTTGGAGGTAGGTACTGCACATCTCGTGGTTTGTCTCTAGCACATAGTAATTCTTTGCTGATGACTGGTCTGCTCTTTCAATTTGCATTATAGCTCCAATTGTGACAATGTACAAATTTCAACGAGAACGTCTGGCAGTGCACTGGAGAGAATGGATGACCGATCGAACTCTTCAATTGTACCAAGAGAATCGGGTGTACTATTCTCTAGAAAGAGGAAGAGAAATCGACAATCCTGATCAACGCATTGCGGAAGATGTCAAAGCTTTCACATCATTTTCATTGCAATTGTTCTTGACCATTGTGACATCGATCATTGACTTGGTCTCCTTTTCTCTCATTCTATATTCGATCTATCCCCAATTGTTTATTGCGATTGTTGCCTACGCTGCTTTTGGAACATTCACTACCACTTTCCTTGGAAAAAGTCTGGTGGGACTTAACTACGAGCAGTTGACCAAGGAAGCCAACTTTCGGTACTCTTTGGTCCGACTTCGAGACAATGCGGAATCCATTGCGTTTTATGCAGGAGAAGACTTGGAAGGCAAGGCGATCTCAAATCGATTGGAGCAAATGATCTCCAACTCTCGGGAATTGATTGGGGCTCAGCGAAACCTAGAGTTTTTCACGAACGGATACCGATTCATGATTCAACTGCTCCCCGTAGCAGTCGTTGCGCCACGATACTTTGCTGGGGCAATTGAACTTGGTGTTATTTCGCAGTCGGTAGGAGCATTCAATCACATTTTGAGCGACTTGAGTATTGTTGTGAATCAATTTGAACAACTATCTCGTTTCAGCGCTGGAATTGAGCGTTTATCGGTCTTCTTGGGTGCCATGCGAAGTGCCGACCCTGCACGAGGTGATGAATCCTACCCTTTGCTGCAGCTTGCAAATGAAACACTCAAGGAAGACGAAATCTCGATGGTACAAGGGACCAATCAAACTACTTCGAACGAGAACATTGGGAAGATCGCCCTCAAACAATGTGAGGAATCTTTAGAAGGATCTATTTTTCAAATCGAGCATTTGGACCTGTGCACACCGGACAAGAAACGCTTCTTGATACGCAATTTGAGTATGAAGCTAGCAGAGGGAGAAAATCTGTTGATTGTTGGAAATTCCGGAGCAGGAAAGTCTAGTCTTCTGCGTGCGATTGCGGGACTGTGGTCGGATGGAAACGGACAAATCAGCATTCCATCTAGTGAGGATATTTATTTCTTGCCTCAACGACCATACTGTCCTTTGGGTAGTCTGAAAGATCAACTATTGTATCCAAGCTTGGAATACATAGAAGCAGAAGACTATCCAAAGGGCCATGTAGAAAGTCGTTCTCATATTCTCAAGCAAAGGTTGACGGACGAGGATCTTCTAGAAGTTCTTGAAAAGGTGGATCTTGGTCAACTAGCTGCTAGAGCCGGAGACGGTGACCCAGTCAAGGGACTCCAGACAACATTAGATTGGAGCAACACACTTTCTCTTGGAGAACAGCAGAGACTTGCTTTTGGCCGTGTGCTGGTGAATCAACCTCAACTTGTAATCTTGGACGAAGCCACTTCGGCTCTAGACATGGTAGCTGAAGCAAGGATGTATACTTTGCTGCGCAACATGGCCACGAAAACGCTTTCAGGGAATGGGAAGCTCTCTGCCCCAGGCCTTACTTACATCAGTGTTGGGCATCGGCCAAGTCTTCTAGCCTACCACGACTCCAGACTGAGATTAAATGGCGAGGAAGACCACTCGTTTGAACCGATCGAGAAGACCAAGGTGGATTTGCAATCAACACTCAAAAGTGTATCGAATTTGTAGACAGTATAATGAATCCGTTACAATAGCAAATAGTCCTACAGTAGGAGGCTCACTTCACAAATTTTGATTTGTCTTCATCCGAACCATTCGACTACTGGTTTAACGGAAGCCCGACAGGTGATCAGCTGCCAAAATATCTGGACGACCTGATCAACGTTCAACAGTTAAACTTCAAAATCCAAACTATCATCTTTCAAGCCATCCAAATGTTCATGAGCTAGACAACAGCCGATTCTCCCACATACCACGAAATGTTCGAGCGCCTTGTCAGCAAAGCGCTTGGTGATTTTTTGTCCAAATACTTCACTGAAGAATCGCTTGCAAAAAATGGAGCATCCACTTCCGCTCAGCTGGGGGTGTGGAGCGGATACATCACTCTTTCAAACATCGAATTGAAGAAAGATGTTATCAACGAGAAGTTGCAGAAGAAGGGGCAGCCATTTGAAATAGTGCAATGTAACATTCGTAAAGTTGAGATCACAATACCTTGGGCACAAATGTCGAATCCAATCCAATCAACGGATAGGAGTAGGGATGAAGGCGTCGTTGTGGTTGTGCTCGATGGCATCACCTTACTGGTCAAAACAAAGTTTGATTTCGATGATGTCGCACTTCGAGTGGGCGAAGTTGAAAATCGAAGAAAGAAGCTCATGAAATCGACATACTCATTCAACGGGGAGTCCAACTCGTCGAAGACAAGCTTTACCGACAGCGTGAAGCAGCGAATAACCAGTGGTCTTCTGCAGCAGATTATGGACAAACTTCACATTCACATACGAGATCTACATGTACGGATAGAAGACGTAGAATCGGATCCTGCAAATCCATATGCCTTCGGCGTATCTATGGAAAGCATGCATCTACATCACAACGAAGTGAGCGGAACTGGCGGAGATGTCGTGAAAAAGGTTGTGCAGCTCAATCACTTTGCTGCGTATTGGAACGTTTGCGATTATATCCCAGATCTCCCTGAAGAAAACTCACTTTTTCATCAAATATCCGATGAAGCTCAGATTGTTGCACAAAAGCTGCACTCAACTATATCTCGGAGGGCTAGTTTGATTGCGTCGCCCTCGAGACGCGTCCATGCCCCGAATCATACATATATCCTACTGCCAGTTGATGGTATGATGTATTTGGATCTGTCAACGACTCCAAATGATCTCACGCGGAGGCCGGCGTTATCTGCTACCATTGTCATAGATGAAGTGTCAACTCAGCTGAGAGACTTCCAGTGTGTTCAGATTCTTCGTCTATATCGCGAAATTAAAAATCATCAATTCGTGAAGAAGTATCGAAGATTCCGACCTCTCGTAAGCGTGAAAGAGGATTCTCGAGCCTGGTGGCATTATGCAGCACGTGTGATAAGGTACCAGCTGAAAGAAAACTTTATGCGCTGGTCGAGGACTCGTTTTGGAGAAGGATTTAAAGCCCGGCAACGGTATATGATGTTATACGAAAAGAAAGTTCTTCATCCAAACGGGAAGCTTGAAGAAAAAGCTGCTATTTTGAGTCTCAATAACCACCCAATCGCTTTGCTTAAGGCGCAGAAGTCGTTTGAGAGTTCAATAGAAGAAGGGAATGACAGCACAACACTCACCTCTGATGCGAAATCTAGTGTCCCGTTACAATTGCAAGAACAAGATGCAGTGAAATTAGAAGAATTCGTCGAGCTACAGGCATTGGAGGATGGCAAAATCGGAGATCTTTCTGTAGGTGACATTATTCTTTTTCGAGCGATCGTCAACATGCGAGGTGGTAGGCCAATTAACAACAATTCTCAAAATGGTGGAAATGAAGTAAAAAATGAAGGATCGTGGTGGAGTAGCTCTTTGGCGAAAGTTGCAGACGACTCAGACACGAGGAAAGAGTTCGATCGACTTCTAGAATTGCTGAATGAAGATAAACAGAAGACTGCCGCGCCTCTGCTTCGAAATAGACTGCAGACTGCAGTAGATTTTAGCCTTCGGTTGCAAGAAGTTAGTGCCTCTGTCTTTGCTCCGTCGCACCTAACAAAAGATGAGAGACCACTACGTCGACTCCACAACAAGTTTCTCGAATTCAAAAGTCTTCATGTCCACACGAAGACGGCCTTGAAGGGTGACTACAAGACTATTGATTATCATCTATCGGTAATGGATGTACTTGGTTTGGAAATTGGTGCAAATATTGGTGACTTCGTGATATCCAGTCAAGCAACCAGGGTTGACCCTGGTAATAGTATTGGGGATCCTGAGCAAGCCACTGAAGACAGCCCATTTTTACAGGTTGCAATAACAAAGCATCCGCCTGCTCCATCCGCCTGCGACCTGGAAGTGATTGTTTTCGTAAATTCTATGGAAGTATACCTAACCCCGAACTCGAAGTGGATTCGAAATCTGCAAGCGATCGCTAAACAGTTATCAGGCCTGCCGAAAGTTGCTGATTTCTGGAAAGACCTTTCGATGGCCTACGTTAACTCGCTAGCGCTGGGAAATTTTGGGCGTCGAGCAAAGGCAGAATATGGTGTGGAGGACCACAAAAGTATTGACGTTGACATATCTATTGAATGCCCCAAAATTCGAATCAGCGATGGTGACGGATGGGATATTTTTATTGATTTGGGTTCTGCATCTGTTAAGACAGCCAAGCTTGCTGGAGTATCTTGTTCGAATCTTCGAAATTCTTCGGTAGTCGTAGAAAACAATGAGACCGACAGCATGATGACAATGATGCGCACGATGGGCGGAATGGACGATAGTTCGGCCGTTGGTTCGGAAATTGGACCGTCGCCAATGAAGTATCGCTTTGAGGTTGGTACTCCGAATCCGAAGAGAACCACATCTATCTCATCGGCCATATCAATTGGGAGTAGGGCAAAGTCGCGTACCGGCGCCGCGCCTTACGAGGATGGTTTTTCCTTTCGCTACGACGGTGGTGATGATAACTCTGTTGGATGCAAGTCCAAAACGAGAGATGCTGGAATGCAAATGAATGAGATCTTTTATGATGTCTACGTATTTCGCTTGCAGACAGGGAAGATAACTACAAAAGGGGTGGATCCACATGAGCTTTCTCCTAGCTTTGGAATATCAACTACAATCAAGAAATCAATACTACCATCAGATCATACCATCTGCAAGCTAAAAGCGAGTACATTGATTGACCATGTGACATTGAATCTGAACGAAAGCTCGATAATGCACTTCGCAAAACTGCTTCGCATCTGGAAAGGAATTACACTTGTTCACTCCGCTAAACTTGGAAACAGCTCTTTGAATCACTTCCCTTCGCGACTTGGAGTTCTCGATGACCAAATTGGCAATCAGATTTCGCAATCTCAGATTGAAACAGACATCTGGGATGACTCAGCCTCACTGAGTCAAGTGGACGAAGGAGAATTTTTTGATGCCGACGATGGGTATGATTCGATGAGCAATACTTCTGCCCGATGGTTTGATGACAATTGGATAACAGATACCGAGAGTGTAATTGATGCTGACAGCCGATCTCTCCGAGGTGGCCGTAGTAGGAGAAAACGGTCGATTTCAATATCTGAAACATCATCAAATTCAGATGGTTCTTTTGTGGGACGGAAGAATGTATCTGGAATCTACCTGAGTGCCGAAAACCTTGCGAATCTAAATCAAGGTATAAGCGAAGCTGATGAATCTTTTGGTGAAAGTGAAGGTAGTGATGACGATTCTTTTCATTCTGTGATGTCTGCTGGAGGGCAAATGAAAGTTTTGAATGAATTAGAAGAAGGAATTGTCAGGACAGAGAGGATATTGAATAAACCACGAGAGGCCACAGAAAATGGCGGAAGCTCTGACTTGGGTAATCACAGTGCACATAGTGAGAGCCAAGGCATGGGGGCAGCTTCGAAGGTTGAAATATCGAGAGCTGTTGCAGAATTGAACATTCTGAAAGCTCTTCATGCTGACCTTTCGTCTATGCTCGACGGTATTCGTCCCAACCAAGAAGTCTCTAGCAACGAAAAAGTGGGCGCATTCGAGGACAGAAGCCAAGTGACGAGAATTGCGGATCATCATGCACGAGCAGTGAGAGCAATTTTGGATGCGAGACATCGGCGAGACTCCATAACCCGAGCTAGCAACACTCACAATCTCACTCGCAATCTAAATCGAGAGCTATTTCAGGGTTCAGTTCTCGTAGGAAAGATAGAAATCATTCTACAACTTGAAGAGGAGGCAGAACAAGGCACACATCTTGAAAGCCAACACTCGATGATCAAGCTAGTAGCAGAGGATACTGCCGTCGCATTGTCAAAGCGGCGTCAAGACATGAAACTTTATTTTTCCATGGACCAAATGGAGGTATTGTCTGGCTACAAAAATGAAGAAACTTCTTTTCTCCTTCTCTCTTGCGGTGGTCCTGATACATTACTTCCGTCTCACTTCCCGCACCTTGTGTCAAGATCGATGGAAGATAAGTTCATCCGTGGTGCCTTTCACGTCACTCAACACCAGAAAGACTCTTCGTCGGACCGTATTACGAAAAGCAAGAAATTGCGATTGGTCCTTGGTGATATCGAGGCATCGCCTTGTGAGCAACACATCTCACCAGTCCTGTCGTTTCTATCAAGAAGAAAGAAAACTGGCGAGAACGTTTCCAAAGATGAACGGGCTACCCCTGACCATGCCGACAAGGATACAAACGACGAGAGCAGTGGCAAGTCAATCATACCAACAACTGGGAGTCTAGCTGATATCGCTTTGCGGTTGTCTTCAGTTCGGATGGTTTTGCGGCAAAAGAAAAGGGTAGTCAGTGCGTTTGCTATTTCCGAATTGTCGGCACGCCTTGTCCACATGGAGTCACATCTGAAAAATAAGCTCCAGTTAGATCTACAATGCACGAACGTCCAGATTCTGGAAGTTGAAAACCTAGAGTCTGGTTTTGGCGGTGAACTCTTTGGGCGTCGTGATGCGTATACCTCCCTTATTCAGACGAGAGTCAGGACCGAACTTGTCCCTTCTCACGAGACCGGCGGTTGGGTATTGGGCATGGGGAAACCGAAATTGAGAAATGAGTCTCCGTCATTAAATGATATTGTCCGGAATGTTCACATCGGTGTGAGACTGAACCCGATAAATATTGCATCTTCTCCCACAGGAGTCCGGGGTTTTGTCGGAAGCATCGGTGAATTGGAAGAGGCCACGAAGAAGGCATACATTTCGCCCACAAAGCCATCCGCCAAATCCAAGGGAGCAGATCCTAAAATCCCTCTTCGATTTCGGTGCGATATTTCCCTTCGAAGAATTGCAATAGCCTTCCACGAGGCGGAACAGAACTGGCGGAATGATGGTGGTAGCAGTATGGTTGTTGCATTTACAGTAGTTGCATCATTACAAGGATCTACCTTGGGTCGAAAAAGCCTGTCTTCACAAGTTGCACTTGCTGACATAACTGCCATACGTACCGTTGATGAGTGGCCTATTGTGGAACCCTTCACAGTGGCGAGCGATATATCGCTCACAACGAGCCCTGCAACATCTGGAATCCAGGAAATGGACGAGATTCAGCTGCAAATCCCGAACGACTCCCGTTTGAATGAGGTAAAACCATACATGGATCTTTTCGTTTGGGAGAAGCTGCCAAAAGAGCATCTATCTGAGGAAGAAGTACGAGTTAGTGTCAAGATTACCCCAATAAATGCCAACTTGTCGGCTCCTGTTATCAGTCTCTTGGCTGGTACGAAAGAAAAACTGCAACAAGTTGTAGCAGCCACAAAGACAGCTACAAAGACTGCAAAGGTGAACGTCAAGAAGGTAGAACCTACGCCATCGGCCCAATCGGATTCCTCAACAACCCCACGCCTATTGTCTGTCAGTGTTGAGGCGATTGAGTGCATTGTTTTAAAAGAAGCTGAATCGCGTCCAATTTCAAGTGCGAAACCCCTCTTTTCGCTCCAACAGAAAGAACTGCAAATTGAGTTTTCTAGCAACCCATCAACAGCCGTATCTCTTTCTATCCGAGAATTCTCGTTAATTGATTTTTCTTCCGTCCATGGAATACGGGTATTGGGCGAAGATCCCACTGGAAGAGAAAGAAACGGTAGTCAGAATCCATTTTTTCTCAGTGTGGAGCTGTTTTCCTACAAGCAATCTGACGGTCCGACTGCTGCGACACTCAATATCCATTGGGGTCGCATTCAGTGTCTACCTGTACCATCATTTGTGGCCTCCTTGCTCACCGTGAGCCAAGTTGTGAAATCAACGTTGCAGTCAAGAGCGACCTTGCCAGATGTAAAGTCAAAAGTACCGAAAGAAAATGCGCTCTCTAAACTACTTGGATCCCCGCGAGACGTAAAACTAACTCTCAAAGCTGATGCCGAGTCCTTCGAGTGCATACTCCCGTCCAGAGATCTTGTTGAGTACGCTAAGGTCGCAAGCACTGATCCCATTGGTGTAGTGAGTCTAAGGTGGAAAGCAACTCTCTCGATGGCCATTGCTTTGGATTCCTTGAAATATGGGTCTAAACCTTGGTTGAACCTTAATCTGGATGGCAGCCTCTCCGACAAGAAAGATAACGGCCTCTTCAAGGATTTTTCTGATAGATACTTCTCCCGCAGCTTTGGATTGGATGGATCAGACGAAAAAGCGCACAGGCTTGTCAATGCTTTCACAGCTCGTATTGGTCTAATTGTCACGAATTTTCAGGTTTTGCGAACGGACATTGCAAGTACGTCTTTGGTCGTCTCTTCAAATGGATCAAAGGGCGCATCCCGGTTGCCGAAGAATCGCATTGCTTTCAAAGTCTGTCCACCACAAGCTGGCGAGCAGAGAATCACGAATCCTATAGATCTGAGACTATCCTATAGAGCAGTTGGTGCGTCGATGTCTGGTTCATGCGGTGGCGATGATCACAGTCCATCTGTTGAGATCTCCCAATTACTAGAACTCGAAGCGACAAAAGCCGTTGATTTTCTTTTGTACATCTCACAGGGGGAACGGGGATGGACCGAAGCTCAAAAGGTGACCGTCAGACCCATTCTGGACCTCTTGAAAAAGAAGCAAGCAAGAAGGAAAAAAGAGGAAACCACCGATAGCGTCCCCCAAAAGGAGGCGCAGCCAAACTCAATAAAGTTGCTTGCAATGAGTGCAACAACCCTCTGTTCTATTCGTCTTCCTGGGTTCCAGGTGACTTGTGTTCCTGGAGGTGCCACAAACTTGAATGAAGCTCCCATCATCAAGTTTGAACTGTCTAGTCTCTCAGTAGGCCTTGCTTTCCTACCAGTTCACAAAAATGTGCTAGGTGGGTTGACCGTGCCGAAGGGCGCAGCTGGGTACGGTGCCCAGCTTGTACCAGAAGGAAAGATTGACATAATGTATCTTACCGCAGCTGGTTGGATCGATTGTGTGATGAGCGCTCATTACCATAACCGTCGTCTCGTAGCTTGGGAACCATTTGTCGAGCCTTGGACTGTCAACATCAGGTTTGGTGCAAATCTTGCCGACGTATTAAAGGTGCCTCCCATTCTTAAAAGGTCATTCGATGAATCACAAAGATCTGACTTTGATCCCTGGATAGTATCAAAGTTAAACGAAGGGACTACTGACAGATTACGAGATGTTGGGCGACTGTTCCGAGCTCCGTTTCATAGTGCTGCATCAAAATCATCAAATCGCATATCACACAATGATTTGAGTTATCTCATGTTGGCGTCAACGGCTCGGGAATCAATACTTGCTGCACAGTATCCGACCTCGGAATCTAGCGACGGCAAAGCAGCTAGTGCCTTTCTCCTGTTGCCCAGCCAAGATGCAATGGGTTGGCTTCGAGGGTTTGGTTTTCCTGACACTTCTAGAAAGGGCAGTCGAGAGAATCCTGAGCACTATTCTGTGTCTTGTGTCATCTCCGATCAAAAACCACTGAACGTGAATCTGACTGGCGCTCTTATCGAGAATGTTATTGGATACATGGACAATAGCAAGAAGAGCGGTTTTGAGACTATTGCACCCCATTGGATCCGGAATGAAAGCGGTTTGGTACGTTTTCTGCGTTTGATGAACTGTCACGGTAGCTTCAGTTCTCGTTGCACTAACTTTGTTTCCTTTCCGTGTTACAGACTATTCGCTTTCGGGAGGTGCTCGAGTCTGACCGAGTAAAACTGGGCGAAGAGGCCGGGAAGACCATCTTGTTAGATGGTTCTCGGATACCACTCACTTTGAAAAGGTCTATCTCGCAGTCATGTGATCCACATCGCGCATATATCTACCTCGAGCTGGGGAGCGCAGAAGATTTTGAAGATTTTGATGGCAGAATTGACAATGGTGATATTGATGATTCACCAGGGAGTCGCTTGGGCTCATTCTTGTATAAAACAGCAGCAAAAATTCCGGTCGACACCGTCGGTGTTCATCGGTATCCACTCGACAACAATGTGGAAATGGTTACAGAAACAGGTGTCATGATTACAGACACTCGCTCTTTGGGATGGATAATCGTACGTGTTGCACTGCAGGGTGGGACCAAAGTTATCTCGGTCGAGTCGCCGTTCACTATCAGGAGCTCCGCGGACACAGACCTACTCTGTGAGTTGCGTGAGAAATTTTCACAGTCAGTTCTCTGGAGATATCTGATCCCAAAAGTCGAAGATCAACGTGACAATGATGAATACTCTGGTTTTGTTTCAATACCCGCGGACATCGTGCCCCTTGTGCACGATAGGGCATATTCGTTCAAGGTTGTTGCTTTCAACCGAGGACCATTTCCTGAAATCGACTTGTCCTCCATCTCTGATTCGGCGATTAGGATATCGGTCCCACCACCATTTTCTGACCTTTCTGTCCGAAAAGGTTTGCTGCAAGAGCGGGAAGTTGCACTACCAACAATTGGAGCCGAACCAGAATCATCGCCTGACCATTTCCATCTCTCTGTTTGTTCAATACGAATTGGAAATCTTTTTGGAGCAACCAGTGCGATGAAGGTACCAGAGCAACGGATGTTGCTGTTTCGGTCGCCTTTGGTCATTCAGAACTTCTTGGCATTACCCATTGCTCTTCAGATTCGAGTCAAGTATCATGACATGTCGACCAATGAGCGATCCTTGGACAGGTCCAGGTCCCAAGGGGCATCAGGAGAGCAGTCTCTAATTCGAAAGGAAACATTGTACATGGAATGGCAGGACATCGGCGTCCTGGACTGTGGTCAATCGACCAATTGGACAGGGGCCCTTTCGAAAGATCGAGTACAGATCCGAGTACGATTTGTTGGTCTAAATGGAGACAACTCTCGTCGCTTCCCTGGATGGAGTTCACCGGCAACAATTCCGACTAAAGACAATTATAATCAAAGCTTGAACAAGAAAAAGGGGGCTTTCGATCATCTGAGAGTATGGGATGCGGATGAAATACCTCTTGACCTATCGGTCGCCCTCGAGACTGGAACTCATACGACTGACAGCGAAATGGGCAATATTCGTCACTTTTCGGAAGGATTTTCATCTGGCACTCGTGTCGTGAGTCTCTTCGTGCCTTACTGGGTTGTTGATAGTACGAGTGAAGATCTTGAATTTTCTGCAGGTGGTCCAATTGCAGGACAGTTGGACAAGCATGTGAGCTTTGATACAAGCAGACCGAACGTCGCCGACAAAGGAATGCTGGGACTTGCTGAGCTCATGGACAACGACGGATTCGTGAACTTGCCTTCTAAGTCTCCTTTTGATGTGATGATGATAGGTGACAGCAGCGCTACTCGCCTCACCATTCGGAAAAGGGTTTCGCGCACAAGTCGTAGACGACGCTGGAGACACCCATCGCCGTGGTCAGACCCGATTCCGCTTCAAAGCGGCAGGAACTTACATGACACAACGGTACTATCTTTCATAGATCAATCGAAAACCCATCCAGAAGAACAAGGGCAATTTGACCGATATGTACTACGGTCGAGTATGAAGCCTGCCCCAGATACCTGTGGCGGGAGTCTTGGAACGCTTCTGATCCACGTCGTGAATCGTTATGCAATCATCAACGAAATCGGGCGCGACATTGAAATCTTGCAAGGGCGCGAAGAAGGCGCCAGCCTACTCGTGAGGGCTTCAAGCAAACCTCAGCCTTTCCATTTTGATGTTTCGAAAGCAATTCGATTCCGATTCAAGGAATTCGGGTGGGACTGGTCCGGAAAGTTTCATATTCAAATGAATAGGCGGGAGGTAACGATGCGTCTGCGCCATAAAATGAAGGGCGAAGCAGTCATCGTGACCGTAGAAGTTCAAACAGAGAAGAATTCTTCGACATATTCCCTTGTTTTCCGTCAGTCAACCAATCCTCCATTTCGGCTTGAAAATCAAACAATGCACCCACTGTACTTCGGTCAATCAGCCATAAGTAGGTCGTCACAGGAGGCTGACGCCGACACTATGTTGTTGCCATATCAAAGTGCTGATTTTGCCTGGGACGAACCTGAGTTGAGGAGGAGGGCGATGCTGATGAAATACAGAGACCCCCGAAATGGAAGAGATTCGGTTTTGGGTCGCTTCTTTCTTGATCGCAGTGTTCCAGGATCAAAACCAAGTGTGGAAAACCCCTTATTCGCCATGGAGGTTGTGGCAGATGGTCCTACAAGAGTTCTTCGGCTAACAGATGCTGCAATGCCACAAATGCAACAACTTTCGAACGGACGCAGCGGAGAAAAGAACGATTTCAGACAAGTGCAAGACGCAGATAGAGCCTTCACTGTGTCTTTGGTCGTACGACTGAGCCATGGACTGGGTGTCAGCGTTGTCGATTGGAGTCCACAGGAATTGGTGTATGCTCGACTAGACGATATTCAAATTGAGCGGAATATTGACCTTGAGAAAGATACTGTAACTTTGGCTGTAGGGAACATCAAGATGAATAATCAACTTTGGGTGACTCCATATCCTGTACTTTTGAAAATGGGAAGAAGATCGGATTCAAACAGTTCATTGAGAAGAAATAGAAAGAACGATGCAATCAGCCTTTCATGGCGGCGGCCGTTGACTCCAACCGGTGGATATGGAAATGTGACGATACTTGAATTGGTTGAGTTGTCGTCCCAACCTCTCTTCGCTAATGTGGATGGCAATCTGGTACATCTACTACTTCGCATGATGAAGCAAGTCACAGGGACTACTACGGGCACAAATCCCCCGACAATACTATCTAGAGACGACGAATTGAAAAAGATTCTGTCAGTTCATCGTGACAGCAGCCCTGCGAATGTGACCGAACCAAAGAAAGGAATCATTGCTTTGTTTAATCAGGACGCGGATGGGGAGCTTGTTACCACTGCTGCAATCGCGGCAAAGCTCAAGTCGGAACCACTTCCACTTGTCAGAATTAAACCATCGGCCACGGGAAGAAAGAAACAGAAAAGACAACAGTTTTCATCAAAGACAAAGCGCAAGTTCTACATCGAGAAAATAAAGATTTCGGCTGCAAGGGCGGATCTAAGCTGGTCTGGGCCGTTGCCAGGTCGCCTATCAAAATTGTTGCTACGGGCGTTGACATTCGAACGTTTGCCGCTCCGTTTACGACCATATTCAGGGTCTCATGCGTATGGCAATGCCGAAGACCATGTTCAAGCACTGAAGTCATACTACGTTAGCTTCTGGAGAATCCTTGATCTACTGATGGGTCTCTCATACAACCCTACATTCCTGTCTAAAGCAATTGTCTACACACTGCGAGAGAGCTTGGCATCCAGCCTTGAAATACTATCGGAATCCTACAGCTACAATGCAAAGTCTCTCTCAAGACTATTGCCAGACAAAAAGTCTAATCCTAGGTATGAAGATGGCCAACGCATCGAGAATGTGTCACAAGAGTCGTTACGCTTGACAAAAAGTCTTGTGTCACCGATTGTACAAAGTGTCTCCTTTTCGTTGCGCTGTGCTTCCGCAGTGACATCTTGGGTATCTTCAATGCTCAAGTATGGCCCGCAAGACAGCAAGAGATTGGCATCACGTGGCATGTCTAGATCACGAACACCACGTGTCTTTGCTCGTGTGGATGGAAAGGAGCTGCTGGTCGAATATATCGAAGGTGGAAATTCAGGCAAATCACTCTTGTCACGGGTACGTATGGGAATACATCTTGGCGAAGGTTATATTATTCATACAGAAGAGGCCAGATTGTTGCAAGAGAATAGGTTGACGAGTGTTCTCGATCCAAATCCATTGATTTTCATGGTCACATCCGAGCGTGCATTCCTGTTGAATGGAACTCTGGACCAAGCATTTTGTACCGTCGAGTGGGAAGCCACCTTTTTGAATCTCGTTGATGTCGAGTTGACGGCTGAAAAACGGATCTCATTGCGTGAGATGATTGTTTGGTACTTGTCAGATCAAGACATCCGAACTGTCGACGAAGAGGACAATGCTCCAACAAGAAATACAAGCCTCCCTTGCATTGGCATGAGGGCACTTCAAAACAAACACATTTTCCTCCCCGAAAGTATTGCGGAGCAAGTGGTAGAAAAACTGAGAAAAGCTGTATCAGGATTCCACAAATAGAATCTTCCCTGCACAAATTGTATAATAGACCCTGTTATAATAACATCTTATTCATTTGTTAAGTTTAATCAGAGTCGTCATCCACCACCGCTTGATGCGATCGTTTCTTGGTTGATGCCTTGACAACAGCAACCTCGTCATCGTCTTCATCATCTTCAAATACCAACTCTTCTTCGTCCTCTTCGTCCTCTTCCAAAGCTCGCTTTTGTCGCTTGCGATTGCGGTTTCGAAAGGTATCATTGTAACCATCACTATCGTCTGATTCATCTCCATAATCGTCCATGTCATCTTCAATCGCTCCCTTCTTCATGGCACTAATATTGGTTGTGTCATAGTCACCATCATCGTCCTCTTCCATGTAACGGCGGTTCATACCAGGCGTGCGGCGACGACCACCACCAGCCCGATGTCCACCACCACTTCTACGTGCTCGAATCTTGTCCTCCTCTGCATTGGTACGGATGCGATCGGCCCTAAGCTTTTCGGGATCTTCTTGCGTAACATATTCGGCAATTTTTGACCGCTTCATTGTTCTCTGTCTAACAGCAACTGTGAGACTCTTGTGAGCTTCGGACTGCAAGGAAGATGGCTTTGGAATGAGTCGGCTGGTGACTCCTCCAACACACTCTAGCATGGTACCACCGTTATCCTCTCCGTTTTCTTCGTTGCTGCTGTAAGTGGCCTTTTGAGAGAGGTAAACAAAACTCTTGAGGCCTGTGGATCCAGCTTCTTTATTGTCCACGTTCTGAATCACAAATGATTCATCTCCAATGTGTAGCGTGAAGGAACCATCGTCCCACTTGACTAGCTTGGAATTGCTCTCCCGAATCAAGCTTCCAGAAGCATCTCGCTCAAAGTCTCCAGTATTGTTCTTCTTGTATCTCCATCGAACCATGTTGTGTACATAACCCTTGTATTGTTCCTCTTCTTCCTGGGCACTATAGTTGGATTCTTCAAAGGCAGCAGGTTGAATGGCCAGAAGATTCGGTAGTTTGGTCATGTGCATCGTAACGCCATCGTCTGGACGAGCTACATGAACAACAGTGGCATTTTCGGGTGGTCGATTGGATGATTTGGACGGGGTTCCGGCAGTGTCAGAGGTTGTCTTGGTAGGGTCTTGGGCAGGAGCTGCGGCTCCTTCAACGTCATCAAATTTGGCATCGGATTCATCATCACTGTCGTCGTCAAATAGAGACGGCCGTGAAGTTGTTTTGTTTTCTCCATCCCCTTCCTTGGTTTCTTCTTCTTTGCCTTCCGATGCCTTTTCCCCGTCGACATTCGTGGTCTTGTCACCCCCATCCTCGGAATCCGAGTCATTTGCAGTGGCTGGGTCGTCCACCTTACCCTTCTCTTGAGAAGTGACAGCAGGGGTCACTTCGTCCTCATCAGATGAGTCATCATCCGCAAAGAGAGCATTGGAAGACATCTTACTATCCTTATTAGTAGGTATCAATTGGACCGTGTTGTGGTGGAAGATGTTGCTCCTTACTTGCATTGGATCGGCTTCATTGTTTTCACTGTCGATGGACGGACCACATCTTCAGACTTCAATTTTTATATCCATATTATCTGTGTGATTCAAATCATCACTTTTTCTGAAAACCTTCATGTTTGAGATTGTCCTTTTCTTTCTCAGTTGCTTCCCTTTTCTATGTGCAACTGGATTCCAACCTCTGCCAAGATATCAAGTTGTTCAGGAAGTAGTACCATTGGTAGATCATAGTTGGACCTTACTACAAGCCTCACCTGAATCATCAGCTACTACCGAGGAGGAGGATGGTATTTCGGATGCCGAAGCTCTCCTGGCGTGTTGGTCCTACCTCAAACGCCGCAAGCGGATTGGGAATTGGACCAACGCGGAACGGCGGAAAGCCATCAAGGAGTCAATCAAGGAGTCTGGCAGACCATCATTCTTTTGGGGAGAGGACGACTCGGAGCTGCTCATGGATGGTGATGTAGAGTATGAGGATGATGAAGGCGAAGAAGAGTATTACGATAGGAATATTGATGGCGAGAACACGGATTATATGGATGGTGAGAAGGAGGTTATCGAAAATGAAGACGATTTTAGTACAGAGTGGTTTGGAGAGTTCACATCCTTTCCAACGGAACCCACTGTCACTCGGGCACGCCGGTCATATTCGGCCAAGCAGGTATGGAAGGATCCAGAGTTTCGGAAGCGGTGGCAAGAAAGTCGATGGGGAAACAAGCTATCCAAAGATGACAAACATAAAAGACTGGTAGAAAGCAGAGTGAAAAAGTTGCCACGAGAATTTTGGGGTAGTGACGAGCTGGCGAGTATGACAAAAGAAGATATCAACATGGCAATCGAATCTTATGTGAATGGACGGAAGAAGCGAAGTGCAAACGTCAAGAAAGCATTGCAAGAGCGAAAAAAGGCGCTCGAATTCCCCTCGCCAGACAGTGAGGACGACCGTGTCGCTAGAAATTCCTTGTTTGCCGCGGATCATGAGACTCTGAAAGAGCAACAACGTCTTCGATCACAGAAGGCCAAAGCAAGGTATCAAACGCGGCTGGATAATGAACAGAGAAAAAAAGGAGCGCTCGAACCTAAAAAACCAGCTTCAAAACGAACCTACTTGCCTAGTGGTTCGACACCACAAGATGCAGTTATGCGGATTGAATCAAAGTTGGATGCGCATGAGTATCCTGCGGTCAGCGACTTGAAAATCATCATGGTGCCACAAAAACTTGGCAAGCGGAGAGGCTTGTTGAAGCGAATACTGTTGGACTTTTTCAATCTTCGAGGAAAGTGTATACCAATTGATTTGACCGATGAATCCAGCGACAAAGAGTTCATCACCAAGGCTCCTATTCAACAACTGGGAGAGTTCGCCATAGAGCTACTAGAGAAGCGGGCTGAAGAAGAGTGAACTATCTGAATACAAAGTGTTTCCAATATGACGTATGTTCTGTGTTGATTTTGGCAGGTTTCCCGCTATGAAGTCTGATTGGTCATGAATGAAATCCTTTCATTTTTCTTGTCGCTTAGACAACCATTGCTCTCCGCCTTGTGCAGTTCCTGGTACCGTAACACATGGCCTTGATCAAGAGAGGGAAAAATAGAGTATATATTGGTATAATGACTTATCTTTTTTACAATATAGTATATATTTATTGATAACTCTTGTTGAATTCATAGGTAGTCTGGAAGTGTGTGATCACGAAGTTTCCACCACGACCACGAACATTGAGTTTCCAATTTTACAAACGACGCGTCGGGTCGTTTATTCAGCCGCGATAACTTGGTCAGTCTCAACTTGTTTGGTTTTGCTGATTTTGTATTCCATCACCTTTTCCCATTTCTTTATGTGCTTCTTGTACAAATCGAAAGCTGCCATGGCATCCTCGTAGGCACTGTGTGGTTGGCCGTAAATTTGAATGTCGCGTTGAAGCTTGAGCTTGGCCAATTCCTTTAGCTTGCGAGGCCATAAAACGCCGTCATCGAATCTAGTTTGCATGAATGGTTCGTATTTTGCAGTATCGCGGGTCATCTGCCATGGGTGCTTGAGGTTAAGAGCTTTGAGATCATTCTTCAAAGCATGACCCACAAGAATTTTTCCGTCCAAGAGTGATTCCATTTGGGCACGGCACTCGTCAAAAGTAAGTTTGGCTGCCTCCAAATCGGCTTCAGTAATCCCAGAAACAAATGTACGGTAGTCTGTGACAGGAACCGATTGCTTTACAAACTCATCGAAAATGATATTTCCGTTCCAGTCTACCAGAGTGACGCGTGCTACAGATGACCGTCTGCCAAGGTAGCCACAGCCGACCATTTCACAATCCAATGCGACATATTTTATTTGTTGGTCAAGGGACACGACAAGTGGTTCTGGTGCCGACGATGGGTTTGGTGATGCCTTCGTTTTTCTAGTGCGTCGACGTCTACGGCGTGGCTTTGTGGAAGAGGAAGATAGGGATGAATCAGAATTACATGCACTATCATCCGAGGATGGCATATTTCTGTTTTGTCTTCTCTTTCCACGTTTCTCTAATGCATCCACGCCAATGACCTGGTATGGTAGAAATGAAAAGAATCAATCGGTCAGTCCATGTTTTGGTATGCTTGCAATTTAGATGGGTAAATTGACTTACGGTGACCTCAGTTTCGTTGTTTTGAATTGCCATTGCTTCGCTTGGGTTTGCTTTATTGTCGCTGAGCGTTGTTGACCTTGTATTTTATGAAGCAGTATAGTGGAGGAAGTATTTTTGAATTTGAGTGGCGTGGCAACTCATCATCAGCAAGTGAGTCACCCCAAAACTGTACCCATTATTTCACGCGACCACTGCCAGTATCATTTTGACATCCTTTACTTACTAAAAGGTTGCCCTCCAGTCCCGGTCAATAAGTAGCGAGGTAGTACAGCCGTGCTACGTGGACCAACAAAAGTCAGAACAAAAAAAATCGGTCGAGGTGGCATCAATTACGTGTTCTTTCAATTCTTGTTTGAATTCTCAATTCTCACTGATCTGGTTACATCATCATCATTGCCTGACCATGAGTGGATGACTCAATATTTCACCTATTACTGGAAGATCAACATCAGCAATACAACCACCTACAGCATGTACTGTAGAAGCAACTAGTATGAACACTCCGAACACTATCGAAATGTCAGCTGCATCCTGAACTGATCTAAAATAGTCACAATCACAAGCCTAGCGGACTTTTTTATTATTGACGCTAGTCTTTGTTGGTTTCATATTTAGTCGCAAGGATTATGATTCTCGCTTCTCTATCACGTGAGCTATGGCGGAAAAAGACAATAGTTGTCTACAATGAGAAAACCCCCCTCCAGTCTCTCACCTGATAACTGAGAAACGGGCCAAGAAGCAGTTGTGGTACAAGTGCTTATAGTCATTAATAATAAATATGAAGCTCAAAAGACCATGGTAGATCGCAGAGTTGACGGTACACAATCAAACAGAAGCCCTGCCGTACTTCATCAAACAATACCCTACATCAACTGGTACGAGTTCGCTGTCTCCGACTCCAGTTCCCAATCTGGCTTAGCTTCACCCTCTACATCAAGCAGCTGTTCGTTTTCAGACTCTGGTTCTCCTTGTATCCACAGGTGTCCCCATGTGTTGCCATCTTCATCTTCATCCTGGTATAGTGGAACGCCTGCTCCAACTACACCTCCGGGTGCAATCGAGCTCAATGCCTCACGAAGCCCATAGTAGGCCTCCTTTCGAGTGTACTCTTCGTCAAACAGCAAGGGTTCATCGTCATAATAAAAGTGCGTGACCCAAGTGTGTCGATCCGTAAATCCCCACGTCCAAATTCCATCAAAGCAAGATTCTGTCAAGGCTGCCGCAATGATATCTCTGTAGATTTGCCGTTGAGCAATTTGTCGTAGATTCGGTGGCAACTGACTGACTCGAACATCCATCTCTGAAATGTTCACTGACAATCCTAGTTTCCCAATTCGATGAATTTGATTCTTGACCATTCGAGGGGTCGGTGGCCGATTTTTCCCTACACCGCTCGCATTAAAATGTGCTTGGATTCCACAGCCATGTATTGGGACATTTCTCCGTTTGAGATCAGCCAGTAGCTGATAAAAGGCATCGGCCTTTCTAGCATTCGGTCCATTCATACCCTCCACTTTGTTGTCATTGTACAGCAGAATCGCGTCAGGATCTGCCTGATGGGCCCATCGAAAACACTGCTCAATGTATCCAGGCCCCAATTTACGCAAAAATACACTGTCTGCCAACGAGCCGTCCGGAGCCAAAGCCTCATTGACCACATCCCACGTCTTTATTCTACCATAAAAGTGTCCCATGGTGGTGAAAATGTGACGCCGAAGTTCTTCCTTGACCTGTTGTGGTGACATTTCTTCTAGTAGACTACCTGGTGACGTGACGTGCCAGGCCAGGACATGGCCCTTGACTTTCATATTATGTTTGATAGCCCAGTCCACAATAGCATCAGCGTGATGAAAGTCGTATCGGCCCAATCGATTCGAAGATTCTCCTCCTGGACAAGGCCCAGGTTCGTCCACACACATGGGTGCCCATTTCAGATGATGCTCAACCACTACAGCGTTGAATTCACGAGACAGAGTCCGAGCATAGCGAGTCGTCTTGACATGGGTTTGCTCGGGAGCGACTCCCTCGTGCTTGCTTTCATCGTAATCGATTTCGTCGACATCAGGATTCAATAATGGTTTTGGAAGGACCGCGGCGCCAATATCAATATTCTTGCATGCCTTGGCCAACACTTCTTTCAGGGAATCACCATCCACTCCATCCTCATACATTGTGAACGTGCTATGGCTGACAGAGTTACTTTAATTCTACTTCTTCTCTGCTTTGATTGTCTTGCAGTTTACAGATTCTTCACGATCCAGATGCGAAGACTTGATTGATACAATACTTGATGTCTTCGCAAGAAAAGCCACACATGAACCCGGATGCTATGACATATTCGACTGTCGGACGTCGGACGGGCATGTGATCCAAATCATCCAAGCAAAATTTGATGGATCGAAATTCGACCAACAAAAACCTCGGTAATAGATCAATTCAATCGACAAGCAATTTCGCGGGGATCAACAATCGTTCCCGTACACATGAAACATGACAGATAAACAGACAACCATTGGAGCATCAGAATTCGCGGCAACTTTGAATGGGGATGATCCACATGAGATCTTGCGAGTTCTCAAGCTTTTTGCCAAGTCCGTGCAGAAAGAACGACAATTGGCCCTCTTTGACGAACAAGACGAGAGTGATAGCGACTCGAGTGATGATGACGACGAAGGCGATGTAGAAGAACGTCCTGCTAAGAAACTGAAGAAAGATGAACAATGGAAAGAAGATTCGGCATCTTATCACGTTCCATTTGTTGGAACAGCCGTGTCTAGAAGCGATGTGTCAGAGGTTGTTGCCGGTCAATGGCCGACGGGTCTATTAGAAGCCTATCTCAACAAAAGTCCTTTGGCTATTGAACTGATGAGTGATGATATCAGCTCTTCTGAGGGCAAGATTCATAGATCATTGTTGCGGAAGAAACATATGAAAACGTCACGGGCGATTAAGAAGGCATACTTGAATGCCGTGGCCCAATTGTTGACTGCTGTCATCCCAATCCGGAAACTAAGACAACAAAATAGCGAGGACATGTATAATTCTTCTGCTGAAGAAGATAGTGACGTAGCAGTGGTAGATGTGTCCTCGGATGCCAAATATGGAAAATTTCTACCAGCTCTGCTGAAAAAGCGATTACCTGAGTGTATCAATGTGCTCAATGAGGAGACATCCAGTGGCCGTGGAAAGACAGGCGTCCTTGGTGGTTGTGGTAACTTGGCTGTACCAGCGCTAAAACTGATTCAGAATATAGTATTTGCGTCAACTGCGAATGCAAGACTAGTGGCGAAATACTTGGACGAAGAGCTTCATCATGGCGTCTTGCGATGTTTGCTCCGTCCACTACCACCGAAAGTTAACTCAAAGAGTGAAAAAGTAGCATCTTCCAGTGATATATCACGTCGACTGGAAGCAAGAACTGAGACAATGGAACTTGCCAACTTTTTGCTGAAAATGCAAGATACCGTCGTCAACACGTACATTTGCACTAGTGGTTCCAAAGAGCGCAAAGTGAAGCCTGGAATTCTTTTCGTTGCCTTGCGGGAGGGTTTGTTACCAGGGAAAGCAAAGAGTCAAAGTCCAAATGACATTGATAATGATGGCGATGCAACAGACTACATGGACGCTGTTGCAGACTTGCTCAAAAGCTTCAGATTGCTCATTTTGAATCAGCCCAAGTCGATGAACTCGAGATTGCTCTCCGAGCTATTATCTGGAGAGCCGATACAAAATCTCTGCTTTCTATTGACACATGCTCCACGTCTGAGCGGAAAAAATACGTACCTATCGATTGTTAACGAGAAAGATACCTACGGCGGTGATATCGAGAGTTTACCGAATGTTGGATTGGAGGCCCGAAGGATAGTCTTTCCTTTGCTCTACGATTCTTCTAGATCCCCATACCTTTCGGCAAGTAAACATGGGAAACTGGATGCACAGCATCTGGGGAAAATTTTGCTGTCATTGCTCTGGACTCCAAGTGGTGGCATTGGAATGCAAAAGTTTCTAATTGCATGTGCCCAAAAGACCCCGGCTCTTCTTCCTATACTATTTCGGTTGTTGACATTCCCGGATCCGAAGCACGCCTACGATTTTGTTGCCACCGCACATTTTGTGTCCGCCTTGCTTCTTCAGGGACCATCGGTTGAAGATTGTTTGACTGGCGAAGAAGGTTCCAATGTGCAAGAAATATTACTTGCCCTCTTTCCCGAAAAGTTCAAGAAGCAGGCTCTGACCAAAGCAATGCAGAGCAAGAACTCTCTTGTGGTCATGGGATGTATTATGCTCTTCTCCAATGTTTTGAAGCGTCTTGAGAAACTTCGAGCGGATGCTTCCAAAAGTCTGAAATGGAGCGACGATTTTATACAGGAGGCAACCGATACAACACTACAACTGTTTCCAGATATACAAGTCCTGCTGAAAATTCGAATGTCTTTTGATGCTTTCTCTCGGAGCAAAGAGAGTGCCATCGTGAATGAAAGACTTTTTCAAGTAATCATATTGATAGTCAAAGTGTCGCCTACTTCCGTGCAAACTGCGGGGTTCGACTGGATGAAGCTGGTGCCAAATGACACAAACCGATTCTTTAAGGCTGTACCATTTGTGCAAAGGAGTTTGCTTCGTACATTGAGACACGTCATCAAAGTTTGGGATGTAAGTCTTTGAAGCGTTCGTTGGTTGATCATGTTCATTTAATGTATTGACAGTGAATGCTTGTAGTGTCCATCCCATTCCATATTCCAGGCATTCAAGAACGTACTTGAGATAATGCTCCATACGAAGGAGGGAAGTGTCTATAAAGATTCAAGGGTGATCGCCATCAACTTGCTGGTACGAATGTTGCAATCTCGGTGGACGGATGAAAACAGTGAGAGTTTCATCCGGTACGAAAGCGAATGTTGGATCAATGGATTGACGATAGATAGTCTTCCTAGTTTTTGTGCGCTGCTTCGAGATGTCACAGAAAATGAGCTTCAGATAGTCGCAACGATTGGAGATGTTTGGTCCAGATGCAAGGCTGTAGGGCCGATGACATGTTCGCTTCTACTGTTTGCAGCTTGGGCGACGGAAAAACCTCTCGCGGCATTTGCAAAGCTTTTTTCCCAGGTCAGCTTAAGAGTGATGTTATTTCATCGAAGCCCATTGGTTGTGGCGAACTTGATTCATTTTGCTGATAAAGAGTCGTCTTGGAGTGAAGGAGAGTCGGTACCTGAATTCACAAAAGACCTAGTGCATTACGCAAGTATGTTGCGGCACTTCGATGGCGTGGATGGCACAGTTGAACGCAAAACTCTAGGAAAGATCTTTAATTCACTTGTCGGAAAGGGAGACATAATCACGATGGCTCTCACTTGGGTCCATTCCAAGTCATCTATTACATTGGAATCATTCCTGAACGAAATTGAATCCGATCGGTTAACAGAAGATGCATCGGCTCTCGCAAGATTTTTGATCCACGTTAACATAATTTCTGACGAAGGTAGTGAGGCTGCAATAAGATGCTGGACGTTGCTACTAAATATTGCAGTGAAGATTCTAAGTGTAAGATTGAAAGAGTGATTCTGTGCAGACGTGATTGGTCGTACTCACCGTTCTTTGTATTAGGGTTCTGATCCAAATGATTACAAGAACGATATTATCCATGATATATCTTTGTGTTGTCCGGATGACAACAGGTTGCCTCTACTGGTGGCATCGTGTCCCATTGGCACCTGCGACGATTACACTCACTCCGGCTTCTGTAAACTAACGGAAGTCTTGACGTCTGCAGACTCGAACGCTTCGTCAAAAGATCGTCGTGTTTGCATATGTAAATTCCTTCTTCTTTGGGACACGATTCCAATGAGTTTTGTTGCAAGGTCTCAGTTGCAAATAATCGATTCTTGCGATCGAACTTCAGAAAGATCAGCAGAAACTTCCATCGGTTTTGCGTTGGAGTTCTTGAAGAGAACAAATTCCATCTGGGAAACGGCCAGCTGCAACGTAAATGTTGTCCGATCACTGTTCCTGAAATGGTGGGCTCTTGTGTCAGTGGGAGGAAGCGATAGTAGTCTTATCGGCTTTAGAACTCAAACATGTTTGGCACTGACCTCAGTCCTCGAGAACTGCGATTCCCTGTCGGCGATTGTTGTTGCTCTGATACAAAGTAAACCGTTGGATGATTTTGTTTTGCGATGCCTTTCTTCAGATGTTCCAAGCGGTACTGGACTACTTGCCGCTGCAGTACGAAATGATCCTTTTCTGCTATCTCCCAAAGTCCTTCAGAACATCGACATTGTAAATTTGAATGACAAAGTGACAACTAAAGGCCAGGAGCTGGATTCTCTGGTCATGGTCATCGTTCGAAGGTCGATCGACTCATTAAGCAAGGAAAACCTACAAATGTTGTACGAGAAAGTCTTCGAACGTGTTAAGTTATCGCTTTCAAATGTCGTAAGTGTGATGAATGTTGTCGATTGTAGCTTCAACTTGCTTCGTCACTCAAAGGCATTGCTGAATTACACTCTATAACAGGTGGTAGGGGACCAAAAGCTTGCAGACACGCTGAGTACAATTAAAGTGTGCGGTGCGCTGCTGCAAAGCTCAGGTGAAAGAATGAGTGTGATTGTGCCGGAAGTGATCTTCCAGCATATCGTCACTATCCTAAAAATCGAGAAATCAAGATGGCATCCGGGTGTTTTTAGTCTTTGTTCAATGGCAATAGCAATTGTAAAGAACGCCGACACACAACAGCGATTGGAACTAAAAGCAATCCTCTATTTGCGTCTAAGCGAATGGATTGCACTTGGCTTCAAAGAGGAGTTCAGAATTAAAGATCCGAAAGAATCGTGCTTGACCTCATTCCTATTGCTTCTGCAAGATGTGCAATCTTCTGACTTGGACGCTTTGAAGAGAGGGAACACGGCGTTGACATTGAAAATTGTGAGGAGCTGTCTGAAATATGGTATCGGCCTTGCTGAACAGAGTCCAGCACAGTCATCACTTTCTCTAGAACTTGTGAAAACACTTCTTGAGCGCATCGGTGATCCCAAATCTCATCATAGTGCGTTAGACTTTCTTGGAGCACCAATATCAAGCATCTTTGATCTTCTGAAGTCGCATTCGAAGTTTCGAGAAGTTCTATCATCATCGTCCCCCGAATTGGACATTGTGAAACTGGAGTTGGTTAGACTGATGGTTTGTTGTATTCGTCTTTCTCCGCAGGGAGTCACTATAGACGCGGGGATGTGGACATCTGTTTTCGCTGCATTTGACTGTGGACTGAGTGAACTCGATATCGAAATTCGAAAGCTTTTCATGGCTTGCTGCGATTTGCAAGGCGAGGTAAGCAGACGACATTTCAAGTTTTTGCTGCTACCGGCAGCACCACTGATCACGAATTTAATCATTTTTGCTCTGCTCAAAGGAAATTCAAGTACCATACATGGACGAGTTTCGATGGAAGAGTTGTGTTGAAAGTGGAAAGAGCGACAAAGTGAACTGGGATTGGTTGGCTGAAGCGCTTGATCCCGTACGACTTCGAGCTACAGTGTCACAGTTTCCAGTTCATGACACCGTTGATATGTGTTCAGAAGATATTGGAAGCTCCGTTACAGAAGGCGATAGCGACTCGCAAAATTCTGACAGTGAAATGTCGGTCGATCAAGACTCGGTGTCAAGTGGCCAAACTGCAGTTGCTGCAGAAGTCAATCGTAGAGTCGAATGGACCCGTGATCATACCGATTTACGGTACAGTCCGGCCTTCTTGCTTCCCTTGGTCCTTGGAGCTTTGGAGAGTACTTTGCCGAACAAGGAAACAAAAGCGGCAGAAATAGAGGCTACAGTTGACGCTTTGTCGGACTCATTGAAAGATAGTGGAAGAAGCCAGCTCAATAGATTAGTGCGAATGGTCCAAAAGCTATGTGACGCTGGGGTGCATAGCCTATGTCTCGCTGCCTTAGCCAGCACTTGCAACAAAGTCCGGCAATGCTCGTCTGCAATCCTCAGCGTTTTGCTTCTGGGCTGCAATTCAGAAGAATCGAGGAGTCTATCTTCGTGGCGCAATCGCCCACAAGTTTCGATGGTTTTGAATTCCATTCAACTTGCTTTTGTCATCAAGAAAGCGACCAACAAATTGAACGGCGTGAATTTCGGAGTTCAACCCCTTTCTCCTCTTGTTTCAACATTTCTGGCTCGCGCATCATACTCTGTCTGCAAACCGGACGACGCTTTGTTCGTACCACTGAATCGATTCTTCCTCAAAAACGAGAAAGACCATGGAGCATTTCAGGATATGAATCGCTTACCAGGGTTCATTTCCTTGTTTTGTTCTGCAGCAGAAGACCCGACTCAATCCCGACAGGAACGCATGTGGGCTCTTCAACTAGTCCGTGATGGGTTCCGCGATTCTTCTTGCTATCGACTGATCGCCGAATGTCACGCACCAGAACTCATCTTGACATCGTTTGAAAATCTTAGACTCTCTCAGCTCCCCGATGCTATGAAGGATGCTGAATACGCTCTCATGATGACTGTATTCAAAAAGATGTTCTCAATGGGATCGAGTAGAGTTATGAATCACCTTGTGTCGAGAATCGGAGTTCTGTCGTGGATGCGCTCTTGGTGTACCACCTGGACTGTTCAGGAGTCATTTCCGAGAGTCAACAGTAGAATTGCAATGTGCGAATTGGTGGGCTGCATAGCCGAGCAATCCTTTCTCAACGAACCACCTCGAACCGACTCATTTTTGTATGAGCTTTGTGCATTGGCAGAACCAATGATCATTTTAGGCGCTCGGACAAAGAAGACAGACGAAGGCTTTGCGACCTTGATCGAAACCATCTGCAATGCTGTGAAGTCGATCAAGAGAAGTGTGCTCAAACACAAAGAAGCCTTTTCCTTTTCGGATATACAACCTCTTGGGCTATCGATCAAAAGGAGCCTTGATTTCTGGAAAGTATTGGATGGCGACGTGCTTGCCAGAGCTGTTGTTGCACTGAGCGCTGTACCGCTACGCTTGGACCAGCCCACTGAGGAAGAAAGAGAGTCACTGATATCAATACTGTTGCGCTCGTGTCTCCAATGCGTTGACTCCGGTACAGATGATCAAGTTGTACTGATGAACCGCTTGCTGTTAGCTCAGAAGCAGTTTGGGGCACCTTCCATGGCCAATACAGACACAATTCGAAATCTCTTGACTGTTCGTCCCACATTTGTCACTTCGAAGCACCGCCTAGTTCTCTTCAATGCATGTTTGCGGGGTACTGTGTCTGAAAACGAACTGAGCTGTAGAGAGCACGAAATTGCCCTCGCACTGCTCGAAGCAGCTCCCGAATTCTAAAGTAAATGACGGGGTAATGTATCTATCATACTGCTTTTGCGTTGCCCGTTCCCCCTTTGTGGCAGTATTGCACCTTGCGCAGACCTTTCTACATTCTGATTTTTGCTCACGCCGATCACTGTTTCCATCGAGTTACATAGAGTATTAGGATCTATGGTTTGCAATTCCAGCAAAGAGTAATTTTAGCGCTTGAGTATGTTTTTCTGATTAATTTTTGTGGACCGGTAGTCAGAGTGGTCGATCTATTGGCAACACTTTTTGGGCGGGGTTGCAAAACGTGCAACGCGTAAGCCATCCTTGATCTTCTTGGAAGGCCCACACACAGTTTACGCTGAATCTACCGGTATGAATCAGCTTCACGATTACCGGTAGCGTCTCCCAATATACCGGTATATAATATATGTATATAATTTGTTAGGAAAGGATAGTGCCAAACTTCGCGTTCACAAGCGGAAAATATACAGTTAGGGGTAAACCGCCTGTCATGGCGCTAAATAAATATATAAAGCAACTTTTATGCCCTTAAATCTTCCAGTAACGGGTTCTCTGTCGAATGTGAAACTTCACAAAATAGATGAGTAGGACTAGTGTAAATTGTTAGTTTTCTCAAAGCACCGCCACGGTGCAGCAAAAGGTTGATTGAAACTTGACGATGCGATGCTTCAGCGTGCATGCAATCTACGCCTTGTCGATCATATGCCAACTTGGCAGTTGTGTGGGTGCAAACCCAACTAGACATCCCTCGGAACTGATATTTCGTGCTGGCATCATTCATAGCAACACATTCAAGGACTTCTTTGATGGTCTTCGTGTCGCGCTTCAAGAAATAGCTCTACGCGATAATGTCACATTATCATTCCAAGTGGAAGAAATCGGCGAAGATTATGAAGGAACCCTTTCTCTAATTGGCCCCGACTGTCTTGATGGTGAAACAAGAATTGTCAATAACAGAACATATGGCTGTTCTGCGTTTGACTTCCTAATAGGTGATTTCTGGCCTCAACCGGAGTGAGTTTTCCATCATCAATCACAGTCGATGAAGTTGGCATCTCATTTCCCTTTTTCTCTTCATTTAAATAGTCGCTATGAACACTATGATTTCACACCAGCATACTTGACAACCTCATTGTCTGCTCTGAAGTATACAATGAAGACACTGTCTCCCGATATCACATCATTGACTGACGCGTCGAGAACCCGATCAGTGATATGTGGTGTAGGCGATTCCCTCTTTGTAGAGGGGTTTGTTCTTAAAAACTTTCCAGGTGCCACTGTCGAGCCTTGTCAAGGCGAAGACCCGGTTCAAACCTGCTTGCGTCAGCTTGAAAAAGAGGAGTGCTCACTGTTCGTCGCAGACGAGTTAGTTCTCAGAAAGATTCAGTCGGACGAGAGTAAGTTTAGACTGACTGGAGAACAATTCATGAAACAAAATCTTGCTTGGCCTGTTCGCAAGGATCTAGATCCGACAAAAGCTTTCTTGCTCAACAAGTGGATCTATGCTGCGCTCAGTAGCCAGGCAATCGACAACCTCTTTGTAAGGTACTTTCAGAAAACTTGTCCAGCAGGAAGAGCAGGGATGAATTGCGATCTCCCTTGTGACCCTATACATGGTGTGTCGGATGCATCGGGAGAATGTATTTGTTTATCCTTTCGATGGTCTGGAGGTAATTATCGAGTTCTATGATATTTCCCGGTGAAATTTCGAGCTCACAGCCTTGTACAGATGATTGCAGCATGCAGGTCCCCGAAGTGCTGAATATGATTCCGAATGACATCAAGTACACTGCCTATGCTATGTTTGGTTTGAATGCTTCAGCAATCTTCTTGTGTGCCGCGTGGTTGTACAATCATTGGTGGAGCCCGCAAGTTCGATTCAGTCAGCCGAACCTCCTTCTACTTGTATTGTTGGGGTGTATGTTTAGCTCATCAACCATCATTGCCATTTCGCAGGAAAACGAGGGAGAGGGCCCTGTAAAGGCTTGTATCGCGATTCCTTGGCTCTACTCCCTTGGATTCTCCATTACGTTTGGCGCACTTTTTGCGAAAATTCGCCGAATCTATTCCATTTTCAACCAGCAATGCGAAAGGCCTGTTAGTGATACTCTAACATCTTCGTTCAGGGTTCGAGGGAACATATCTGCGAAAGAGACACTTTTTACAATAGGCGGGGTTCTCTTGTTGGATTTTACGGTGCTGGCGCTGTGGACAGCTTTGGATCCATTGCATTGGGAAAGATTTACAACACTGGAAGATCAGTTTGGGGATCCGTTGGAATCACAAGGTTACTGCACGTCCGATCATTGGGAGCCTTTTTTTGGAATGCTTGTCATTATTCACATTTCACTAGTCGCATTAGCTACATACATGTGCTACAAGGCGCGGGGGATACCGACGCAGTACAGCGAGCACAAATATGTGACTGTTGCTATGGGTTCAAATCTACAACTATTCATGCTCGGAAGTAAGTGCTGAAATGCATCGTGCTTTGTTGCTGTCGTTCCAATACCTTACGATCCTTGTCATCATATGTTTCCGATAGTCCCACTTCTTTTAATTGCTAGTACGGATCCTGGTGCTCATTTCTTCGTTCGAAGCGCTGTTATTTGGATGAATGATTTGATGATTATTAGTCTGATATTTGGGAATCTAATGATCAAGGTTTACAAGTCGAATGCTGCACTTAACATGGATAAAGTTCAAGGGGCAATCAATGGTATTCAACGACGAAGAAGTGCTGAACATGCTCGACGAATGTCATTTGGGGACTCAGAGAGGGGCGACAGCTTTGTCCAACGAAGGAATAGCGGTGGGCATGCTACAAGAAGGAACAGTGGTGGAAACATTCCCCGAAGGAACAGTGGTGGGCACATTCCACGAAGGAACAGTTTTGGACATACTACTCGAAGACCATCACTTGGGAATGCAGACAGATTCAACCCACTTGGTGATTCAGATAGGTCCTCTCCAGCAGTAATGCAGAAAGTAATCGAAAGTGGGAGTACTGGGCTAAGCTCCATAGATTTGGAGTCCCATGAAGAACCATCCACCGAGATCGATCAGGAGCCCGAGACACCCAAGGATGATAGGCAGTCAAAAAATAATGAATCTTTTTTGTCTGAGATGTCACTAAGTGGATTCGAGCTAAGCGAATCCTCAGAAGATGATCACAATGGGTCGAGCGACTCTTCACGCTGGCGTACAAGCTTGGGGCTCGGGCAAAAGCAACTTCTCCTCACGCATTCGCATGGAGATGTACCAATGATGCCAATGCGAGATCAGACTATCGTCGAGGAGTTGGAGGAAGATGGCGACAACGAAGATTATTCCTCTTCTACCGACCATGACGAGACGATGTCACAAGGCCAAGACGGACCAGTAGGCATTCGGATGGAGCTGCCATCAATCCAAGAGCTATGTAGCGAAGATCGCTACAGGGCCAGTACTTGTTCGACCCAGCCTCCGTTTATGCCCTTTAGGTCACCATCGAAAGAAGAGTATACGTCTCGAACGGAATCACCAAGCAGTTATGCTTCCACTAGCTCGATAAAGTTGAGCCCAAAATCCTTATCGAATCTGCGACGAGAAGCGCTCCTTTCGCCAAGTCAAACCGAAACAGCCCCTAATAAGCCAATGCGGCTGGAATCAGAGCACGAAACCATCGACAATAGTTGGCGCACCCGGAAAGATGATCTATCAGCAAGTGACACACCAAACAACCCTCATCAGGCTCCAACGCAGCCTTTGAGGTTTCTATCAGAGGAAGAGGAAATCGAGAGCGTAAAAGAGTTCCGAATCCCATACCTAGAATCATGAAGTAAAAGGTGGTCTATGGTACCAGGTAATACTGCACTGGTAACATTGCGTTTGTTCCGGTATTTGGGATGAGCTACTGCGATTTACAATACAGTAGGTTACCAACAGTATACTGTCCGTACGTGTACACGTACTGGTATTACAAATATTTTGATAAATTTTGATAAAAACTTTTGATAATTCCCTGTATGCAGCCAATCAGAATGCAGTTGTAGCAGAAACAATTAGGAGCATGATAACGGATTTAACGCTATTACAAACGGCTTTAACGCTATTTGTAACTGTAATTTCTTAAGTAAAATACTTTTTTAGATCTTGCCGAAGTGTCGTCACACAAATATTTTGAAGACATCACGAATCACAATACTATGATTTGGGCTGTATCAGATAATGTTTAAAAATAGATATGCACTAGTAGTTAGTAGTATGTATTAACTTCGTTTTCTCCTTAGCTCTCCCTTGTCAGCCAAGTGTATGGCCCAAGGTTCTGCTGCTTTGAAGGATTTGCTACTGGCGAAGGGATGGTGGTTCCTTGAAAGTAGGGAGGAAAAGGATGTTTGTAGAAAGCTTGACAAAAATGCTGCTGGTAGGCCAAATGTCGTTCGTAGGCCAAGTCTAATTGTATCATTGTACGTTGCTGGTGGTAGCAAGCTTGATGGGGCGATGTTGTCCTACCTGCTGATTGTGCTGGCGCAAGAAAGTAGTGTTGGGGTGGCAATTGCATCTGTCGTGGTGCTATCATGATGGTGGGATGGGGTGCAAGATTTGTCACATTGATCCTGTTCTTCTTTTCCCTCTCGGCGCAAATCAGCGCCCCCGCTAAAGAAGAAATGTTCCCAGCATGAGCGGTTTGAATAGAACCAACTCTTCTCTTGGCATATGGATTTTTAATTTTGCTGCAGTCTTTGCATTTGCATCTTTTCGTTTTTTCATCATAAAGAACTCCACTGCTTTCTCTGGCAAGTTGTTGGGTCAAGTATTCAGAAAAAAATCTCTCTCCGTTGTCGGCTGGTAGCTCTTCTACTCTGCTGTGGACATTGCCAATGATTCCAGCCTCTTTGGCCAAGTTGTTGATAAATGCAAGTCGAAGGTGGTTGGTATAATGTGGTGCCCTGTGAAAGGCTGTAGGAATCTTCTTTCGCAACTTCGGATCAAGGGATCCAATATGAAGGCGGTATCGTATTCGCAAATTGTACAAGGCAATTCCAGCCGATGAAGTGTAGTCAGTTAGAGTTCGTCGTGTGCCACCATTTGAACAGTGGTGCATGATGTGATTGCCTTTCTCCACCTTTGATTCGGCGCCACGTGTACCTATGAATACAGGGAGCTTGCATTTCGACATCAAGCCTGGTTTGACACTAAAATATAGATCATCTTTGGGCAAGATGTCTTCCACCCAAATTGCATTCTTCATTTGCTCTTCGACTGCAGTTTCAGTTGGTCCTGTAAAAAGGTCAGCATGGATAGTATCATCATACTCATCCTTGAATTTGCGGTACCATGCAGCCAACTTGGATTGGATAACTGTCGCCTTGTATGACCAGACTCTCACATACTGACGATATTGTTTTGCTCTTTTAAGCTGGTTCTCTTCTGGGCACACCTTACCATCAACTTTTCCAAGATTCCCGGCTGAGATCTGCTGCATCACTGCAGCAAGATCTCCTTCATCATAGTAGTAGAGACACTCTTGAAGTGCACGAATAGCATCTCTATACAACTCATGATCTTCCACCAGCGTCTTTGTGATGCGCTGCAGATAGTGAAACCAGCCAAGGCGGCATGTAATGCCACAACCCGAAAAAATATCGTTCCAAATTCTTGTTCCTCTTGGGCAGATATCAGAAACATGCACCTTTGGGCAAACATTTGGGCGGCGGGAGAATTGGGCAGCTTGGTGTGCATAGTGAGTTTGTTCTTCACTGGGCACAATAACAACAGATGCTATTTCCCCTGTTTCTGTTCCGATCGAGTGTGCACATTTTGCATTTTGTATGTCTTCGGGCCTATAGTTTCCCAACACAGCATAGGTGTGATCATCACAGGTGGTTGTCTTTGCTCCAACACTCTGAATCTCTCGACAGACTCTATCTTTGTCTGATACTCCAGTGGATATTAGTGCAGAGTGTGCTGCGACATCCTTCATGTCACGAAGATCTTTCCCACTTGGGCTGTACTGGCCAATCCAGTCCTCATATACTGGAAAGGGTTCTGTTACCGTTGTTCCAGTGTCTCTAGCCTGATTATAATATTCCTCTTCTTTGTCAAGATGCTTGTCCCCACGAGTTTCACTTAGCAGTTGTGCAAGTTGGTCGCCATTTCCATGTGTTATCATCAGCTTGTCCATCACATTTGTAAAAGTCTGGCTTAGATGCCTTTTATTGCTGAGTGCATACCTGGGATCCACAGGATACGCGTTGCGAAATTGAGCCGGAAGTTGGGCTAGTAATGGGCCATCGTTCCCTTTACATCGATAATCACACCTGGCAGTATTATTGCACTTGTACTTCATGGAACAAGCCCAACTTGTAACCCCAGAAATATCAATAATTGGGGTTGCAAATCCGCTGGTCTTGTAGTCATACTTCTGATGAATAAGCTCTCCTTTCCTGCACTCTGGGCAGATTAGTTGAATGCCTGGAAGATTGAGCTCCCACCGGACCAAGTAAATTGTCACGCCCTCAAGTTGACTGTAGTTGTGGTCTGGGCTTTTGGTCTTGTCATCTCTTGGGAAGGTAAACCCCAGAGTGCCAGGAGGAAACTGACGTTGGTAATTCTGGTGCTCCCAATAACTTTTTCCTCTTTTATCTTTTATCTTGAGTACATTATCTTCAGTGCCACATGTGATGCTTTTGTGGGTTTCCAGGAGGGCATCGATGGCAGCACCAATCACCTTCGGAACAGAGCTTGAATTAGTCATGCCAACCGAACAATTTGCCATCAACCTGTTGATTCTCTCCTTCAACGCTTGGACGGAAAATGGAGAAAGTTGATCCTCCAAAGAAGCTTCTTTCATGCTACTCTTGCTTGAGGGTGGCAATTCCACATTTTTTCTCTGCGAAAAAAACTTGTTGACGTCTGCTTGACTTTTTGGAATTGTGCTGCTGTGAAGTTCCATGCCTTCAAAGGGCCGATTATTTCTGGCCATCATTGCCGTGTCAAGCCTTCTTTGTAGGACTTCAACCTTGTCAAGTCGACCACCATCTGTCTCATAGTACTGCTTGTTGAGTCGGCAAGTTGGATCATGGGCACACTTTTTGGCCCCACCATTTTTAATCACAAAGCACCTGGGACATGTCTTTGTTCCTTCATCGCATCTTTTTTCAGCATTGTTTCCAGTCATTGTCTTCTGCCTCTTTGCCGGTTTCCCATGTTGTAGCTGTTGGGTTCGTTTTAGTTGCCGTTCCTGACCCATCTTCTTCATTGCTTTCACTCTGCCCACTGTATGTTGTGACTGCAGGCCCATCTTGACGTGGTCCTTTTCAGGTGGTTTCCTTGGTGAAAGGAAACTAAGAATTGTGCCCTGTTCTTTCTTATCTTTTTCACGTTCATTTTGGCTGCTTGCTGTATGCTGCATGGTGAACGTGTCGCTGCGAATGCCAACAGTTACATAGTCAATATACATAGATGACAAAATATTGAACGGGTAGATCCGCGCCGAAATAAAACATCTCTGGAGTTTCTGGTAGTTGGGGGAACAGAGGATCCATCTATGTAGATTTTATGCTAGTTGACAGCGCCTACGGCGGAGTCAGTTCTCCGCCTACGGCGGAGGTTAGGGGGCGCCCCGCAGGTGGAGCGTTTTGGGGGCATTTTTTCTAGACCGCAGGCACACTGTTCGATCACTTTGACTACATTGTGTTACAGACGGACAAAGGCCGAACGGCCTTCGACCGTCAAAAGTTGTTGTCGATGCGCCGAGGCAATGATGCCCAGTTTATCGACTGAGATTGAATTCACCCACTTGTGTCGTGGTAATTCAATTTTTCTCTCCCAAACCTCACCCGCCCTGTTGGGCACCGCCTCCATTTTACCATATAACGGTTCAGCAGACGTCGTTTACGACAAGGCTTCCAATTCAATTGCAATGATAGTTTGCTCAAGGATGTTGTTGTACAGTACTGCAGATGACTATCCGAAAGGCCAAGGAAAGGAAAGAAACGAAACGAAACCAGCAGGCGGATACACATACAGTTTAATTTTGAATCTGAGGTTTCTGACCATTGTCGTTACACTGGGCCTATATTACCAGCTGTTTCACACCAAGATCCAAAGCAAAATTGTCAAACAACCAGAATTGTCCTTGAACAAGCAGCAGCAGCGAAATGCATCTTCAACACATGTACTCCCCACAGGAAATAACAACGATGCCATGAAATCAACAAGACGGAGTCCTCACTCGTGGGGACCTGAAGGTGCTGACATCCATTAATTACTTCGACTCTTCAACATGTCGTATGAGGATACCATGAGTAAGGTAAATCCTTACAAGTCCGGCATGTTTCAGAATCTGTTCACTAGCTATCAAGCATTTCCAGCTCTCATTACCGTAACGCAGGACAGTACTCCAAGGTTGATGATACCAGATAAGTCCTACCAACAAGTGAAGAACGGGAACGGAAAACGCCTCAAGATGGTCATTCCGTCCTTTCAGCGGGCATTGGCGATCCAGTTGCATTCGCATCAAAACGACTTTCCAGCCTTGACCAATGCCTTGACTAAAGTGGGAACCTTTCCCCTTGGTATGGATCTTAGGGACTATCGTGGATGCTTGGACCCAAGGATCTCTTACAACGAGTCGGCTCCCGACTACGAAGTCAAGACAGCATTGGAGAGGAACATGCCACTCTTTACTGTTTGTCGATCGTTTGATTGTTCTTACTCGTTTCCCATACCAAACTATGGAGATTATCAAGTCATGAAGATGGCAGACAAAATGGGTTGGGACAAGCAGCAGGAAACTTGGAATGCACAATTCCCTTGGGATCAAAAGCTGTCTAAGGTGTACTGGCGAGGAGGAATGAAAGGTGCCAGAGTTGAGTTTTTGGATCGTGTCAAGACGGCAGTGAAAGATGGTAACAGCACCTATTTGGACGTGAAGGAAGCTGGCTGTCCCAAGAATGCCGATCCAGACTTTTGTAGTCCAAAGGAACCCCTCGATAGTTCCATGAAATATAAGGCCGTCTGCGATATTGATGGGAACTCATGGTCAGCGCGCTTTCCCCGCTTACTGTGCTATAACTCAGCTGTCATCAAGGTGACCCTGGAAGAAGATTACGAAGAATACTTCATGGCGGATTTGCAACCAAACGTTCATTTCATACCAGCATCTTTGGATAATTTTACCTACATGGCAGAGTACTACATGAAATAAAGTCAAGAGAATGATGCCTTTCTGCGGATGATTGTGAAGAATGCAAATGAATTTTGCAAAGAACGGTTTACAGAAAATTACTTGAACCTAGATTTCTTGACGATTTTGAATGGTTACGTCGAAGCCTTGGATCAATATACAAATCAAGAGCTATGCAATGATCAAGCAAAGGAACGCATGGACAGCGGACTGTCGTGCTGGATGGAAATATGGCTTTCAGCGAAAGAATCCTACATCGGTGTTGCAGCTAATGATATTCACAACGGCTTCATCGATCTATGCAACAATAATAATGATAAGCCTCACTTGGCATTCGATGGAGCAAACAGAAACAATATGACAGTTTGGAAATTGGATGTGTACAGTATTCCTTCCAATGTGAGTGTGTGTCCTGGCTGAGAAAAAGCCACAATATTTTATCTGTTCGCATAGCCAGTCGGCTTTTTAGACCAGAACTTGAGTCAAAGCGGTTCTTCCCCAGGCAGATAATCGCGGTAAATAAATCGGCATAAGGGTGGAATGAATCGTAGGAGGTTTGAATCCATCATTCTTGTTGCATGGGAGCCAGGGATTGGGAGCATCGCAGCATATTCAACCTGACAATAATTCGTTTAGCAAGCACGACCGACTGACTTCTTGACGATGTTGTGAACAGGCCAGTGCAATGAAAACTTGCATCGCCGTCACTGCGTAAAGTGGATCTTTTGAATTTCTTTGTACTCTCTGCACTATCACTTTATAACGTACTGTAACTTCTCACATACATACACACTGTAGGTAGTCCTACGTACACGTGTACCGGTGTACATGTCTATGAGATATTGTACCGATACTGCGTACGTACCGGTATTATACGATCCCTCAAATGGGACAAGAAAGGGGATACATCTAGGGGAGACAACATGCGCCAAACAAACACTTTTTAATGATTGCAATGACATCTAGCAATGATACCAGCAGATGAATCAAATAACCAAGAAAAGAATGTCAAGAAAAAAGAGAACACACAAGACAGGAGCCGGAATGTATCCTCTCTTCCCAGCGACTCGATGAACCAAGAAGCGAATGACAAAGAAAAAGAAAATCTGAGCGATGGAAGTTGGAACATACCCCCTCCTCCCAAATACTCGAAACTAAGGCCGAGGGTCTCTTCCAGCTCTACACCTTTGTTGCCTCGCCGACGCTCAAAAGCCAGACTGAGATCAACTCCGTCCAACACAAAAAAATATAATTTCGAATCGACTAGGCGGCTGTTTTGGGGCGATGATCAATCTTCATCGGTAGATTTGAATAGTAGCTTTCCTGGAAACGACTCATCTTTTGATAAGGATCATCGCCCCACAGGATGGACTGGCTTCTTCTTCGGATTCATGTATGAGGAGCCATTTGATGATTCCATTGACTATGGCAACGACGAAGAGGAATCGTCTGGGCATTCAACATGGAATCCACTGAATTTTGCTCTATTCATATCCTATACTCTCACATCAGCTGCGGCGGTAACCCCGGTTTTGCTAGTCCCAACTATTGGTCAAGAATTCCTTTCAAGCAGCGAGGAGGCTTCATTATTCACTTCCCGAGCTGCAAGTTTTGCTGTCCTGGGAACGGCGTGTGGAAAGTTCTTGAATGGTCCTGTCGGTGATGTACTTGGGGCGAGAAGAACAAGCGTACTTTACTCCTTTCTTCTCTGCTTTTCGCTAACTGCCCTTGCAGCTTGCCAAGATGCAACGTCTGCAGCTTGGTGCTGCTTTTTCGTCGAATTTTTCCAAAGCGTGCAATGGCCGTGCATTATTGTGATGCTGGCAACACACTATGGTACTAACCATAACACATACGAGGCTGGAATTTACGTCACTTCAATTGCATCACGTATTGGACCTCTATTTGCTATCCCTATGCTGTCCTTCTTTTTGAGGCAAGCGAGCTGGAGGTTGGTTGCAGTGATTGGAGGCTGGACTGCATTGATTGGATCATCAGTTGCGTATCTCTTCTTGACAGACTCTCCGCATCAGATTAACGAACCACAGAATGCTCTGCAACCCAGTCTACTGGCCCAGCTACAAAAATCGAATTTTTATACGCGGCCGCGTCAGTTTGTTGGTGTGATGGCGGTGGTCTTGTATTCTGTGATTCGAACAAACCTGATCCCATCATTAAAGCGAGTATTGAATAGTGGAACCTTTTGGATTGTTGCCTTGGCTCATACAGGTTCATCAATGGTTAGGTAAGCATTTCAGGTGAACGTTTCGGCTTGGTATTGTTGCTGTTGATGATTTCGGTTGCTGACAGGTTTGATAATCCAATTAGAACGTCCGATCGAATTCTTGGATCTTACTTTCTCGAAACCTCAATGGGTCATTTGACTGAGGAAACCTCTGGAGGCTTGGTTGTATATTCCATTCTAGGCACGGTATTTGGTCTTGTTATTGCTGGAAACATGTTTGCAGTCCGAAAAGAACGCCAGAGGAAATGGCTGGTGTCTCGCTTATACATGACCACAATTGGCGCTTGCTACTTTCTTGCACTGTTGGCTGTTCCAAGATTGCGCCGGGCTATTGATGCCCCTGATTTGATCTTGTTCTTTCAGGTAGTAGCTTCCTTTGTCATGAGCTTTGGTATCTCGGTAATGTACTACCACATTCCAGGTATTGTGGGATCGGCATTTGGAAACAACAAGGGTTTGTTTGCGGCATACACAGATGGAGTAGCCTATGGCATCGCCTCTGTCTTGTGGAAGTTTGTCGCAGCAGCTGTTGCAAATGGAAATGACGATGGGGGAGGCTGGGCATATGGCTGGGCTGCTGTAGCACTTTTGATTGTTCTTTGTGCTATTCTAATGGTCGAATTCTTGGAACATTATTTTGTACGTGCATCTGGACGAAACTATGGAACCTATGAAACTATACTACTAGCATGAATCTTTGCAGAAAAACATAAGAGTATAGAGGCATCCTTATTGAGGTCCTCAAAATCAGAAGCGAAGCGTTATCGAGAAAGAAATGTGTGAATGCGTCTATTAGAATCTATGCGTCGCAATCTAAACAGTAAATGATTCTCCACAGCCACATTCTCCTTTTGAATTTGGATTGTGAAATGTAAATTCACTTGCCAATTCTGTTTCTTCCCAATCCATTGTTGTTCCAACTACACTGAACAAGGCCATTGGCTCAATGTACACTTTGATTCCGTGTGCTTCCATTTCGACATCCTTCTCTGGTTGTTCAAAAGCATAATTCAGAGTATAGGAAAGTCCATTACAACCTCGTCTCTTGACGCCCAACCGAATTCCTAGTGCGCCTGCTGCATTGTCTCCGCTCAGGATGCCTTTGATTCTTTCTGCTGCTCGCTCGGTCTTCCGATTGAAATAGTATTCACAATTCACACGAACGAATGGAAAAAAGAAAACAACATGAGTAAGACTCGGGCCTAGAGTTTCTGAATAAAATGAAGCAGCCTTTGCAGAACCTACCACTTCGATTGGGTCTTTCTTCTCCGTTATGCGTCGTCTTGGCTTTTGTGCAACAGCTGCTGAAGAAAAGAGTCTTTCGGATGCCACTGGTGAGAATCCTAGGAACTTCTGATTTTGTGTGTGCGCAGCGGCCCTTCGTGATACGATTGAGCCAATTCTAATTGCAGAGGACGTCATCTTCTATGTTGCTTGTAGTTGTAGTTTTTTGTGGTTCCAGAGTGCAATAAGTTGTGCTTTGTAAGGCTTTACTTCCAAGTGAAAAATTCTGCTGATGAAATGGAACAGAAGAGAAATCGATTGCCATTTCTTTAGTCAAACGGGTCTTTTCTACGACTCATCTGATTAATAATTTTGGTCTTGCGTTGAAGCAGAATTCTGCTTGCTTGGACGAATTTTGAACATTCAATATTCGTCAAACAGTTCGTCTACCTTAGTACTGTAATTGCGCGTAGTATGTGCGGTAAGCGGCCCCAAGCCACCCGGACATTTGGGGCATCAGACATTCTGGGGCATGATCCAAGAGCTGCTCACGGAACTCAAGCGTGATCTCGACTACTGTACCGTGCTCGCTTCAAGTGTAACCACTAAAAGCGCATCACGAAGAGAATATTCATATTCCATCAACTGCACACTATTCTAAGTCAAGTCTGCTAAGGTGTGATTGAAAAAGTTTTTTTAAGGAAAACAAATCAGAATTCTAGATTTGATTGACACAGTTTGTTAAAACCACAGTGTGATATTAATATTTTTTGCTAGAAAAAGAAATCATGTCGTTGCTTGATGCTGCCGGTCTGATGACAGGTGATATATGGTTGAGTGGGACTTTCAACTTTGACTCGCCACTGAAGGATCTGCTGGATTCAGGAGAATACACATTGGAGCAATTGCTTGCCGAAGACGAACTGTTGCAAGAATTGAGGGGAGTTCATCCTCAGCTGATTGATGTTCTGGAGACTGAAAAAGCTGTTACGGCCCTTGTGAAATATGTCATATTGCCACCATCATCGCCACAGGCAGAGCCTCTGTTCTTAGCTAAAAAGCCCGAGGACGAAAAGGATGGTGAAGTCAAAGAAACCCCAAAGAAAGACAAAAAAGGCAAAGGAGATTCAACAAAAGCGAAAAGCGAACAAGAAAAGAAAGATGATCTATACATCAGATATCCATACATGGCGTGCGAAGTCATCTGCTGTGAAATAAAAGGGATTGTTGATACTATTGTGGATGGTTTTGTACCAGAGGGAATGGGTTCCGCTAACGAAGACGGCCCAAGACCGCAACGGATACTCGATCTATTGTTCTCGGTGTTGTATGATGCTGATGTAGGACAATTCGATGACTACCGGGCAGGATATTTCGACAAGGTCCTTTCGGTTCTCTTCCGAAAAAGACCGCAAGCCTTGGGTGAATACATAAATGAAGGTGGCGGCAGAGGAGACACAGTTCTAATGAAAGCCATGATGAAGCATCTCTACTCACATTCACTTATGCAGATTGTGCAAAGACTCCTCTTGCCACAACCTCCGTTGCCAGAAAAGGATGAGGATGGGAATCCAATTGATGACTTGTATGGAGATCCTTTAGATATGACGGATATGGATGGAATGGACCTATTTCGATGTACCTGGCCAGAGTCAGATTTTGCGTTGGAGTTGCTATTGGATTCTTTGGTGGGAACCGAGGATGAGGTAGCTGTGACAAAGGATCCAGAGTCGGAAGAGAGACAGCTGAACCAATATCTAAATGCGTCAGAAGTGTTGATTACGATAATTCAGAACTCGCCTCTCACGTCACCAACACTGAAGGTCCTGACAACGGACCCTGTTTTGAAGAGATTAATTATTGCTGCTTCTTCTGTGAAAGAAGGCGGAACCTTTAGTCCACATGACAGCCGCGTAACATGTGCCATGAATGTGTTGGAGAGTCTTATTCTGCAACTTGGAGGCTACGGGTCGGTGGGTCTGATGTTCCCGGAAGAGGAGGAAGAAGGACAAGAGGGCTTCACTGACCAAGAACCCCAATACGACATGGCAACAACGGAAACTCTGATAGAGCATCTTCCAATGTTGCTCTCGAATCTCGCTATACTATTGGAGTACCCAGAATCCGATATTTGGGTGTCACCGATGCAGTTTGCAAAGACTGAACCCCAGAAGCTGTTGGGCTCTTCTCGACTGCGAATTGTCAGACTGCTAGAATCGCTGGTATTGCTCGGTGACCCTGGTGTCGATGCTCTGCTTTGTTCATCAAATTGCATGGAAATCTGTTTGGACTTGTTTTGGATGTTTCAGTGGTGTTCGATGTTACATCAATCAGTCGCAAACTTGCTTGTACATGTTTTCGAAGGGCAGAACTCTAGATCTGAACTTCAAACATATTTCATCAAAGACTGCAATCTACTCGGTCGCCTGATGGACTCGTTTTGGGCTGGGGGGAAAGGTGCAGGGTCGGATACGAAGCTGTCAGAAGCTGGCAAGGCAACGGAGGCTTCAAGTATTCCGCCGCCCTCAGCAGAGAGTGAAGCAAAGAGTTCGTCAGAAGTTCTACCGGTGTCCGATGATGATGTTCAGGCCAATACAGAGAGCAGTGCGGAAGAAAAGGCTAATGAAGAAAGCGAAAATACACGAAGCGAATTGGTAGAACATGCTCCGGCACAGTCATTCCGATTGGGTTACATGGGGCACGTCATCATTATTTGCCAAGCATTGGTTCACGCGTGTACAAACCAAGATGTCAACAGCCAGGAGGCAAGCATTGAAGGAGAAAACCCGGATGCAGACCATGAGCCTGGCGAGGTTACTGGATCAGCAGGCGGTGAGGAGCAGGGAGATCGTATGGAGGTCGACAACGGACCACTGGTACTTGCTGAATTGGTGGATACACATGAATTGAATGAAAGATGGCAAGACTTTGTGACCACAACCTTGGCATCGGAAACTGCGATACAATCGACACCGCTTGGAGGATTCCAAGGATCTCCAGTTGGAAATGATTTGCATCCGCATCATCCCGGAATGGCAGATGATGGTGATTTTGGGGACGAAGAAGGCGGAGCTCCTTCGCTTCCAGCAAGAGGTGTTCTTGTTGGTGGGGATACTATTGACATGGATGATAATGATCTAGATGTTGCAGCGAGCATGATAGCTGGACTCAACATAAGACGAGACGGCGATGGCGAAGGTACAGACGCCAACAATGCTAGAGATTACCAATTTGATGATCCACTTGGTGATGGAAGGTTTGGAAAGTTCGATGATGATGGAGACAGCAGCAGCGATGAAGGATCTCAGGAAACTGATAATACAGGAGGCTCTGGTGGTGCTGCAGGCGATGCTCCTGCCCCTCCAGTGATGGATCTTTTTGCCGGGAATTTTGATCTCGCTGACCAAAATAATGACCAAGAACCTCCAAAAGACTTTGGTGACTTTGATAATGCTTTCGCAAACTTCGACGATGCTTTTGCAGGGGCAAATGGCGACAGCACAGATGGTGGGTCAGGGTTTCCAAGTGCTCCAAATAGCGACCCAGCTGACGTTTTTGGTGAACGAAAAGATCACGTTGAGCTTCTGGACATGAACATTGGTGAATCTCCCGAGAAGCATATCGACGATGATGATGACGGATCACATTCATCGGCATCGTCTGATGAAGAAGCAGCGAAACCAGAAGATGATGGGCCAGCATCATAGCTAGTTGCGATTCTGATATTGATGTTAAGAGCAGATGTGGATTAAATGTTCGGCTCATAGAGTATAATATATATCACAATGAAATTGATACAAATACTGCTTCTTCGAATTTTCCATCTACTACAAAATTGATTCTACTCCTGGTCGTAATATCCATCGTCCTGATCATAAAAGTCGTCAATGGTTTGATAAACCGTCTCGAAAGTAGCATCCTGCAGGCTTTGTCTGTGATAAACTTCAGCCCCCAAAATCAGAAGTAGAACACAAACCAAGTTCAGACTATCGATTGCAGGTCCATAGCTAAAATCTGGGATACTCTGGTCGTATAGAAATAATAGGACGGAGGAAAGGACGATTCCTGCGCTGACACCGCGGTACATCACTTTCGTTGCTCCGGCATTGACGATCTTGTCCACAGCAACACCAACCGCAATTATTGAAAACGAGTAGCCGAGGACCAGTCCAAGGGAATAATCGCATAGGGCCTCATCTTCATAACCATTGAGTGCGGTGTCTTCATCCAAGGTCCCGAAAAAGCATTGGAAACCTTCCTCGATGTTCTCGGTGAGCCGTGACGAGGGGTATAGCTTTGACCACTGTTTGCTAGCAGCAAATCCCTGAAGATTGTAGACGAGAGGTGCCATGATAGACGCGAAAATCAATTGGAATATCGACAGGACCATGTTCAAATGATCGGCTTGGATGGGTCTCTTATGTTGGAGGAAAACGTGCTCTTTGTACAGTTGTGATGCAGCCGCTGGAATACAACTTGAGACAAATAGCAATGTATTGTAAGCTGTCTGGAGCGGTATCGTATCCGCATACAAAAAGAAGAGCGGATCCCAAATTGAATAGATTGCCGGGCATAGTGCCAACAGCACAGCCAGTGATATTATTACGCAACCCACGACGTGTTCCCCGTACAAACCACCCCACCCAGTAGGAGTCAGACCATTCTCATCTGCTTGTTCTCTTGATTCCGACCACTTTCTGCATCCGAAAAGATACTTCGTGCAACCGTCCGGGTGGACTACTTGGGTTATAAAGGCAGTCAGGGGCAGTGTGAATTGAACAAGGATCACAGTCAATGTAGGGGAGACGTGAATCCCGGTTATGAACACCAGGATCATGTGCAAAGTGTCCAATAATGCCATTACTTCACCAATAGAGCGACGATTAACCGTTAAGGGTGACATTGTCGATTCGTGCGGATACAACGAACATTTACTTACGCCCGACATCAATGATTGGGATTCCCAAACTAGACATTCCAAACTCCTTCCTAGAGCATGCAGATATCAGCATTCCTATTGCGACCATTATCGCATGCGAAGCTGTAACCAATTCCACTGCAAAAAGTCGAAAGGGTCCAGCGCGGTCTACGAGGAACTTGAACGTTGTTCGTTCTATAGTATAAAATAAAGAAAGAATGAAGAACCAGAAGAACACAACTGCTTTGTTTCGTCTCGAAATGCTTCTTGATGGAGGTGAATCCCATAGGTTGTCGACATTCACAATGAGCATGGTAATCTCCTTTATTCCCTTCCACACTCTGGCCAAAAATCCCACCTCAGACGCCTCTGATGCATTATCAACACTCCATTGCTCCATCATGGCGTATTCATCGTCGTAGGACCGGCTTTCGCTAGCTTCGGCGTCACTATTGGATGCATATCCAGGTGAATTTTGGTCACTTCGTAACAGCGGATCGTATTCGCCAGCATTCCTTGATTCCCCTGTTCCAGTCTGGTTACTTCTGGGGCTAGCAGCGTCTAGAGCTTGTCCGAGCATTGTTTAGAAGCACAGATATTCCTTTTCTACCAAGAACTTCGAGGGTTGTAACATGCCGAGTATTAAAGAGGCAAGAACTAAAATCTGGGCTCGAATTGATTCATTCGATTATACGTATTTTTGGTGTGACTCTCAATAACATACCGGTAGTATTCCTCACCGCGAGTCGAATTTATGTCTACCGGAAGGATGCAAGAAGAACGAACGAATCTATGGATAGGAAGTATAATAGAATGGAACATGAGAACAAAAAAGAATTGAAAGAAATCATGCCAAATGCAAGTAAGACCTCCGTAGGCACAAAGATAAGCTCAACTTTGATGTGCACAGCAGTTGTGGGGGAACAATACTGTATACAAAAATGATAATGCCTACTAAAATTCTACTTGGGCTTCACTTGCAGCCTCTGGTTCAAATATTTCTTCAGCAACGATGGGCGCTGTCGCCTTCAGTGCAGCTATGATCGCATTTTCTTCGCTTTCGTGATTGGCTGTGAAAAACCAAATCCAAATCAATAATAATAGAGCCAGCGCATTGAAAGTCCCCGCCGTAAGAATTTGGTTTCCGAATGAATCAGTATTTGCTCCCAGGTATGTACTGCAGAAAATGAAGGGGACAAAGGTAATCAAGTTGATACCCATCAACAGTCCAGCTCCTTCCGTCGCCATCGTACTCATTCCAAGCCAGCAAGCATACGCAACAGCCAGACCAGCGCGAACTTAGGCCATACGTTAGATGTTAGGTAGCAATGGAGCCAGAGAGACAAATCGAAACTTACGCCAGACAAGCGCATCAGGCAATTCTGGGAAGGTTTCTGCTGTTGGCTTTGAGTTGACAGCCATTAGTTTTTGCAACACCGTTTTCTCTGATTTTTCTGCCATTGTTCCTGAAAGTGAATGTACTGAATTTAGAGAGGGCACACGAAAAGGAAAGCATCGATGAGCATAACAGAGTCTGATATAAACATCGGTTGTTCAAACATTACTTCGTAACAACAACATACTTTTCGAGTTTTGATTGTTAGTAAAAAACGAAAACGAATAAATTTTGGGGGATGCGCAGCATGCGCAAGTTGGAGCAATTATTTTAGGGGATCAAAAGAATCAATCGAGTAGAAGAGTTGAGGCTGCTGCTGTTCAGACTGCTGCTGCATCATCGGTTGTCCATATGATGGAAAAGTGTTTCCATTGCTTGTGAATGTTTGAGGCATCTGCCCAGCTATCAAGTTTTGCACTTGCTGTACTCCGCCTGGCACTTGATGAACCATGATAGGCTGTTGTTGTGGAAGAACCATAAACTGTTGCTGCAAGTTGCGAAGGTCCTGATTGATATCCTGATGCTGCATTCCGTTCTCCATATTCGCTTGATCCATCGTCGAGGCCATCCCAAATGTTATGGGAACAACTATGTTGTTTTCTTGAACAAACTGGTTCTGCTCATACTGTTGTTGCAATCCGGTTGTTCTCTGTTGGTACGCTGCTGGATCATGGGGGTCTTGGAAAACAGGTGAATCTGCGTTCACAAGCGACACTTGTGTTGGAATCATGACAGGAACCATGTCGCCAGTAATATTTGTAGCTGGTTGGTTCTGGTGCAATGGATCAAAGGCTTTGACGCAAGGCGGCTTCAGGGCCCCTCGAGCTACTGGCTTGGCAGCGGCTGGAATGGGAGTTGGAGCAGCTCCATTGACCGCACCTACTGACTCCATTCTTGATAAGTGTTGGGCTCCTCCCTTTGGTTTTGCAGGGCTTGTATTCCCAAAATCCGCTGTGACTTGCTGAAGGAAGGCATCACCAGCATTCCCAAGACTGTTGGATCGGGCATGCCATCCATTTGCAACAGCTCGTTTGAATTGTTCTTTACCTTGTTCTCTGCCAAGTGAAATGGTGCTAGAAGCAGGATTTTGTGTTGCCGGTATTGATACACCATTTGTTGCAGGACGGTCGACCTTATTCTCTCCAACAGGAGGCTGCGGCTGGCACTTTTTCTCAGCAATTGCTGCAGGCGGCGCAGCTGTAGGATCGCGTTTGGGGTTTGAAGAAGCAATTGCTTCTGAGGCTGTAGGTGCCTTTGGCCCAGTGGCAGCAACTGCGGCTTTTGGAGCTTTGGCTTTCGTGATAGCTACACCATCTGCTTTGGTCTTGGCTGATGCGCTTGTCGCAGAACTATCCACCGTTTGATCCAAAGGCTTCTGTCCATTTGTTCCAGGCATAATATTTGCTTCCCTCATCTTTTTTCGCAGTTCAATATTCCGCGCTTCGGCCTTTTCTCTGAGTCCTTTCTCCTCCTTCAGACTCTTGTCGAGATCCCGATTCTTTGCCTCAAGCGCTTTATTCTTGTCCCGCTGAATGGAAGTAAAGATTGAATGTTAGAGTTAGTAGCAACCCTCAAGACTTTTGAGTACATACCATAAGTTTCAAATCTGTTTGTAGAGTTCTAATCAACAGATCCGCATCTGTAACTTCCGACTTCATTTGGTCCAATAGATAGCTTAGCTTTCCCAAACTCAACTTTCCACCCCTATCCAGCGCATGGGGACCTGCTCTTGCCAGAGCTTTCTTCTTGGGGACTGTTGGTGCCATTCTAGCCTTTTCTGTGCCTTTTGGAATCTCAGGAAGTGCCTTTGCCTGCATTGACCTTCTCGTTGATTCCTGAGTCAAGGAAGTAGATGCAGCAAGTTGCATATTAGGTGTCTGTGGCGGAGTGCTAGTTTGAGTATTCGATGTCACATGTGTCTGAGAAGTAGTGGCATTGGCCTCTGGAATTCCCTGCGGCACAGGAGTCATTCGATGGGACTGTACCTGTTGATTCTGCTGTTGCTGGGAAGGATGAGGACTGGCTGCATAAGGTTCAGTTATGACTGCTGTCGATTGTAGTGAGAAAAAAGGAGATGCAGTCCAATTCGATCCAACAGGGACAGCTGATCCAGGCACTGCTTCGAAGTGTGTTTGCTGAACCTGCTGAACCTGATGTGACCCAGGCACTGCTTCGAAGTGCGTTTGCTGAACTTGCTGAACCTGCTGAACCATGGTAGTCTGGACGACAGGTGGAGCCACATGCTGAACCGGTGCGATCACTGACTGAGTCTGTGGTTGGTTCACTGCTGGCTGCATCATGGTTGGCAAATGTAGAGATTGCGGAGGAGGAACTGCTTCCACTGGCGCTCCCGGAACCGCCACATTTTGCGCAGGAATCATGGTTCGCACATTGTTCACTTTGCTGACCAAAAAGCGACCCTTCTTCGTGACGGTCGGAACGCTGGATCCATCAAGAGTCTCTGGAAGTGGAGTCGAGTTCCCATTTGCTCCAGTCGCGTTCTGCTCACCGGCTGCTTTCGGTTCCTGACTTTGCGCTGCTGGTGACGGCGTCGCTACAGGAGCTGCTCCTGACGAAGCTTGTGCCAATTTGGGAGATACTATCTCCTCAGTTGCAGCGACAATGGGAGCGGGCGGTACCAATGGCTGAGTAACAACCACTGCTGGAACGCTTTCTGGAGGCCCCGGAACGACAGCTTGTGCTGGTGCTGGTGCTGGAGCCGTCTGCTGAAACAACTTGAATCGACCCTTCTTCACATATCGTAGCCCATCTTGAACCTTCATTAGTGGAATTGCTCCTACCGTGCCAATGATTTGCTCTTGAGGCTGTCCCCCGCCCCTAGTACTTGTTTTCTGTATCGTCTGCACTGGTATCACTCCAGGAATCTGGTAGTAATATGTCGTCTGTGAATCTGGTCCGGATTGTGAACGACCTACTTCTCCGGGATATGGTTGTGGTGCGCATGGTACAGAAATTGATCGATGTTTCATTGCTTGTGGCTGCTGTATCCTCGTAGGAACGGATGCTGGCGTTGAAGGGAGCGGCGCAAGTGTTTCGACTGGTTCTTGCTGTGATTGTTGGTCTTGACTGGTTTGTGACTGAGATAGCTGAGAAAAATTAGAGTGCTGCGATCCTATTGTATTGCCTTGAGCATGCTGTTGGTGATGGTGTTGTTGTTGTTGCTGTTGATGCTGTTGGTGATGGTGTTGTTGCGGCTGTTGATGTTGTTGATATTGTTGCTGCTGCTGGTGTTGCTGTTGCTGGTGGTGTTGCTGGTGGTGTTGTTGTTGTTGTTGCTGGTGTTGTTGCTGGTGTTGTTCCTGACCAGTTTGCGTCACCGTACTTGGCACCGACTGCGATTGTGATGCATCAGCATATTGCTGCTGCGCACTTTGCACCGAGTGCTGCGTAGAAGCCGTTGACGTCGCTAGAGATGGCCGCCGACTTTGTGGATGCTGAATGGGTGGTGTCTGTGCAGGCCCTTGCGGTGCTGACGTTACTGGTGTTATCGTAAATCGACTACCACTGCGTTCCTTGGGTTGTTGAGCATCAGGCTGTGTAGCTTGTTGTGAAAATGGCTTTCCATGATGCTGCGGGGCCGATTTGGCTGGTGCCGTTGGCGAGGGACGTAGTCCCTCTGGTTGTCCTACTGTCGATTGTGGTGGATTTTGATTCTGCTGGATTTTTGGAGCCGGTGGCGGTTTCTCGAGATGTTGTTGAACAATTGTTTGGGGATTCGGTGACGCCGAATTGGTCAAAGTAGCGGAGCCTGCATTTGAAAAGTCGCTAGGTGTCACACTCCGTTGCTCTGACAGCGTTTGGTTTGTTCTTGGTTTCTCCGAAGGCATGTCCACTACAACAGTCGGGGTGAGAAGTTGCTCATGGCCTTGATTGGCTTCGTTTACGATACTATCCAACGAAGATTCGCTCGCTTTGCCATGCTGATGATTCCTAGCGGGATCTGCGGCTGCTGATACTGATGATGACTCAGTGTTTGCAGTTTTGATGTCTTGGTTGGTTTCTGTTCGTGAAACTCCTGTCTGCGGCTTGGATTCCACAGCCATTGATCCATCAATGGAACGTTGTCTACAGCTGTCTTCTCCTGTAGTTTCCTGAGAGGACGCCGAGTGAATGGAATCGCGGCTAGTAGGGAGCGACGTTTTGCCCATTGTCTTCTTGTTTCAATTCAAACCTTCGTTCCTTTTCTCAGCTCAACAATGCAATGCTACTTGAAAAATCAAAATTCTCTCCTATCAATTCAATGCTTCTTCCCTGTTGCAACGATGCGATTGGGTTGGCCCTCGTGCTGCAAAAGTTATTGACTATAGTACGTATGATGTCCCTTGCTTACTTCCAATTATTTTTTTCTGGGATGAAGAATGAATGAAAAACAGTCTTTTTTTCTGCGAATTCAGGGCAATAATCGAACGCATTTAACATCGGTCCCGGCTGGCGCGCTTACTACGACGGCTCATAACCCAAGAAGGGGTCCATCCTTTTCGTTGTCGTTTCTCAAATTTTGGAAACACGATGGCGGAATTTCATGCCGCTGGATTTTCCGAGTTTGACAAGTTCTTTGGCGGCGAAACCAGTAAAGAAAAAGAGGAGTCGAAGGATGCCTTGTTAGCAAAGGGATCCAAGGAATCCAAGACAACTGGAAAGGGAAGACGTGGAGGTGTTGGATCCAAAGCCTCCACTTTATCTTCAACGGCACAATCCTCCACAGTACTTTCTAAGCGACTCCTCAAAGTTGGGACCAAACGATCGCGGAATCGAGATGCTGATCTAGATGAAGAGGAAGAATACACAAATGATGATCGAGATTCTGAGCAAGATGATGACGATGGTGAAGAAGATATTGGACGAACGGGGATTTCTCTTAGCAAAGAATCATCATTAGCAAAATCCAAAACAAATGACGTATTGGATCAGCTGCAACCTTCCAAGAAAAAGAAGCAAGGGAAGAAGGAACGACAACGATTGAAGGAAGAGGCAGATAAGAAAGCAGAGGAAATAATACGCAAAGATGAAGTTGGTGGAGAATCCACTGAAAACAACAACGCGGACGATGTTGACGGTGAGGCAACAAATGCCAAACGGAAGCCCAAACGACGCAAAATTAGGAGTCGGCAAAAGAATATTCGCAAAGACTCTCGAGGCATGGGTGAAAAACCAAAGCATCTACGGGTAGGGGCTTCCAACTACCAAGGACGGCCACTGACAGACGAAACCCGTGCCAGACTCAATTTGGCCCCCAGCAAAACCAAGGCGAGCCCGTTCTTTGTCATTGATCGGGCGCCTACTCCCAAGGTGGAAGAAGGAATTGCCTTGGGTGTGGAAGATTTATTGGCCGAACCCGCTGCGGTCGAGGGAAGCAGCACCAAGAAAAAGAAGAAGAAAAAGAGCAAACGAAAGTACAAGAATCTCTAACATGTCTCGCTGCACTGTATTTAAAACACTATACCATCTCACAGTCAACCATAAACATCTAAAGCTTTGATCCTTAGTCCAACTCGGAAGGTTCTTCTTCATCCACTTCGTCTGCTTCCTTGTCCAGCCGTTCCTTCAACAGTTCTACCAAAGCTCGCTGCGTTCGGCGCTCCAGCTTGGCGAGTTTACTTTCAATGCCCCGCTTCAAATCCCAATTCACCTTTTTAGGTGCCATGACATTCACACCTTCTTCGGTTGCCCCAGGTCCCTTGACAATGTCATTTTGAGCTTCTGCCAACGCTTCCGCCAATGATGTGGTTTTGGTACCACTGCTGGTTTCCTCCAAACGTCTCTTTTTGGCCGCGGATTCATCTCCCTCACCTTGATTGTCATCATCGCCATTGCTACTATTTTTATCAATATCCATGGAAGCATCACGGGGAGCATAGTTGCGAAAGGAGATTGTCTTTCTCTCTTGAGAGGAAGAGTCATTTGCAGTTTCATTCGAAATATTGCTCTCGTCTTCGTCTCCCTGTTTTTGCTTGGTTCGTCCAGCCTTTGCCGCAAGGGCTGCCAATCGAGCCTTTCTATCTCCCATGATGTTGGAATAATATCAAGAGGAATGAAAAATGAAGCGATGGAGGTTTGTTTCTCCTAAATTGTAAGCAAGTCCGGTGTTTTGTTGCGTGGTGTAAAATAAGGTCGGACGATTGATTCATTCGATTCATTCGATTCATTCTCAATTCAATTCATTCTTCGTCCGCATGCATCCCCCACTCCTGGCCATGGTTTTGACCCAAAACCCCCCCAAAAATCCCTACCACATGAACGACGTAGAAATTCTGCGTGGAATGAGTATTAGTCTAGCTAGTCGTTTGGTAAATCTAACTAGTCGTATACGTAGGTTCGCCGTACCAAGTAGAATTCTACGTCATTCACTGGTAGAGAAACCCCCAAATTTTTTCGGAGGTTTTGGGTCAAAACCCTGGCCAGGAATGGGGGATGTATGCGGATCGTTTATTCCATCGGGGGGGAGGAAATGAGATGATAACGCATTCTGGGGACATATATATGTTCACGTGTACTGTACGAAACGCGGCACTTTCACATCATTTAAAATAATATTGCTACAGCACTGGTATTCTGCATTGGTTGCAATTTTAATCCTTCATAGTCAGGGTCAAAATAAATAACAACAAAATGTCTGGAAGAAGGCTGAATCATCAAGGATTTTCCACAATTCTTCAGAAGCATTCATTAGGAGGAGGATCCAAAAAGGGCTCGTCTACCAAAGAGATTGCCAGAAAAGCAGTGGAAGAGGAATGGAAGCGCAATCAGAAGCGAAAACGATCGGGTCTCGGTGGAGATTCGTCCGATGAAGAGGATGGTGATGAACGAGATCGAGGAAAACGTGGACGAAAAAGCCAAAAGGATGAAGAGGAAGAGGACGATGAATTTGAGTTTTCGCAAGACTATCGGGATCGAGCCAAGGAGCGTCGGGAAGGAAAGCCTCCTGCTGACACTTTTACTGATACCAAAGAGGAATCAGCATATCCAACAGATCCTGCATTACCTCCTCCTACGAAGGGTTTGAATCTATCGCTGGCTAGAAAACTGAGAAAAGAGATGAAAGAGGCAGGAGCCAATGGTTCGAAGGAAAGCAACAGGCCAGCGATATTTACAGAACTGCCAACGATGGAACAAGCAATCAGCACGCTAGAATCAATAGCAAGCGAAGAAATCTCATTATCTGCTAGCTTCTTGATTGATAGAACTTCTTTGGATTACATTCAAGGGCTCGTGAAGCTACAAAACCAGGCTGTGCAATCTCAGCCTATCATTTCTTGCACATTGGCAGGCAAGAAGATGCAGCGTTCCCGATTGGTCGTGAGCCTCAATGGAAACATTTCCGATCTAAAACGGTCCTGGGAGATTCCCCGTGAGGTGACAAACTCCAACCCTTCCAGCAACATGGCTCAACCGTGTATGGATCTTCCAATAATCCAGAAGATTGAAGCAATCTTGAAAACCATTAAGAAGTCTCAAAATCCTTTTTCAAGTAGAAGGAACAACAAAATTCTGGATACATTTAGACCATGCGAGGGTGAAGTAGAAGCAGGTAAAACTTCATCTAAAACCACTCCCGAAAACACCATTCAACAATCCGAAGCACAAGCATCAGACGAAGACGATGATGACATTTTTGGAGGTCTGGATGATTACTCCCCTCCAGCACCGTCAGCGAAGCAGTAGGGACGAGGAAGCAGTCATCTAGGACGAAGAAAAAAGAAGTAAAAAAGCTATAATATCTTGTAAGATCAACAGTAGGTGCATATGTTGATGCTATTTGGAATTACAAACTACTGGTGCTGGATTCCACCGAGGAGTTTTCCATAGGATATACATGATTACAGGATTTGAATTGAGAAGGATGTGTCTTCGTTGCATACCTGGCCACTTAGCGTACCCTCCCCTTCAACGGCAAAATCGAATTCATATTTTGCACCTGATGATGCTGCAAGATTCAAGAGGAAAGACTCTCTAAAGGACTCAGTATCGCTAGGTGCTGTATATGGCAGTGCATCGTCGGGGAGTGCTTCGTATCTTCCAGAAAACGGGCTTGTCACAGTTGCCTTCAACAGATTGGCGTCAAAGCTACCGGTGTTTGTTGCTGTGTACGTGATCTCAACATTCGAATAGACTTGCTGATTTCCCATCTCAGCATTCTTGAAGCCTGCAAATTGGAGACTTCCATATGTGTCAAGCAACGTAAGCTGATTTCCTTCTGTGCATTGGACGCTCATTGATGAAATCTGCAAGACTGTTCCCAATCCCCCTGAATCACTGACAGTAGAGATGGTAATCTGGGCACTTGTGGTATCTGCAGGAATTTTTACCTTGAATACCTCACCACCAGATACAACACCCTCGTAGAGAGTGTCGGAACTATCAAAGAATTGTACATAAACAGAAAATGGGCTGTCGGTGTTGAAATCAGTGCACGAAAAGCTGCTTTGCGTGTTGGTTCCGGAACACTTTGATTGTGGAACATACACAAACGACAGATCTTCTGGGGAGGATCCAATGCAAGTAGTATTCTTTGGTGGTGCTAGGTCTTCACAAAATCCTCCATCCTGTTGCTGACAAGTAACATCAGCTGTAAATTCGCAAATGGCTTGGAGTGGATCAGGTGACGGTATCATTGAAGGTTCGAATGTCACAGTCGGACCTGAAGTTGCTTTTCTGCTCGGACTTTCGGACGGTATGGCGGACAGAATTGGACTGGGTGCTTGGGATGGTGCTGTTGTTGGTTTGCGGGATGGCACTCCTGTCGGAAGAGAACTTGGGTCGGCAGACGGTTTTCCTGATGGCTTTGCACTGGGTGATCCAGTTGGACTTTGAGACGGGCCTGAGCTGGGTACTGTTGTCGGTGAATTAGATGGTCCCGTTGACGGCAAAGAACTGGGCTTCTGTGTCATCGTAGGCGTACTAGAGGGAGCAAATGTCGCAGTTGGATTCGCAGAAGGGTATCTCGATCCAGAAGGCATTATCGAAGGAGAGTGAGAAACCGTTGGTGCTGAGCTTGGTTCCTGAGTTGGTAGCTGCGATGGTTCCATTGAAGGGACACTACTAGGCCCATGACTGGGGGTCCCTGTTGGACTTGGCGACGGACTCATGCTCGGTCTTGCAGTCGGAAATGCAGTTGGTCCATCTGATGGGGAAGAACTGGGTTGCTGCGTCATCGTAGGAGGACCAGATGGAACAAATGTCGTAGTTGGGTTGGCAGAAGGGTATCTAGATCCTGATGGCATGATCGAAGGCGAGTGAGAGACCGTTGGCGTCGAGCTTGGTACCCGAGTAGGCAAATGTGATGGTTCTTTTGAAGGAACGCTAGTGGGAAGATCACTGGGTGATCCAGTTGGACTTTGAGACGGGCCTGAGCTGGGTACTGTTGTCGGTGAATTAGATGGTCCTGTTGACGGCAAAGAACTGGGCTTCTGTGTCATCGTAGGCGTACTAGAGGGAGCAAACGTCGCAGTTGGATTCGCAGAAGGGTATCTCGATCCAGAAGGCATTATCGAAGGAGAGTGAGAAACCGTTGGTGCTGAGCTTGGTTCCTGAGTAGGTGAAATGGATGGATGTACTGACGGCTTGTTCGAAGGAACGGGGGTTGGTGCTGTACTGGGTGACGTTGTCTGTACTTGCAGTGAATTTGCCATCTCCTGGGTGCACGCCAGGCCGCTTATAGTACCCTCTCCTTCGACAACAAAATCAAATTCATACATAACACCTGCAACTGCCGCAATGTTCAAGAGAAATGACTCGGTGAAGGTCTGGCTAGCTCCAGGTTCGAGTAGCTTCACCTCACCATCGGGAAGAGCCTCATACATTCCAGAAAACGGACTCGTAACGGTTGCCTTTGAAAGATTGGCGTCAAATGCACCTGTATTTGTTGCTTTGTATGTAATTTCAACGTTCGTAAAGACTTGTTGATCTCCCATCTCAGCATTCTTGAAACCCGTCAATTGGAGGCTTCCATATGTGTCAAGTAGCGTAAGTTGGTCTTCGTCTGTGCACTGAACACCCATCGATAGAATCTGCATGACTGAACCCACTCCTCTCAGGTTGCTAACGGTCGAAATCGTTATCTGGACGTTTGTGGTATCCGAAGGAATGTTTACCTTAAAGACCTCTCCGCCGTGTACAACACCCTCGTAAAGAGTCTCGGAGCTCGCAAAAAACTGGACGTAGACATCAAACGGCTTGTCGCCACTGAAATCAAGGCATGAAAAGGTATTTTGAGTGTTGGTTCCAGAGCATTTCGATGATGGCACATAGGTAAACGACAGCTCCTCTGGGGAGGATCCTCTGCAAGACGAATCGCCAGGGGACATCAGTGTTTGACACGATCCTCCACCCTGTTTCTGGCAGGACACGCTTGCACTCAGCTCACACACGGCTTTGAGTGGATCGGATGTAGGCAACATTGAAGGTTCGAATGTCAAAGACGGACCTGAACTTGCTTTGATGCTCGGACTTTCGGACGGTATTGCCGATGGCTGTGCACTGGGTGATCCGGTTGGACTTTGAGACGGGCCTGAGCTGGGTACTGTTGTCGGTGAATTAGATGGTCCTGTTGACGGCAAAGAACTAGGCTTCTGTGTCATCGTAGGCGTACTAGAGGGAGCAAATGTCGCAGTTGGATTCGTAGAAGGGTATCTCGATCCAGAAGGCATTATCGAAGGAGAGTGAGAAACCGTTGGTGCTGAGCTTGGTTCCTGAGTTGGTAGCTGCGATGGTTCCATTGAAGGGACACTACTAGGCCCATGACTGGGGGTCCCTGTTGGACTTGGCGACGGACTCATGCTCGGTCTTGCAGTCGGAAATGCAGTTGGTCCATCTGATGGGGAAGAACTGGGTTGCTGCGTCATCGTAGGAGGACCAGATGGAACAAATGTCGTAGTTGGGTTGGCAGAAGGGTATCTAGATCCTGATGGCATGATCGAAGGCGAGTGAGAGACCGTTGGCGTCGAGCTTGGTACCCGAGTAGGCAAATGTGATGGTTCTTTTGAAGGAACGCTAGTGGGAAGATCACTGGGTGATCCAGTTGGACTTTGAGACGGGCCTGAGCTGGGTACTGTTGTCGGTGAATTAGATGGTCCCGTTGACGGCAAAGAACTGGGCTTCTGTGTCATCGTAGGCGTACTAGAGGGAGCAAATGTCGCAGTTGGATTCGCAGAAGGGTATCTCGATCCAGAAGGCATTATCGAAGGAGAGTGAGAAACCGTTGGTGCTGAGCTTGGTTCCTGAGTTGGTAGTTGTGATGGTTCCATTGAAGGGACACTACTAGGCCCATGACTGGGGGTCCCTGTTGGACTTGGCGACGGACTCATGCTCGGTCTTGCAGTCGGAAATGCAGTTGGTCCATTTGATGGGGAAGAACTGGGTTGCTGCGTCATCGTAGGAGAACCAGATGGAACAAATGTCGTAGTTGGGTTGGCAGAAGGGTATCTAGATCCTGATGGCATGATCGAAGGCGAGTGAGAGACCGTTGGCGTCGAGCTTGGTACCCGAGTAGGCAAATGTGATGGTTCTTTTGAAGGAACGCTAGTGGGAAGATCACTGGGTGATCCAGTTGGACTTTGAGACGGGCCTGAGCTGGGTACTGTTGTCGGTGAATTAGATGGTCCTGTTGACGGCAAAGAACTGGGCTTCTGTGTCATCGTAGGCGTACTAGAGGGAGCAAACGTCGCAGTTGGATTCGCAGAAGGGTATCTCGATCCAGAAGGCATTATCGAAGGAGAGTGAGAAACCGTTGGTGCTGAGCTTGGTTCCTGAGTAGGTGAAATGGATGGATGTACTGACGGCTTGTTCGAAGGAACGGGGGTTGGTGCTGTACTGGGTGACGTTGTCTGTACTTGCAGTGAATTTGCCATCTCCTGGGTGCACGCCAGGCCGCTTATAGTACCCTCTCCTTCGACAACAAAATCAAATTCATACATAACACCTGCAACTGCCGCAATGTTCAAGAGAAATGACTCGGTGAAGGTCTGGCTAGCTCCAGGTTCGAGTAGCTTCACCTCACCATCGGGAAGAGCCTCATACATTCCAGAAAACGGACTCGTAACGGTTGCCTTTGAAAGATTGGCGTCAAATGCACCTGTATTTGTTGCTTTGTATGTAATTTCAACGTTCGTAAAGACTTGTTGATCTCCCATCTCAGCATTCTTGAAACCCGTCAATTGGAGGCTTCCATATGTGTCAAGTAGCGTAAGTTGGTCTTCGTCTGTGCACTGAACACCCATCGATAGAATCTGCATGACTGAACCCACTCCTCTCAGGTTGCTAACGGTCGAAATCGTTATCTGGACGTTTGTGGTATCCGAAGGAATGTTTACCTTAAAGACCTCTCCGCCGTGTACAACACCCTCGTAAAGAGTCTCGGAGCTCGCAAAAAACTGGACGTAGACATCAAACGGCTTGTCGCCACTGAAATCAAGGCATGAAAAGGTATTTTGAGTGTTGGTTCCAGAGCATTTCGATGATGGCACATAGGTAAAAGACAGCTCTTCTGGGGTGGATCCGATGCATGTTTTCTCATCGGGAGATGTTATGCTTTCGCATGACCCACCACCCTGTTTCTGGCAGGACACGCTTGCACTCAGCTCACACACGGCTTTGAGTGGATCGGATGTAGGCAACATTGAAGGTTCGAATGTCAAAGACGGACCTGAACTTGCTTTGATGCTCGGACTTTCCGACGGTATTGCCGATGGCTGTGCACTGGGTGATCCAGTTGGACTTTGAGACGGGCCTGAGCTGAGTACTGTTGTCGGTGAATTAGATGGTCCTGTTGATGGCAAAGAACTGGGCTTCTGTGTCATCGTAGGCATACTAGAGGGAGCAAATGTCGCAGTTGGATTCGCAGAAGGGTATCTCGATCCAGAAGGCATTATCGAAGGAGAGTGAGAAACCGTTGGTGCTGAGCTTGGTTCCTGAGTTGGTAGTTGTGATGGTTCCATTGAAGGGACACTACTAGGCCCATGACTGGGGGTCCCTGTTGGACTTGGCGACGGACTCATGCTCGGTCTTGCAGTCGGAAATGCAGTTGGTCCATTTGATGGGGAAGAACTGGGTTGCTGCGTCATCGTAGGAGAACCAGATGGAACAAATGTCGTAGTTGGGTTGGCAGAAGGGTATCTAGATCCTGATGGCATGATCGAAGGCGAGTGAGAGACCGTTGGCGTCGAGCTTGGTACCCGAGTAGGCAAATGTGATGGTTCTTTTGAAGGAACGCTAGTGGGAAGATCACTGGGTGATCCAGTTGGACTTTGAGACGGGCCTGAGCTGGGTACTGTTGTCGGTGAATTAGATGGTCCTGTTGACGGCAAAGAACTGGGCTTCTGTGTCATCGTAGGCGTACTAGAGGGAGCAAATGTCGCAGTTGGATTCGCAGAAGGGTATCTCGATCCAGAAGGCATTATCGAAGGAGAGTGAGAAACCGTTGGTGCTGAGCTTGGTTCCTGAGTTGGTAGTTGTGATGGTTCCATTGAAGGGACACTACTAGGCCCATGACTGGGGGTCCCTGTTGGACTTGGCGACGGACTCATGCTCGGTCTTGCAGTCGGAAATGCAGTTGGTCCATCTGATGGGGAAGAACTGGGTTGCTGCGTCATCGTAGGAGGACCAGATGGAACAAATGTCGTAGTTGGGTTGGCAGAAGGGTATCTAGATCCTGATGGCATGATCGAAGGCGAGTGAGAGACCGTTGGCGTCGAGCTTGGTACCCGAGTAGGCAAATGTGATGGTTCTTTTGAAGGAACGCTAGTGGGAAGATCACTGGGTGATCCAGTTGGACTTTGAGACGGGCCTGAGCTGGGTACTGTTGTCGGTGAATTAGATGGTCCCGTTGACGGCAAAGAACTGGGCTTCTGTGTCATCGTAGGCGTACTAGAGGGAGCAAATGTCGCAGTTGGATTCGCAGAAGGGTATCTCGATCCAGAAGGCATTATCGAAGGAGAGTGAGAAACCGTTGGTGCTGAGCTTGGTTCCTGAGTTGGTAGTTGTGATGGTTCCATTGAAGGGACACTACTAGGCCCATGACTGGGGGTCCCTGTTGGACTTGGCGACGGACTCATGCTCGGTCTTGCAGTCGGAAATGCAGTTGGTCCATTTGATGGGGAAGAACTGGGTTGCTGCGTCATCGTAGGAGAACCAGATGGAACAAATGTCGTAGTTGGGTTGGCAGAAGGGTATCTAGATCCTGATGGCATGATCGAAGGCGAGTGAGAGACCGTTGGCGTCGAGCTTGGTACCCGAGTAGGCAAATGTGATGGTTCTTTTGAAGGAACGCTAGTGGGAAGATCACTGGGTGATCCAGTTGGACTTTGAGACGGGCCTGAGCTGGGTACTGTTGTCGGTGAATTAGATGGTCCTGTTGACGGCAAAGAACTGGGCTTCTGTGTCATCGTAGGCGTACTAGAGGGAGCAAACGTCGCAGTTGGATTCGCAGAAGGGTATCTCGATCCAGAAGGCATTATCGAAGGAGAGTGAGAAACCGTTGGTGCTGAGCTTGGTTCCTGAGTAGGTGAAATGGATGGATGTACTGACGGCTTGTTCGAAGGAACGGGGGTTGGTGCTGTACTGGGTGACGTTGTCTGTACTTGCAGTGAATTTGCCATCTCCTGGGTGCACGCCAGGCCGCTTATAGTACCCTCTCCTTCGACAACAAAATCAAATTCATACATAACACCTGCAACTGCCGCAATGTTCAAGAGAAATGACTCGGTGAAGGTCTGGCTAGCTCCAGGTTCGAGTAGCTTCACCTCACCATCGGGAAGAGCCTCATACATTCCAGAAAACGGACTCGTAACGGTTGCCTTTGAAAGATTGGCGTCAAATGCACCTGTATTTGTTGCTTTGTATGTAATTTCAACGTTCGTAAAGACTTGTTGATCTCCCATCTCAGCATTCTTGAAACCCGTCAATTGGAGGCTTCCATATGTGTCAAGTAGCGTAAGTTGGTCTTCGTCTGTGCACTGAACACCCATCGATAGAATCTGCATGACTGAACCCACTCCTCTCAGGTTGCTAACGGTCGAAATCGTTATCTGGACGTTTGTGGTATCCGAAGGAATGTTTACCTTAAAGACCTCTCCGCCGTGTACAACACCCTCGTAAAGAGTCTCGGAGCTCGCAAAAAACTGGACGTAGACATCAAACGGCTTGTCGCCACTGAAATCAAGGCATGAAAAGGTATTTTGAGTGTTGGTTCCAGAGCATTTCGATGATGGCACATAGGTAAAAGACAGCTCTTCTGGGGTGGATCCGATGCATGTTTTCTCATCGGGAGATGTTATGCTTTCGCATGACCCACCACCCTGTTTCTGGCAGGACACGCTTGCACTCAGCTCACACACGGCTTTGAGTGGATCGGGTGTAGGCAACATTGAAGGTTCGAATGTCGAAGTCGGCGCAAAGGTAGGTTTGCTGCTCGGACTTTCAGAAGGCTCGCTGGAAGGAAATAGGCTTGGTCTTTTTGAAGGGGATATTGTAGGTTTATGGGATCGAAAATTTGTCGGTAAAGCGCTCACAAATACTGACGGTCTCCCTGATTGTGAAGCCGATGGCTGTGTTGAAAGAACAAAAGATGGTGAACCTGATGCGCCCGTCGAAGGAAACGAACTCGGTGTCTGACTTTTAGTTGGATTCCCGCTTGGGATGGAAGTCAAGCTAGGAAAAAAACTAGGGTATCTACTCCCCGAAGGCATGATACTTGGATGGGCAGATATCGTAGGTATCAAGCTTGGTCTTGTACTTGGACTTTCGGTAGGCGAATCCGAAGGATAAGAACTTGGTGTCTCGGATGGCACTCCAGTGAGCTTATGAGAGGGTGTAGGCGTGGGTAAAATGCTTGGGGAATTGGACGGTCGTCCAGAAGGTTTTGTGCTCAATCCTTCGGTTGGCGATGTAATTAGTCCATTTGAAGGAGAAATACTAGGTAGGTTGGTGTCTGTTGGACTTGGACTTGGACTTGAAGTCACACTTGGTCTCGAAGACGGGTATCTTGATCCCGAAGGCATTATTGAAGGATAGTGGGAGACTGTAGGCGGCGTGCTCGTTACCTCAGTTGGTAAATGTGATGATTCCTTTGAAGGGTCTCCAGTTGGAATGTCACTGGGAGATTCAGTTGGACTTCGCGACGGGCTCTCACTTGGTCTTCCTGTTGGCGATGTAGACGGTCCATTTGAAGGAGAAATGCTAGGTTGCTTGGTGTCTGTTGGACTTTGGCTTGGACTAGAAGTCACACTTGGATTTGAAGACGGGTATCTTGATCCAGAAGGCATTATCGAAGGATAGTGGGAGGCTGTAGGCGTCGTGCTCGGTACTGAAGTAGGTGAGTGTGATGGTTTCTTCGAAGGGACGCTAGTTGGAACATGACTGGGGGATCCAGTCGGAGTTTGAGATGAAATCAAGCTTGGTCTTGCTGTCGGTGATTCAGACGGTCCATTTGATGGGAGGAAACTGGGTTGCTTTGTGTCCGTAGGATAATCACTGGGTATGCTGCTCTGCACCAACGACGGTTTCGAGGTTGGACCTGCTGATATTGATGGCGACATCGAGGGTTCAGAGCTTGGAGAGAACGTTGGTAGTGCAGTTGCGATGATATCGAAAAGATAGGAAGCAGAGTACACACAGCTGCCATCCCCCGATGCCAATGCTGCAATAGTAGTGGAAACATCATAATTTCCCGACGCGCACAAGTCTATGACAGCAGTGTTCTCGACGCTTGCTCTGCTACCGGGTTGAACTGTTCTCTCGGCGTTGTCTTGTGTCATCATTGTTCCATCATTCTTCATACCGAGGTGCGCTACGGACATTTCTTGCGATCCAAAATTGGAGATGTTGATTGAATACGTAACATAAACCGTACAATTGCTTGTCCTTTGGGTGAGATCCGTACACGCAATGCCATCATCGGCCGTACAGGAAATATCGATGTCTGCGCGACAATGGTCTTCAACAGAGAATACGTATTGCTCGAGGCTATAACAAGGCTTTCCATTTTCTCCATCCGCTTCAACAACAATCACAGTTTCACGCAGTCCAGACTCACACATGTCCACTGAATCAGTCTCCGAGAGCACAGTTGATTCACCTGGTTGAAGAGTTCCATCTTCCATCCTATTGAGTAGCCTTGTGGCGCTCTGACCCCTTGCTCTACCGACATTGGTCATATTCACTGGGGCATCACCTTGATTTGACACGGTATACGTATATTCAACTGGAACAGAGCAAACTTGTAGTGGCTGATTTTCATGGGAGCACGAAACAAGTCGCAGCATACCAAAGCTGTCCTTAAGAAATAATTGCGTCTTTCCATCGGTGTCGAATTGAATGTTTTGAACCTCATTGTCATTATCATCGGCAATTTTACAGTAAATACGAGAGGGGAGTGTTTCGCCAGCGGTTTGGATCGTAATTTGGCTACCAACTTCAGTAGTCTGATTGAAAATCATTGTGCTCGTAGATCTATCAGAACATTCAACCTTCACAGAATCTCCATCCTTCATCTCTAGACCAAGAAACTCGTCCTCGCAAAGAAAACCATCCTGCGTGTTATAGCTATGGCTGCAGCTCGACACAATGACTACAAACGTGAGTTCTTCGATCTCCTCACCGATTGAACAATTGCCAATTGGTTCTTTCAGCTCGACGCAGGAAGTTCCGTCCATAGTTGAGCAGTCGATTTCCACCTGTTTTGTGAAGAAGAAAGGGGTAAGTTGACCAGCTGACAAACTCATATCCATGCGGCAAAAAACTGCTTACATCAACAGTGCAGAACTGCGATGTTGGATTCAAAGAAGGAAAAAAGCTTGGTAGATTCGTTGCAGTAAATGAAGGAATATCTGAATGTGCATTCGACGGTTTCATCGTGGGAGCACTGGTTGGACTTTTTGATGGTGATAATGAAGTGGGAATTTCTGTTGGTCCACCGGTTGGATCCGACGATGGCGCACTCGAATGGACAGCTGTTGGATGTAATGTCGGAAGCTGTGACGGTGACATCGATGGCCTTGAAGTGGGCAGATGTGTTGGTCCACCTGTTGGATCCGACGATGGCGCACTCGAATGGACAGCTGTTGGATGTAATGTCGGAAGCTGTGACGGTAACATCGATGGCCTTGAAGTGGGCAGATGCGTTGGTCCATCTGTTGGATCCGACGATGGCGCACTCGAATGGACAGCTGTTGGATGTAATGTCGGAAGCTGTGACGGTGACATCGATGGCCTTGAAGTGGGCAGATGTGTTGGTCCATCTGTTGGATCCGACGATGGCGCACTCGAATGGACAGCTGTTGGATGTAATGTCGGAAGCTGTGACGGTGACATCGATGGCCTTGAAGTGGGCAGATGTGTTGGTCCACCTGTTGGATCCGACGATGGCGCACTCGAATGGACAGCTGTTGGATGTAATGTCGGAAGCTGTGACGGTAACATCGATGGCCTTGAAGTGGGCAGATGCGTTGGTCCATCTGTTGGATCCGACGATGGCGCACTCGAATGGACAGCTGTTGGATGTAATGTCGGAAGCTGTGACGGTGACATCGATGGCCTTGAAGTGGGCAGATGTGTTGGTCCATCTGTTGGATCCGACGATGGCGCACTCGAATGGATAGCTGTTGGATGTAATGTCGGAAGCTGTGTCGGTGACATCGATGGCCTTGAAGTGGGCAGATGTGTTGGTCCACCTGTTGGATCCGACGATGGCGCACTGGAATGGACAGCTGTTGGATGCAATGTCGGAAGCTGTGACGGTGACATCGATGGCCTTGAAGTGGGCAGATGTGTTGGTCCATCTGTTGGATCCGACGATGGCGAACTTGACTGGACGGAAGTAGGGTCTGGTGTCGGAAGCTGTGACGGTGACATCGAAGGTCTGGAAGTGGGCAGATCTGTAAAAGCGAAATCTGGATTAAAAGATAGCGCACTCGAATAGACAGAAGTAGGATGTGGGGTGGGGGCGTCAGCTGGCGCATCTGGGGATTGTCTTGTTGGCATTGTGGTTGGTGCGCCGTTGTTGTCGTCATCATTGAAGTCATCATCCAATAGTGCTCCAAACGAAACGGGAAGGGAGCTAGTCTGAGGGGTGGGTTGAGAGGCATCCCAAACTGTCATGCTTGCCATCTGATCTCCTATCTTGTTTCTCCAAAAATCAGAATCTTCCAGAAGTCCTTCGCTATCAAATAATTGATCAAAGCCTATTGCGTTGAGCTTTAGAGGCAGCACTGCGCATAATAGCAGCATGAATCTCAAAGAAAACATTGTAGAGGCAAAATTTAGAGGATCTGAAGAATATCTCACCAATTGATTAGAGCACTTCGTCCCAGCGTATTGTTTTTGGGGGGAGAGATTGAATTCGATTAGACTGGTGCTTTCCATCGTTTTTCGGTTGATGCCAACACATCCGTTGTTGGAAATCGTTATTACCGCAGGGTCGGCCGGCGTATTGAATAACCGGATTATTCGGACATGAAGACAATTTATTTTACAAAATAAAAACGAAAAACAACTTTTCAACCAAAAACAACAACATCGCATGAAAACATCCTTTTGAAAATGACGAGAATTCCGAGTCTCCGGATTGGACTGTTAGCAGCTGCGATCCTCTCTTCGACAACATGTCACTCAAGCCTACTTGAAAATGACTCAAGACTTGAAAGTATTGCAAGCTCCGTTACAGAAACCTCTCGCTTATTGAGCAAACAAGCATTGATTGCTTACGGCCGACCCCCAAACACTGGAGGTTCTTCTAATGTAGATGATTCTGAGGAAGAGAATGCGGGAAATGTAGGAGATATGGACGATACTAATGATATGAGCGAACAGGAATCTAATGTTGATTTTGATCGACCCTCAAACACAGGCTCGAGTTTTGATTTTGACGAAGGCAAGGAGAAAGATCAAAAGGGAGGCATGGCCGACATGATGCTAGTGCCGGTACTAGGTCCGGAATGCGACGTTGCTGTAAGTTAGATTGTCTATGGCTACTTTCATTTCGTACGGCAATCGTTTCTGATAACATGACAGGTCAATATTGGTTGTATTGGTTCGAACGACATTCAATGCGATCAACTTCAAGTACCATCAACGCAGTGCTCAATAGGACGAGACGTCATGAACCTAGGGATTAAATTAATTAGCTCTGACTGTCACCAGAGTCGAACAACTCAGAATGAACATTTTGCGTGTGAAAGAACAGATATTCCAATGCCAGATGACGGGGCTGTGGTTGAGGTCATCTGCTACGATATGTGGGGATGGGAGCAAATCATCCAAGCTTTTGCTTTTGTAGGGGAAACAGAAATCAATCTTCAAAAAGGCGACGGGGACCTGCCTGATACAGTAATGTGTATTCTGAGAGATAACGAGGGGAATGAAATTCAAAGAGTGAAATTCGATACCAGCGGCACAGTTGACTTATTTCTGAAGAATGCGTTTGGAATGATTCAACTTGAATCCTGTACAGTACGGGATCGTCCCACACAGTCATGCAAAATGCCAGTGCAGTACAGCTATACCGTTTCAAACCAAGGGCTAGCTCCACTATCCTTGATGAAAGTTGAGAGGAGTCGAAACTCCAACGTTGTTGATCTCACACCTCTTGCACCAGTAATAGAATTGCGCGCTGGAGAGGGTACTCCTGGTGAGGCTACCTCGGTGGTTGAAGATGACATATTGGATCTCTGTATTCCTGAGGTTTATGAGACAACCGTAACAGCATCGAGTGATTCCTTACAACGAGGAACGCCTTGTTTCGATTTTGCAGCTTTAGCGTTTCAATTTCCCGGTATTGGGCACATGGACATTGCCATCAATTGTCTATCTGCAGATGGACTGAACTGCACGAACCTTGGTCAAAAAGCAGAGAATTGTTGGACTCCCATTACTTACACTTTCGATGTGAAGAACGTTGGGACGACAGACCTGATTATCACCTATGTGGAAGTGCTCCAGAAGGGAAACGAGCTCGATATGGCAAGCTTCTTTCTGGATAACAAAATCCTACCAACTGAGAAGACAAGAGTTAATTATGTGGACAACGTCAACTTGTGTGTTGAAGGGGATTATGAAACGACAGTAACTGTCAAAGCCGAGTCTGTCGTAAATGGCACGACAGAGGTTTGGGAAAACTATGAGAGTTATCCCTTTGAAATCAAGTTTACACCATTCCCAACGGGAGCACCAACCACTGCACACCCAAGTCGGCTACCTTCAGCGACTCCAACTAATAATCCGACGCCCATACCATCGGCAATTCCATCTGTGCAACCAGCCACCAATGCACCGACTCAACCCCCGACACCAATATTTTCTTCAACTCCTACTATGGCTCCAAGTCAAAATCCAACTTTGACGTCGAGTGAGAATCCAACCTTAATATCGAGTGGAAATCCAACTTTGAAGTCGAGTGAAACTCCCACTTCAGCGTCTAGTCAAAATCCAACTTTGTCGTTGAGTCAAAATCCGACGTTGATGTCGAGTGAAACTCCCACTTCAGCGTCTAGTCAAAGACCAACTTTGTCGTCGAGTCAAAATCCGACATCAGTGTTGAGTGGAAGTCCCACTTCAGCTTCTAGTCAAAGTCCAACTTTGTCGTCGAGTCAAAATCCAACGTCAGTGTCGAGTGGAAGTCCCACTTCAGCGTCTAGTCACAATCCGACTTTGTCGTCGAGTCAAAATCCGACGTCAGTGTTGAGTGGAAGTCCCACTTCAGCTTCTAGTCAAAGTCCAACTTTGTCGTCGAGTCAAAATCCAACGTCAGTATCGAGTGGCAGTCCCACTTCAGCGTCTAGTCAGAATCCGACTTTGTCGTCGAGTCAAAATCCGACGTTGATGTCGAGTGATGGCTCGACAAACCTTGTCACATCGGTACCAACCCCTCTTCCGACGACTTCAATGTCAAGTGGAGACTCTGTTTCGATGGAAAATTGGACACCAAGTGCCAGACCTTCACAGTCGGCGTCGATTACCCCAAGTTTGGAGGACAGCACGAACCCATCGCAAGAATTGTCTTCAAGTCCAACCGTCTCACAAAGCAATAGGCCTACTGTCACTTCTAGCACACGTCCAACCGACGTAGTATCGGCACTTCCTTCAACTGTTATAAGTGCCTCACCAACTTCCAACCCGACTTCAACGAGAAACAATATCGCACCGCTTATCCCAAGTGATGACCCAACAAGTCTACCGACCAAAAACCCGTCGAAGCAACCCACGGAGTTTCCCACCTCAAGCCCGACGCATGCGCCAAGCGCAATCCCATCATTCGTGCCAACGATATCCCCATCTGCAATCCCTTCAGATTCACCAACTCAGAATCCAACAGAGCAATGCACACTGCGGTTCGACTTAGCTTGCAGCGCACCCGTAGAACTTTCGCCAGATGGTTCGTGTACTTTCATCTACAACCAGCCTACTGCTTGTCAGGAGCAACCATCAAGGTTGAAGATGCGGTACAATGGTGGTGACTGCACACATAGTTCAAATCTGCAGGGGAATACATTCTTTAGTTGTGAGGATTTTGGACCCAGCAATGATGGTCCTTCAAATCAAGATGGGTCAATTGCATTCATTAGAGTCGTTGATTATGATGACAAGACTGCAATTAGATTTGACGGCTTTGTCCGAGTCGGCGAAGATGTCGTCATCAATGGGATGGGATCGAACTTGAACGTCACTGTGTATGACCCAAAATCTCTTTCAACTTCGGCGGAAATCATGAAACCAGAAAACATTCTTCAGACACTTGTTTTTCACACGACATGTCCTGTACCAATAAGTAATCTGTTTCTGAAGGATAGATTTGGTTCTATCCAAATTGTTGAATTCGAAAACGCACTTCAGGGTGTAGTATCCTGCTTTCAAGAACTGACACTCAATGTTGAGATCAGTAGTGACTTTGAAGTCGATCTTTTGTCAACAAATATTGTGAGCAATATTGGCAACGATTTCTTTGGCATCTACAACCTTACGGACGAAGCCTCCGGAGTTAGAATCAACAAATCACAGTCTTTTCGTGCTACACAGAAGGTTACGATCGACCTTGTTCGGAGAAAAGCCTATTCGGCACAGGGTGTTGTAGTTGGCAAGAGGACTCTAGGCAATGGGTGCTACGGTTCTGGTATGACTACATTTACGGCAGGGGCGCCGCTGCCCCCTTCAATTCCAACTCTACCACCAACAGTTGTCCCATCAGCGTCTGCTGCCCCCTCTACAGACCCGCTGTTCACGAGGTGTGACTTGGAAGCTACCATAAGTTGTACAAGAAGTGATGGCGGATCATGTGGCGCATTGAAAGCCCCAGTCGAGACAACTTGTATTGGAGAAAGCGCCAAAGAGCTTTCATTTACCTACATTCCATCATCAAACTGCAACGAAACAAAGTCGCAAGATCGATTTATATGCAATGATGCAAACCTTGCTTTGAAACGCCCATTCACTAGTTTCGTTCGAATATTTCGAGGAACTGATATATTTTACGAAGGCGCTGTATCGGCTGGACAACTGTTTCGGGTACCATTGCCTATGAACACCAAGGAAATTGAAGCTGCACTATTCACAGTATCGTCTGCTGAATCTGCTGGAACGCTCTTGGAGCAAATGCAGCTGAGCGTTGCGTGCAGAGAGAAGGACGGCTTAACTCTTCTACAGAAGTATGGCCATTTGCAACTAAATGGGTTTGTGAACGAAGATATGGGGAGTCAACAGATATTTGCAAATCTTGACTTGACATACACAGTTCAAAACAAAGGAATCTTCGACGCGCTTTTGACAACAGCAACAACCGACAGCCCATTCACTGGGATCGGTGATGAAGTCCTTCCTACCAATGCTCCAAGACGGCTAATAGCGTCAGACGACACCGTATCGTTCACTGAAACTGCTACTGTCAATCTTGTTGCAGCGGCTGGACAAGACTTTGATTTCTTTTTTGAAATTGCCGGTGTGAGTACATTCAATAACTTCGTCTGTTCCGATATTGGTGAACTTTCCCTTCAAATTTTATAGAGTCGAAATGTGTAGTCCTCCTTTCTGTAACATATCAATAAGTTGATACTGCACTCTTTTTTCAACCATGTCCTGTGTGCCTCTAGTAGTTGGTACAGTACTGTTTTAGTCGTTCCATATTAGTCGTATGATTCGACTAATTGGAAGGATTATTCTCCCTAAAAAGGCCACAACCAACATAATCAACACTCCATTTGTGTCAAGTTGTAATTGATATGCCCAGGAAAGAGAATATGTCCCTAGGGTGCAAAAGCTCTACACCTATTGCGTTCTTTCTTGTCAATTTTTCATCTGGAAACCAATAAACTATCAATTTGAAAGTCTTGAACCATCATCGTGATGACTCAACGCCATCCACTTTCATTGTGCATACCACCAGTACTTATCTATACATTATATCTAATTTGGCGGAGTCGACGAAGCACAAGAGCTACGCTAGATACAATTGACAGAGGTGAAATGAGCGGACCGCTGGTACGTGCTACTTCAACTTCACACTCGGTATTCTCTACACTCATTCTTTCACATCATCCACAAACTAGACAAACATGAGTGATGGTAAATTTCAACTTGAACTTGTGAATCGAGCCATTGACCGAGGTGCCATCATACTTGCAACCGTGTCCTCTGGATTAGTACCATTCGATGCTCAAGTTGGCGGGATATCTTCTCACAAGAAGATATTCCTTCGTCTCGAGCCTTCCTACGTTCTGAAGCCTCTCCGACTCGACCACCGAAAAGTACGAGAGATTGGGTTTTATGACCTGGTGAACGACTTGGCTGATCGCTCAAACCAAAAATTGAGCAATCAGAAAGATCTGTTCTCTTCACTTTCGACCTTCGTACCTAAATACTATGGCGTAGCAAAGGTGAAGAGGGACCAACTAGACACATCCGCAGTTACAGGTGAAGAGGATGCTGAATACATAATTTTGGAAGATCTGACGAGAAATTATTCAAAGCCTTGCATTATTGACGTGAAGATGGGAACTCAATCCTTCGAGCCTGATGCAAGCGATGAAAAGAAGCTGAAGGAGGCTGGAAAGTATCCACAACAGACTGACTTTGGGTTGCGTATAGTTGGCATGAGAGTGTACAATCCATCCAACGCGAACGCTAACGACGATGGCTACGTACATTATTCCAAACACTTTGGCAGATCTCTGAATACTAGATGCAAGCTAAAGGAGGCATTCCGAGCTTTCATCGGTACGCGAGGCAACGGGGAATCCATCTCAAATGTACTTGAGCAGCTGGAGGAAATCAAGGCTTGGTTCTTGAAAAACAATTATTTTGGCTTCTATTCCAGCTCTATAATGATCGTTTACGAAGGAGACGAGGACAAGGAATCGAGTCCTCCGATTGTGAAGATGATCGACTTTGCTAGAGTCCGAAGGCAGAGAGGTGGAGACGAAGGCTACTTGTTGGGGCTAAATACACTCGCGACATTGCTGCATGAGATCGTATGTGAATCACAAAACTGAATTGTTTCACCAAAAGCGGTAAGGGACGGCGGAGATATACTCGCAGCAGTGTTAATACCTTCTCTTTCAAAGGCAATGTCTCACTGTAGCAGGTGCTCGTTCCCTGCCCTTGGAAGAAGAAAGTAAACAAAAACAGGCTGTTGATCGACGTCTGATTTGAAGCGAAAGAGTATCTAGAAAACAGGCAACGCAACATAGAGAAAATTCGAATACATGGTTATAGGCTGATTCGATGTTTGCATTCTACTTTTCTTCCTTCTTGACAGGCTCTTTTGTGTCTGTGGCTGCAGTTTCGTCTGGTGGGGTCCACTCGAATGGCTCTGGGGGAGCACACTCTCCCTCGGGCTCCAATGATGGTGCCTTGACGGCACCGAGATCCTCAGCTTCCCCTGGAGTGCTATCGGTCAAAATGATGACTCCCAATGGCTTCTCTTCGGGTCTGATAGGTCGATATCTTTGTCCCAAGTCAAAAACACAAACCTGTGATTGTGCAATTGTGATTCGTGATGGGTTTCCAACACGGAAAGTTGTAGGTTCTGGTTCGCGCTTCTTTTTTGGCTTCTTCTCTTCCTCTTCCTTGTCGACCTCCATCTTTTCTCCCTTCTCATCACCTACAGCATCTTTACTCTCAGTCTTCTCTTCCTCCTTGTCAACATCCATTGCGGCGCCACCTTCTCCCCCTTTGGCGCGCTTTCGGGCTTGTCTTGCTTTCTCCTTAGCTGTGGTAGACAAAGCAACTGTTTCGACGCGCTTCTTTTTCTCTTCCTTCTTTTCTTCCAATTTCTTGGGGTACGCAAAAATACTAGGCTTAGAGTTGCAAACAATTTCAAACTTCTTGGGATATTTGAAGTCCTACAAATTTGAAAACGATATATACAGATACGAGATGTGAGTCTTCGTGTATTGGGGCCAGTAAAGATCGATTGTGCTGACGTACCCTGTTCAATCCAATAGTATAGGTTGGGGTGAGTGCAAGACTGAACATGTGCATCATGGGATACCAGTGCCAGTGTTGCAACCACAATACCAAACCAACGGCACTGTTCATCTTAGTGAAACCATTTCTGGATCCTAGTCCAAGCGAGCAGTTTCTTCCTCCGCAATCAATGATTCCGGTAGAAAGAATGGCACCCATCTTGGTCAATGTATTTTGGTGCTTTTCACGGACAATGGAAGCGATCTTCTCGCGGAAGGAGCGGATCTTTCTTCCGTTGCTCGAGTCGCTCTGTTGCATGTAAATCATGGCAGTACCCATCAAAGCACCTTGACGAACGTAGTCAGTCATATCATCGAGCATTGGTTCGAGCATTGCTACACTCTCTGAGTCTCCAGTGCCAGCCATTGCAATACCGACGGCGATACAACTGGCATATCGCACGTGTGGGTTGAACGATTCCATCAATAGCTTGACCAATTGTGGAACTCGTTCGGGGGTCTTGAAGAGAACAAAAGCAAGACCAATTACAGCCGCCATACGGACATCATCTGAAACATCACTGACAGCAGTGTGCAAGAGTATACGAATGGCCTTGTTGGATCCGGTTCCACAGTAAGCAAGGGCGAGAGCATACTGGGCTCCGTACCGCAAGATTGGATCACGATCGCTTCGCATATCCTCAATCAAAGCATCGGCATTTTCTTCTTGACCGTATTGCATCAATGCCAGTCCCATGGAAATACCCCGAATGATTTTTTCGTGTTGAGTTTCACGAGCATAGTTCTTGAGCTCAGTAACCAATTCCATAATTTCTTCTTTGTCATTAGCAGGAAGGGAATTGTGCACATTTCCAGCTCCACTGCCCACCAGCACCATACCAATGGCTATACCAGCAGCTTCTCCAGATACAGCAGAATCCGTGTCTAGCAAATCCTTTAGTTCATTGACAGCAGCCAATTCGTTGGATCCCATGGAAGTGAGCCCGACTCCCAAAGCAGCTCCGTGGCTAATCACTTCGTTGGTATGGGAGGCCCGCAAATGGGTTCTCAAGAATTCGGCAGTTTCCTTTCGCTTCTCAGCAGAAGATCCAGAATGGGATCCATGGATAAGGCCCAAGGCATACAAGGATCCTCCCTCGGCGTAACCGCCATTGGGAGAAACATTGGAGCCACCTTCATCGGAGGGGCTTGACGGGAGGTATGGTTCTAGCAGGTGCATTGCCTCGGTAATGTGGCCAGCATGGATGACACCAAGGGACGCAGTCGCTGAGAACTTGGCCCTGTAGTAGATCGAAAGAGTTGCACAGTGATTGCGAGTTTCAGAAAGGTGAAACATGAAACATTCATTCCAGTCAACATGGGGCAGGGGCTAGTACTTACCAATTGGAAGCCTTTTTCATCCAGTCCAAATGATCTCTCAAAAAGGTGTCATTGGTTGTTCCAGCATACAAATAGCTGTGTGTGAGAACAGCCGAATTGTGCAAAATGGATGATCTGCCTCCGCTGCCTCGTTCCTCGAGAGATTTCTTTAGGGTCTCCATGATCAAGCTGTCCGCCTTGGACTGCTTGTGAAGGAAACTCAACGCTAATTCGGACGAGAACCCACCTGTCAAGACACGGTCGACTTGGGCCCATCGCTTTTTTTGGGCATCCGACTTTGTCAAAGCAGCAGCCACTCGAGTAACAAAGGCTTGATCGCCACTGTCTGACAAATCAAAGCAAAGTTGGAATCCGAGCAATGAATCATCGTCGGATCCCTTAACTAGTTTAGAAAGCACCTCGGCAACCTTTTCTGGCTTTCCAAGAAGTTGGTAAACAAAGATCAAATCGACCGAAGCAGTTTTGCGAATATCGATTTGTTGTTCAAGACATTCGGCGATGACGCTCAGTGCCTCTTGTCTAAAGGCCTTAGAGGAAACAACATTGATGGAAGAATTGAGCGCGTACTTGAGCATTTCTACGCTGGGACCAGACGAAATTAGAATTTCTCTCAACTTGGAAGTTTCTTGGGCTTCCAAGGCAATTCCTAGTGCATGGTCATATTTTCCTTCTTTGCAACAAGTCTCCAACAATCGGTACACCATAGCTTGTAGTTGTTCCATCGATATTCCAATATCTTCTTCTTTCGCATCCTTCTCGTCGTCAATAACCTTTAGCCGTTCTACCACATAGGCGTCTATTGCTGCCCGGACCAGTGATTGAACATATGGGGAAGTGTGTTGCAAATCAAAATGGGCTTCTCCGGCTTCCAACGCCAATCGCAGTGCCTGAGAAGGTTCTTCCAAATGAAAAAAGACCCGAGAAGCTACAGCTGCAGCCATTTGTCGCATGTCTTGCGGCAAATCCAAGTCTTCGGCAATGGTTTCCAAATCAGGAAGGGATTCAGCCACTTCATGCCAAAGGGTATCCACACATTCCAATAACTTTTTCAATGCATGTGATCGGAGTGTGTTATCGGATTCTTGCAACAAGGCAACGTATCCAGAGGCAGTAGCTACGGCGGCTGGTGGTGAGGCCGACATGGACATTACGGATGTCATGGGTTTTCCTTTTTGTCTTTTGAAAGGAAATGATGTTGCTGTGACTTGTTGTTTTGGTTTTTGATCATCCAGTCGACTTCGTTGATCTCTTTTTTCGGCATGGTTCTTTCTTTGTCTATCAAATTTTAGTCGAAACAGTCGACGGTGAGAATAGGTCGAGGCGGTCAATTTTGGTGCCGAAATAGAATACCGATAGAAGGACGGTCGTTATGACGGATCTACCGGTAGTTCCGGTGGAAAATGGCGAAGAAGGAAAATCTTCCGCCAGGACAAGGAAACTGAATTTCCAATAGGAAACATCATATTTTTGGTACAACATTAGACTGCGCTTTCTTCATTAAAATGTTTGCTGCCGCACGTTTGACAGCAACCACAGCTCGTCGTTCCGCACCCAACGCGGTCCGAGCCTTTTCTAACACTTCTTTCTTGGCAGACCAATACGATGTCGTTGTAGTCGGTAAGATTCTGCACCCTTGGTTTCGATTTGCATCGATGACTGCATTGAATCATTTGCGCTAACACACCAATTCTTTGAATATTTTTCTTTCTTACGTTTTGTCAATTCCCCCATGGACTACTTCAGGCGGCGGACCAGGTGGTTACGTCGCTGCTATCAAGGCCGGACAATTGGGCTTGAAGACTGCCTGCGTGGAAATGAGAGGATCCCTCGGAGGAACCTGTCTTAATGTTGGTTGCATCCCTTCCAAGGCTCTTTTGCAGAGCAGTCATCACTACCATGATGCGAAGAATCACTTTGCTGAGCACGGAATTGTGATTAATGGAGATGTTACCATGGACATTGATAAGATGCTCGACGCCAAGGCCAAGACTGTGACTGGATTGACGGGGGGTATTGAATACTTGTTGAAGAAATATGGCGTGGATTATTTCAAGGGAAAGGGAAAGATTTCAGGACCCAATTCAGTCGGTGTTGAGCTCAATGATGGAGGCAGCGAATCTTTGGATACCAAGAACGTTTTGATTGCGACTGGATCCGAAGTTACCCCTCTTCCTCCTGTTCCTGTCGATAACGCAGGTGGAAAGATCGTTGACAGTACTGGCGCTCTAGACATCGACAAGGTTCCCGCAAAGATGGCTGTTATTGGAGGTGGTGTAATTGGATTGGAAATGGGTTCGGTGTGGTCACGATTGGGTGCCGAGGTTACTGTCATTGAATTCTTGGATAAAATTTGCCCCAGTATGGATACTGAACTAACAAAGAAGTTCCAAACTACTTTGAAGAAGCAAGGATTTAAGTTCAAGATGAAGACCAAGGTTACCGAGTCTGCAGCAACTGACTCTGGTGTAGTTCTTACTATGGAGCCATCCAAAGGTGGAGATTCCACACAAGAAACTTATGATGTCGTCTTGGTGGCCACTGGTCGCAGACCTTACACCGAGGGACTTGGATTGGAAGAGTTGGGTATTCCAACTGATAAATTGGGACGCATTGAGGTTGATGAACACTTCAAAACTAAGGTTCCATCCATCTACGCCATTGGTGACTGCATTGATGGACCCATGTTGGCACACAAGGCAGAAGAAGAGGGAATTGCTGCTATTGAGACCATTGCTGGATTTGCTGGCCATGTTAACTACAATGCCATTCCAGGTGAGTCACTGATTTTTGGATTTTGATTGATTTCTTTGGAAACCCGTGTCGTTTGGTTTGTTCACATTTTCCCTTGCTTTTCGATTCACACTAGGCGTCATTTACACTTACCCTGAAGTTGCTTCGGTTGGAAAGACCGAGGAAGAACTCAAGGAAGCTGGAATTGCCTACAACACGGGAAACTTCCCATTCTCGGCCAACTCTCGCGCCCGAGCAAATGGAAGCACGGACGGTTTCGTCAAGGTTTTGGCCGATGCAGAGACGGACAAGATTCTTGGATGCCATATTATTGGTCCCAACGCTGGAGAGATGATTGCCGAAGCAGTTATTGCTATTGAGTATGGAGCTAGTTCGGAAGATTTGGCCAGAACTTGCCACGCTCACCCAACCTTGAGCGAAGCTTTCAAGGAAGCATGCATGGACACCTACGACAAGCCAGTGCACATGTAATTTCACAGCTTTGGTGAAACCAATTTAAAACGATCATAGATTCATACTGCCTTTCTCGCGTGGCAAATCTACAGTAGAGTACATACTAAATATGGTCCAGCAGCACAATTTACAGCAAAGGGCAACCTCAGAGTCATCTAGTCGATTTTTTGAATGAATCACGAGTGCGTAGAAAATAGTACACTGCATACGACGTACACGTGTACGATCCGATTCGAAAATCATGCATGCGCGCTCGCCGCGTCTATTGAGGGATGGACAATGATGATCCTCCCGATTCAGGTTCATTCGTTCTTTTGTCAATTTTCAAAAATAGGCGGCATTCATTGATTGATATCTATAAAAAGAGATGGCTCCCAATTCAGCAACCAAACAAAGAGATTATGATTACCTATTCAAGCTTGTCTTGATCGGAGATAGTGGAGTTGGAAAATCCTGTCTGCTACTGCGATTTGCTGTACGTTCATCCTTTTTTTCTTTTTCTCGCAATGCCACCAACAATGACGAGCATTGGAACGAGCATTGGAAGCATTTGAAGAGCACTAACATTGTCATCTTTGCGTTTTTTGTTCAATCTCCAGGATGATGCATTTACTGAATCTTATATTTCCACAATTGGCGTCGACTTTCGATTCCGTACTGTCAAGATTGAAAACAAGACGGTCAAGCTACAAATCTGGGATACGGCAGGACAAGAACGATTCCGCACCATCACTTCCGCCTACTATCGAGGTGCCGATGGAATCATTATGGTTTTTGATGTGACGAGCATGGAGTCCTTTGACCACGTAAATGATTGGCTGAAGGAGGTCAACCGGTATGCAGCAGAGGGAACGGTGAAACTGTTGGTTGGAAATAAGAGTGACAGAACAGCTGACCGAGCGGTGACTGAGGAACAAGCAAAAGAATTCGCAGATGAACTTGGTATTCCATTCATAGAGACAAGTGCTAAGTCTTCGAAGAATGTAGAAGAGGCATTCTTGACAATGGCTGGGGAACTCATTCGACAACGTGATGCTCGAGGAGATACTGGCAATACAAATACAGGCATTGACTTGAATGGCGACGCTAAAAAGAGTGGACCTCTAGCAAACTGCTGTTAGAAGCATTACACCCCAAATTGAAAGATAGATTACACATTTCTCTGTACTGTGTATTCATCACTGAATAAATGAATGAATCGATCAATCGAAATCAGTCCGAAATCCCACCAAACGATCTCATTTTCGATACTTGTGACTGATGAGTATGAGGACTCAACGCTGAAGTTTCATTGGGGGAATTCATTTAGTACTAGTCGGCATACTGTATTCGTTTAGATTAGAAGATGTATAGAGTACGATACGAGGTATCGTGCTACCGGTTTTGCTATTAATACCAATATACTACTGTACCACTGTACCTACAGCTTTCTATGAACGAATGAATGAAGAATGACAGTCCTCACATAGGTAAAAGAGGGCGGGGATGCGCGTCACTATTTCCTCCAAATGGTATTTTGAAGTGAACGGTGAATTCGTACTCGCCCCCAAATGGAGCATGAGATTTTGCTTGGTGCGAGCCGATGATCGTCACGTAACTTGGAGAGAGAAAGGTGCTGGTCATTTGCCAATTTGGAGAGGTTTGACTTCTATCTATCCAATTTGCATTGCTTCAGACTGTGTAATATTAGTATTTGAAGACGGTGTTGAGAAAAAGCCAGATCCAAAAAGAAAAAATTGGCTGAAAAAAATGACTGACCTGAATGATATTCCGACAGCTATGTCTACATCGGCTTTGGAAACCAAGCTGAAAGGGTTGAAGGGAAAGGCGAAAGAACACAGTCAGATTTTGACAGCCAAGTTAGCGACGTCGCAATCGGGCCAAAATTTACTGCATATCGGCACAAGCTTGTCATCATTGCCTCCCGATCTTCACACTTTGTTGACCCAATTACATCCTGTCCTATCCTCGGCCGAGACAACCGAAAAGCAATACCTACAACACTTGGAGAAATTTGTCAATTGTGGAATGGAGATTCGAAAGGAAGAACGACGTGTGCACAATGCCAAGGAATGTGCTAGTCTGTATCAAGATCTAGTGGCTGCTGAAAGAGTTGTGAAGAAGGATGCAGCAGATCGACGAGACGAGGGATTTTCAAGAAGCGACACTGTAGCAGGTCTGTCCATCTTTGCCACATTTATATTTTGCATTCATAATATCAGCTGTTTTCCTCACCCTTCATTTCTTCACAGAAAAAGTAGACAGAGTTTCATCGCTGGAAAGGTGTGCACACACCACTCTTTGCCTCATTCAGGACCTGCAATCGAGCACGGACACGATTTCGGCCATGACAGCTAGCAAAGTCACACAGACCGACTCAAAGAACGCGTTGCCATCCATGAGGCTGGCCCTAGGAGAGGATTCGGAGCGGGCTCAATTCATCATGAAGCTTTCCCCTCGAATTCGACGATTGGAATCTGACACGATCATTTCCCTTTCCTACCGCCTAGAAGAAACCCTCAAGAGTTTGCAACATCGTAGAGAAGGAAGACTTGCGTCTGAAGATGCTGAGAAAGTGCCTGAAGAAGAAGATCTGTTATTGCTCCTTGGCCACTGCATGAGAGGCCTGGCACTTCTGGGACGAGGGAAAGAGGTGGAGAGTATCTTTGCACGTGTTGCAATCATGCCGCTGATTCGATCGAAGGTATCCATGGGAAGCCTCGACGAGGGTGGCCCCCGAGGCGAATGTGCTGGTCTTGCTCCACTCTTGAATGATATGATTACCACTATTGCTCAAGCATTTGGCCCAGCCTTACAACTGGCAGATGTTATGTTCGATGTAGGTTCCAAGATGGAAGTTGATCTTGTCACTGCTGGAGTCTGGGCACCAATTGCCACTGCACTAATGGCTGATGCGGGAATCAAGATGGCTATCTTTTCGCCTGGAATTGCTAGCATTTTGCAAGCAAACTACATGGCATTGGATACCTTTCTTTCGGAGCTCGCACAACGGCTCTTGCAACAATCTGGCGAGACTGAAATACCTGCTTCGGGATCCATGGAAAATCTATACTACCATGCAATAACTTCACCTGAAACAATCCAAAGAGCACAGAATCGCATTTATTCACACCCCAAGACTGCCGAGTTTGCCAAGAAGTGGAATCTTCCGATCTACTACCAGTTGAGATTTGGAGAATGCTGTAATCGTATCAACCGAGCGATTGAACAGACAAAGGATGGTGGATGGACCACTGAGGTGTTCACTGGAGCACCTGAAGATGCGAATACCATGAAGAACGAAGTCGGATTTGAATTGTCGTTCTTCTTGGAGCTTTATGAAGTTCTATTGTCACTATGGAAATCAGAAGTGTTCTTGCGACCTCTCACGAACCGATTTTTGCGTGGTGCTGTGCAATTGGTTGGACGTAATATTGCCTTTATCGAAGACGGCCTTACCGGGAAGATAAAGTTTGGTGTTGAGAAGGAGCCGGAGCCAAAAGAGAATGGAGGTCAAGAAGGGAGCAACGGTATGATGGCACCCCCGAAACCCGCTCCATACTGCTGGGCGGAAAGTGTTAATGATGTCGCTGCAGTAGCATGGGAATTGGCAATCCTGGAGACAACTCTCGGGTATGACTACGTGTCTGTTGTCTCACAGACTCTTGCAAGCGGTGATGCAACTTCTGCCGAGAAGGCTGAGCTTCGAACGCTTGTCTTGGAAGTGTTGAAGGATGCATCTAGGCAGATTCGCCCTCTTGTGGAGAAGATGTGGAATAAAGTGATTGTGGAACTTATTACCGAAAAATGCTCGGGCCCACTTGCGGCAGTCAAGGGAGTTGCTGCCACTTATAGAATGACCAACCGACCCCCACCAACTCAGGCTTCTCCTTTTGTTAGTACTATCTTACGTCCATTCAAGGAGTTTTCCAATGAATTCTCTCAACGAAAACCAGACCACATTGGTGATGGATGGAAGCTTGAAATCATTTCAGTGGTGACGGATCGATACAGTGCTGCGGTCGAGGAGCTTTTGACAACGGTTGCTCGAACTGAAGTTACATTGCAAAACAGGAGAGTACGACGTGCTACTTCTGGAGGCATTAGTGATGGAGACAAGGTCAAATTGCAAGTCTATTTGGATTGCGAAGAGTTCTGCAAGCAAATTGAGAGTGTAGGAGTAGACCCGTCGTCGATAAGTGGGGTCGAAAAACTCAAGTCTCTGACTGCAGAGGCTGCTGCCAAGTCTGCAGAAAAGTCAGAGGCAGTTCTCTCAGCATAATCAAATTTATAATAGCCCTGAAATCTGCGGAAAGTGGAGTCTTCCGCATGTCTTCATGTCTAGTAGCCAATGGCACAACCGTCAGCTCGACCATCTGATCCAGCCCACAATACACCATTGGTTCGATCTCGCTTGATAATCTGTGCTCTGCCGAATGTAGCTCTTGCGTGTCCTACAACTTTGTCTTGCAACTTGTGCCCCATGGCCTTCAGCTTGACAATTTCCTTTTCATCCACGCCGCCTTCAATTTGCACCATACCATCCTTTGTACCATCTGCAATACAGAATCGTGACATGTCAATAGCGGCTTGAGGATCTAATCCACCGGCTACCATATCTATAGTTAACTGCAAATGTCCTTGTGGCTGCATGTTTCCTCCCATGTTGGAAATTGTCGAATGAAGCTCATTCGTGTCGGAATAGGTAATCATTCCAGGAATAATGGTGTGATATGGCCGTTTACGAGGGGCCACGACATTTGGATGGCCCTCTTCCAAGGTGAATCCAAAACCTCTATTTTGCAAAGTAAAGCCACATCCTTGTGGTACGATTCCTGTTCCGAAGCCCATATAGTTGGAATTGACAAAACTAATCGCGTTTCCCTCCTTATCCACCACTTGGAAGCTGACAGTACAACTAGAGGCAATTGGTGTTCCTGCAATGACGGCATTTTTGGGATCGAATAGCTTTTCCGCTCGCTCTTGAATGCGCTTGTCATCCAACAATTGATCCACGGTAACAGTCATGAAGCGTTCGTCAGCCACATGAGCTCGTCCGTCAGCAAATCCCAATCGCATCATTTCAATCATGGGGTGGTAGGCATCAGCAGTTCCAATTGTCTCGGGACTAAGCTTAACCTTTTCCAGGTCTTCCAAATGCGCTAATCCCTTCAAGGCAATCAAACCAGCAATTCCCTGCCCATTGGGTGGAACCTGCCACAACTCTATATCTCGGAATTTAGCACTGCATGGCTCGGGGAAGGAAGTCGTTTGGAATGCCAAATCTTCCATGGTCATATTTCCTCCATGTTTCTGTACTACCTCCACAATGGCCTTGCCCGTGGCTCCATTATAAAAGCCATCGGTAGCTCCTTTGGAACCCAACTCTCGCAACACCTTGGCATAATCAGGATTTTGAATGAGTTCTCCCGGTTTGGGACCATTTTCTCCGTCAATTGTCAAAGGTACCCGTTCTCCGTCAGGGATCCACTTTTTGATTTGAGCAATTCCAGCCCTCCAGTGATGCGACGTGACCGGTCCAACAGGGAATCCTTGTTCGGCTAGCTTGGCGGCTGGTTCTAACAATTGTGCCAGAGTGAACTTTCCTGATCCATGCTTTAGTAACAAGTCTTCGTATCCTCTCGCAGCTCCTGGCACAGTTACAGCCATGGCCGATAGTCGAAAAGCTTCGTCATTGATCCCACCTTTTCCATCTGGAAATGCTTTTTTCAAAACGTCCAAATTCAAGGCCGCTGGACTGAATCCACTTCCATTTGTGGCCGTTACTTTTTTGGTTTGACTGCTGTAGTACAGACAAAACATGTCTCCTCCCAATCCAGTCGAGCATGGTTCCGTTACACACAGAGTCGCGGCTACCGCAATGGAGGCATCGGCGGCATTTCCACCCTGTTTGAGAATATCGACTCCAATATTCGATGCTAGGGGTTGACTGGAAGCCACGCAACCATTTTTGCAAACTACGGGAGATCGTCGGGAAAGAAAGGGGATTTCATCCACTGTCGATGATTTGGTAGGTTCTATAGTTGAGTTTCGATTGGCAAACCAGTCAGCCATGATGATAATGATGATGATCTGCAATTGCAAGTGAACAACGAAGAAATGATGAAGTTGTCACGTGATCCCTGCAGATGACGTTGCAATCGACGTAGTCATACCGAGGCTAAGAAAGTACCATACTGTACCATGTGCCATTCCTGAAAGCACCGTAAGTACAAAACCCAGTACGCTGTCTGCTCCTCATCACATCCAAAAACATCGTGACAGGTTGAGCAATCATCTCAGACTTTGCCAACCAATTCAGGATACTTTGTGCCTGATATCGGTAGAGACTCGGTTATTGAGCTTACAACTTTCAGTATCGAAAAAGGAACTAATACGAGAAAGCTCCTATTAGCCTTTGATCTTACTTTCTTCCAAGCCAAGGTCTTTTTTACAAGGATTGTTTATTGGCATCCGCCGATTCAAACCAAAGACAACAAACAATGGATCATCGTCGTGGAGGACGCGGTGGTCGACACTATCGAGGTCGTCGCGGAGGACGGGGCGGAAGATTCCGTCATCAGCCGTACAACTCTAGAGGCCCTCCTCGTCGAGGAGGACGTGGACACAGCAGTAACCGTGTTGGCGGGGGGCCCAACCAATTGGATCCCGACACAATTTTGGTGCGACAAGTGGCTTCCTTTATCAGTCGAGCGGGAGAACTCAAGAATCTAAAGCCTTCAGTCAACGCAGAAATGCGCCCCGTCGAGTCTACCACAGCCAACAACATTAACGACTTGACGCCCGTTTTGTGTGCTCAAGATAAGGTGGAAATGCTCTGCAAGTTTCAGCCACCCGGAACACAGGCAGCCAAACCCATAGATCTAGCTGGAAAGTTGGGACACCTGGTAGTTAGTTGTGCGGCTGGATTGCCGTTACAGACTCCCTGTTATGCGGCCCTCACTCTATCAATCCACGAACAACTCAAGGGAGGCCCCTATCAAGGATTTGCGAAACGATGTGTCGATTATGCCATGCGTAATATTGGCCGCGACTTGGATGTCATTTTGTTGCTTGGAAAGGAAAAGACCCAAGCGGGTTGCCGTGCTAAGTTGCTGCTGAGATATTTGGCAATCTTGGGCAAAATAGGAGTGGTAAAGACTTTTGAAAGTGAACCATCTGTCGATCCCAACAAAATGACAGTCTTTGACTTGCTTTGTCTGATGGTAGATTTAGCCAAGGCTGCCGCGGAGCAACACAGGAATATGGCCGCGGCAAGTGTGTTGGTCTTTCTCGTCTTGAGTACTCTGCCATATATTGTCGGTTCGGTGCCGCCCGGTGCAATTTCCGAAAAGCTCCTGACGCCCATTGAATCCTTCTTGAAAGCCTACAAATCCACCTACTCACCAGGAGTAGGAATGACTGCCGTTTTGCTCAAAGAAGAACAGGCAGAAGAAGACGACGATGCGGATGAAGACGACGAGGAAGAGGAGGACGACGATGATGACGATGACACGACTGGGCAAGTGTGTGACAGTTTGCAGGACTTATTCCGTTCATGTAAAAATCTTGGGCAGGAGGGTCAATCAACTAGGTTCTGTCTGCCGATTGATGCACCTTGGAAGGGCCTTGTAAGATCCAATCCTGAAAACCCCGCCGAAACCCAACCGACTACATTTGTGGAGGAAGCCTACTACCTATCGTTACCCGAGTGCCACACAGTGTCTCATTTGATGCAAGGGGACTCACAATTCAAGCTAGAATGCTTTAATCTGGAAGGCATTGTCTTTGGAAGACTTCCTATTTTTGGATCCCCACCCGATCCAGAGGATGAAGAAGATATGGAAGACGAGGCAGCCAAGAGTGAACAATTCAAGGCTTACGAAAAGGGATTTGGATTGATGGATCGCTATTTCATTGCTGAAACCATCCGTGATTGCTTGATAAGTCATGAAAGCAGTGTTACAGATACTGGTCTGGAACACGGAGGGGCGAAAACGGCAGCCGAGGAGCTCATCAGCGTAGCACACGTGTTCTCTGGAGAGAACCCAGCGCTTGGATTTGAGTTTGCCATTCTGGAAAACATGTTGGCACTCATCACGCAAGCATCACAAGGCTCCTCGCTTCGCCAAACGTATTTGTCTCGGGTCTTGTTGGAATTGGTCCGCCTGGATCCTGGTCGATTCTCACCAACACTCGCCATTGGCCTTGGAACCCTGTTCAATGATTACATGCCAGCATTGGTTCCCTCGGCCAGAGAAAACCTTAGTCGGTGGTTTTGCTTTCACCTTGTCAATACCGATTACCAATGGCCAACAGCATACTGGAAAATATACGAGTCGTATGCTATCAAGACAACAGCATCGAGTCGTGGTACTTTTGTGCGAAGGGCTCTGAACCTAATGGCCGAGAATACATCGGATCCATCCGATATCATTTCGCGTTGCTTCTCCGAAACAAAGGGATTGACCAATGAGCTAGTAGGAAGAACGCGGCATGCTCTCGTGGCCTACCCAGCCGACAGTCCTATGGACGCACTAGAGAAGGAACTACGGAGCCGCATCTGGGACAAGGAAGAGGATCCGTCCTTGCTCGGCGAGTTCTTGATGGGGGATGAAGTCGCTTCAAAAGCTAATGGGGGCAGTTGGTTCCGTACTGAAGTTTTGATTAGAGTACTCATGGAGCCAGCCAAGCAGGCAAAGGAAGCCATGGTGGCTTCCTTGGAACCATCTGGTGACGACGAAGACAAAATGGACGAAGGTGAGGGAGCTGCCAAGGACTTCCAAGTGATCATTACGGAAGCTCTGATTCGCTACAAACAAATCCTGACCGGCGCCATTGGCAAGGATGCCGAAGCGAACGGAGGAGGCCATGAAGACGCTGTTATTTCCGGTGGAGCCGTGTTGTTGAACCAAGTGGAAAGCTTTGCTTCGTTTCACTCCGGCTTATTGGATGGTGTCGTCGCCTGCCTTGTTCGACAAAAGATTATTGGCTTTTTCTCTGTCTTGAAATGGGCACTTTCCGATACTGGCGATGCACCTGTTACTGACTTGGTGTCACGATGGTCGAGCTATGCTACATGTGCGGTAAGAGAAAGTGTTGTAGCCATGGACGAAGAAAGCAATCCCGCGGGTATGACTATTGACAGTGCAACTGCAGCTACAGATGAAGCATTCTGTGGCCAAGTGATGACTATGTTGTTCCAAGGATTACAGTATGCCATCAAGCGTGTGGTTGCTCTACTTTCTACATCCACAGAAAAGAAGCTCAATCCGCTACAAGTTGAACTACTACAAGGCATGAAGGACCTCACTAGCCGTAGCAAGTCAATTCTGATTACATACTTGCAACAAGGAAAGGGTACGCGCAAAGGTGTGCTGCCAGACGCTATTGAGGAAGCCTTTGTCAAACTGGACTTGAGCGGTCCTGCTCTCGCGCAATTGTGCGAGGGACAACAACCAGCAGTTGCACTATTACGAAAGAGTCTAGAATCATCGTAACCTAAAGCCTGATACCACGGCATCTCTTCATTCTTGCTCATCTTCGCTTTCTTGAATTTCGTCCTCGGAGTTGTATTGATTCTGTGTTTCCACCTTCCGAAGAAAGCTTGTGAACTTGTTTGGCACATCAATCGTTGCGTGGACTTCTACCGTGGACCCGTCCTCGGAAAGCTGAATAGTTCCATTTGCCCACTTTAGTTCATCCGGAAGCTCCTCCCATTCTGACTTTCCTTCCACGGTATTAAAGTATGGGTGCGCCAGACTGACTCTGTTGGAACAAAGAAACAGACCACGACCTCTCAGGCGAGTGGATAAACCACCTCCATCATAGTCGCGATCACCTACGATAGGAGTTTCTTTGACCCATGCCATGTGTCGCCGAAGTTGATGGAATCGACCTGTTTTTGGCATCATTTCGACCACAGTAAGCGTCTCATTCTTTGCTTTTTCGCAGCTTAGACTCTTGAGTGTTCTCCAAAACGTCACTGCGCTTTTCGCCTCAAGCTCATAATCGATCTGATTCCATTTTGTGTCACCTTTCGCTGCATCTTCAGTGTAATGTACTTCATCGTCATCCGCAGGAACACCGTTCAGGATTGCTGTGTATGTCTTATTGACCAGCCTGTCCTCAAATTGTCTGGACAAAAATATGAGAGCTGGTTTCGTTTTCCCAACGACCAGTAGACCACTTGTCGGTCTGTCGAGCCTGTGGGACAGTTCTGGTCTCCTCATGATTTCTTTTGTTCCTCTTTTGGGAGGTTTCAATACCAGTGGCAAAGCTCCTCTGATGGACATGGGACCAGAGCCTCCCTTCCCTTGTGTGTACACAATGATTCCAGCAGGTTTGTTCACAATGGCAAAATGATCATCCTCATATACAACTGGTAACTCATATTGTGGTTTTGTAGTCTCAAAGCCGGGATAGAACCCCCCATGCATTTGCCTTTGGATCCCAACCACATCTACGGGAAAAGATGAAGAATATGCAATGAGACGGAATAGGAAGGAAAGATAATATACCATTCCATCGAGAGAAAGCAACGTACCACCTGGATATACACGGTCAATTGCTTTACCTTGAAAGCATGTAGTTTGATTGAATTCCACTTCCCCAGTGGCTTCGTTCGATATAAGTGGTCCTCGATTGACAATTACTGCTCCTTTCCTACGCAAAGAAAACGTGAACTTCCATGGAATCGTGGACAAAACAAGCTACAATAACTTGCTTACCGGCAGGTTTTTCTCGATTTTGATACTGAAGGGTACGTTTCAGGGTCCAACAGCATCAGGGCCACCGGGACAGTCACGTTATCGCCAGAAAGGCCCACTCTCGCGATAAGATCTGCAGTGACTCTACCTTCCGAAACCGATTCAAGACATCCAAAACCACCAGGAGGAACAGAGAAGTATTTCATGACGTAATGATCTTCGGGGATTCCTTGTGGATATGTATGGCAGTTAGCATCCATTTCGGCTGCATCAAAAAATGTTTCATCAAGCATCCCCTCCTCTTCAAAATCTGTCTCACTCGATTGATCGCTCTCAATTTCAAAGGCGCGTCGAAAAGACTGGAGACTCCTCCTAGCATATGGTGAAAATTGGAAGGATTCCACGGCGATGACGGTGAGGATGTGAACGAAGAAGTATCTCATGGTTGATGGTCTGAAATCTCTGTGAGTGATTGAGCTGATACCAATAGAGTTTAGTGATATGATGTGATGTGATGGATGGACGTCAAACTTCAGTCACCCGAGTTCGAGTCACGTGTGGACTTGTTCGACTATTCAAATCTAGTATCATACAGTAGCTCTGTAGAACTTGCATCACAACGTACAGTATCGGCTGGCTTCCTGGCAAAGCTGAGGTGCCTACGTCACTACAGAGCGGGGGGATATATGCATGAAATTTCAAAGCGATAGATGATGGATCATTGATGTACGTTAGTTGCTAGTGAAGAGTAGTCATGGTTTTGAGTCAGTCACAAAACCATCAACGACACCTGCAAAGCCATGGGATAATGACGGCAGAAATGCATCTTGCACAATCATATTACCCTATATCGCCTGCTCATGAGTTGATACTTGCAATGGGTCCCGTGAAGGATGTGATCGACGTCCATGCTTCCACAATTGGGAAAGATGGGTGCATAGAAAGTGTTGAATCTCAAGACCAATTTTCTAAGATGATCAGTTCCTGTAGAGAAAGCTTTCCTCCATCCGACCGATACTTGAAGGCTCTCATATCGATGTTTGTAAATCGTATAGAGGAAAACGGAGGTGCCATCGAGTCTGATGACTTGGCAGAGATCATCTTTGAAACAATGAGATCCAAAGCGGTCGCGCCAAATCCAGGCGTATCCTCTTACCTCTCATTCTATCTTCCCATTGAGAAAAAGGGAGAGCCACAAGGCATAGCTCCCATAAGGATTCGACAGTTTCCTTTTCATAACGATGTTTCCCTGCGACTGTGGGAAGCAGGAGCATGTTTAGCGGAGTACTTTCTTGTTAACAAGCATCTATCGTCAGGCAAGAAGTTCATTGAACTTGGAGCCGGTGTTGGCTTGACTGGGATAGTTGTGGCAGGATGTTGTGGGGCAACAGCAGTCCATCTCACTGATTATACAGATGAGTGTTTGTTGAATATGGAGCACACGATAGCGACAAACGAGGAATGGCTAAAAAAAAGTGGCCACAGTTCTAGTTCAGTCACTCAGGTATGCTGTATAACTCTATTGTCAAGATAAGTTTTTGATTAGTACACTCTCACAAATCCTTCCTTCAGGGCTATTTGGAGTGGTCAAAGTTTCTACACCAGGGTGTGCCCTCCAGGAATGATGAGTCGTCATCAGAGCTTCATCAGGCAGATATTTTGCTGGCTGCTGACGTAATCTATGATAGATCGGTAATCGAGAGCCTTGTAGCTGTGACACACACGTTCCTGTTGGTAGATCCCGACGCGAAAGAAGCCATTTTTGCAATCACTAAAAGAAATCTAGAGACATTCGAGATTTTCTTGAAGCACTTGAACGAGTACGACATCTATTCTGAATGGATTGCCGATGGCGAGAAATGCACTAGTTTGCCACTTGTTTTCAAGTGCAAGTTTAACCAAGAGCGGTCTGACGTGCGGATTGTGAGCCTTAAAATGAAACGATAACCGGCGCCATGTAAAACGCGATAATGATTTCTCTAGTGCTTTAGTAAAAGTATCTCTATTGGTCTATTATATGGTCTTGTTGTGATATCGCTGTGTTTTCGTTGTATGATACTCCCACCAAGTCTGACGATATTCTCCACAAAAGCTCTTGATTCCTTCGTTCCAATGCAGCTTCATTCACGGGCGTTTGGAATAAGTCTTCTGGTATTTTGCCACCACGTTTCGATATTCCGAGAGGTGCCCTCCAATATGTACTGTTCTCAACTTGGGGATCATTCATAACCACTCTTTCTGACAGCACCATCCAGGCAAGCATACAACCGCCCCATTCTACAGTGTCATCCATTCCTACTGCCTGTTTTTTCATCGCAGTTGCCATCCAGTTTTTTTGGTGGCGAAAGAGACCCGACGATGGGATCAATCCAGGAGTGAAGGAAACAGCTCGAGCATTTTTCGATCGAAGCCGTCGATTCAACCCGAAACAAAAGGCAACATTACAGAGTTTCGTTGTGGCGTAGCTCTGTTTGTGATTGAACTCTTCACCATTAATCATTTCAAAACCCTTTGTCGCCTTTCCACCCAATTGGCACCCTCGAAATTCCTGAAAGTCACAGAAGGCATGGAGCCCACTAGATGTGACGACCACTCGACCACCCGGATTGATCAAATCGTATAGTAGATTTGCGATTAGAAACGGAGCCAAGTGATTGGTTTGGAACGTTACTTCGATACCATCTTCTGTGAACTCCGCTTTGGAGTCTTCGCCCAACAAAACCGCAGCATTCAAACAGAGCACATCGATCCCTCCGTGATTATGACTGTTGGTGCTGCTATTACCACCCCTAGCTTTCATGTGATATAAATGTTTCCGTAATGAAGAGCAAAATTCTCTAACACTTCTAAGCGAGGTATTGTCGCATGCCATAGGAATCACATTTTCATTGGATGCCCGAGAACCACAATAGTCGATCACAGTTTCCTTAACATCGTGAGCTTTTTTCAGATTTCTTGCAACTAAGAAAAGTTTGCTGTCAGGTGTTGTCGCTTTAAGCAGTTTGGAGGCTTGAAGCCCGACTCCACTGTCGAGTCGTGCACAACGCGAATACATGAATTGGTGAGGGAGATCCGATAGAAAAGAAAGTCAAAAGATTGGAATCGAATTGCAACGAACCTGCTACATCCTGTCAACACAATCGTCAGCGGTTTCTGCTCTCTCCGCGAGCTTTTCAATGCTTTTCGACACTCCTCTAAATCATTCATTAGCCGAAACAGTGGCAACAATGACCATTGTTTTGTGCCCCAGATGAGTCACCACCACTTCAGTTGTGGTAATGATGGAAAAGGGAACCAGCTCAGATTGCCATATTGATGTGACGTCACTGCTTCGCCTGAGCATCTTCTCCAGTCCCGCCTATCACTTCATTCGTGACTAATCCAGTCCGTAGAGTCAGTCAGGCAGTCAGTCAACTGAGAACGTCCAAAGATTCCTTCGATGCAATGTCAAGTCACTGCCAGCGTACAAATCATGGCTGTCAAAGGGCAAAGATTTTGAGTGTATCAAAGACAAACCATGTCCTCTAGGGTAGAGCGAGGACAAGGCTATGAACAAGGCCGAGGCAACGAAAGCAACTTCAGCAACGACAGATTGTCACAAAACGAAGCTGTTGCTTCACTGCGCATGTTTGTCTGGTGCTGCTTCTTTAGGATCGTCAACGTGCTCTACATTCAATCACAATTTGATCCTGACGAGTACTGGCAAAATTTGGAACCAGCTTACTGCGGAGCGTTTGGAAACTGTGATGGGCTTACCTGGGAATGGAAACGAAGGTCAAACATAACCAGTATTGATTCTGTGAGCGACTTCATACAGCAGGGATCGAAAGGGCCCATTCGGTCCTACGTATCGATACTTCCAACTTTTCTACTCTATCATGTAGCCAAAAAATTGCGCATTGACTCAACTTGGGTGATTTCCAGAGGGCCAGTGTTTCTCAACGCAATCCTCGTTGCTGCACCAACGGATTGGTCAGTATGGTACATGGCAAAGTTTATGACAAAACCTGAAGGGAAGGAACAGATGGACAATTCACGGCTGTGGTATCTCTACGCGTCGTTGACGTCTTGGTTCAATGCGTACGCGCTTATTCGCACCTACAGCAACTCGCTGGAGACAGCTATATTTTCCATGAGCCTCTGCTTGGTAAGCCCTGCACTCTTGGGAAACAAAAATAACGTTCCCTTGAAATGGTCCGCCCTTTCATTCTTTCTTGGTGGCATCTGCTGCTCTGTGCGATTCACCTGTCTTGTGTGTTACATTCCGATGGGTATTATTCTGGCCATGCAACAAAAGACACGGTCACTATTCGGTTTCATAATAAAAGCTTGCGCATTCCCTGGCTTGTTGGGTGTCATCGTTACACTTATTGTGGACCGCTCTTTTTATGGATTTTGGGCAATTCCTTTCCTGGGAAGCCTTGATTTCAATGTTGTACAGGGTATGAAGTGTCTAGATTCTAGGTGTATGCTGTCACGTTGCTGCGAGTCTCACGATGCATATTGACCGCCTTGCAGGAAACGGGGATCTTTATGGTACACACCCAATCTATTGGTATCTCATTGCTGGAATACCTGCTATGGTTGGTATGCTACTACCGATTCTGATTCTGGATCTTTTCTCTACATGGAACAAAGGAAAACGGAATCTTTGGATCATTTGCACCTGCTCAATTATTTTGCACTCCTGCTCAGCACACAAAGAGTTTCGCTTTCTACTGCCACTTCTGCCTTCCTTCTGCTTGATATCTGGTGATCGAATTTTTGGCTTGGCCAATACAAAGAGATGGGGCAGAACCATTCTTGAAATTGGTGCGCTAGCGAACTATGTTGCAATTGTCTTCCTCGGACTCTTTCACCAACGAGGGGTTGTGGCAGTCAACCAAAAGATTGTTGATCTAGTTGCCAGCAATCCAAAGCCTACCTATATCATCCATTACTTGATGGGATGTCATTCAACACCTCTGGTTAGTCATCTACATACACCACCTGTGAAGTACCAAACATGGCATTTGGACTGTTCACCAAAATGCCGTTCGAATCCTGATGAAGATTGCGAGAGCGAAAGGTTCTCTAGTAACCCGGCACAATTCATGGAGGAATCCTATTTCCAATGCACTGACATGAGAAAGAAGGTCGGTGCATGCAAGCAACGACGGGCGTCTCCTGACTTCGTAGTGATCCGATCGTCTGACTTACTACCCGAAACAGAGCAGTACTTGGATACGATGGGAATGGTTCCTGTGGACTCGTTCCCAAATGAACTCTCTAGCGTAACTTTTGGTGGAGGTGGAGGCACACCTCTAACTTCCTTCCAACTGTTTGGAGGTGCCATTACTCTACAAACAGACAATATTATTTTGTTTTCCGAAACAGCCATCGCGATAATCAAAGATAATCAACAGTAATGTTTTTGAATTTTCTTTCCAGCTTTTAATTATTTATTCGCGGCCTTGGTTGACGGCAACTCCATTGAGGCTTCCGAATCCCAGAGTTTCGAGCAAGTCTCTTGTATCGGGGTCAATTTGGATGGTCTCTTGTTCCAAAGCGGAAACCTCAGGGACAAAGTCTAGTCGGCGTTCACGCTCCTCTTCTTGAAGCTTCAAAGAAATACCACGGACTGGTCCCTTGGCAATTCGGCGCATCAAGTGAGTTGTGTATCCAGCAATCTTGTTGCGCATGCGCTTTGATGGAAGGATAGCAACCTCATCGACAATACGCTTGTTTGTGTGGAAATCAAGAGTAAGGCGTGTGTAGTATTTCTCGACGATAGTGCGAGCACTCTTCTTGACGGTCTTAGTTCGGACACCCTAAAAAACAAACAAGCGTGAGTATCTCTTCAAAATAAACTACAGTTTTGTGTCGTCATGGGATGAAAAACAAACTATCGTCCTCAGGGGTCTTGCGCAACTGTCCACGCAGCTCTGGCTTGATCTTGTTGCATGATAGCGCCGCCCCTGAAATTTCCGTCACTCTTTCAACTATCTATCCCATTCCTGACACTACGAAATACAATTTTCATTCGCACCATTGTTGATTCTAATCGACTATTTCTTGAATGTTGTTGCCTTGGTTGATTTTGTTGGGATGGACGCCACTATGTAAAACAAAGTACTGCGGAAGTCGGAGGAATCAAAACATCATTTTTAGTAGGTGGTAATGTGAGAGATAAAGTACAGAAATAGGTTTTCATTTAGACTAGCAGGACCGAAGCGAGAAACAGTCTCGATGGGACCCGGAAGACTAATTCAAAAGAATCCGACGAAGCACGTACTTTTGTGATGAAAACCTCCTCTTGTTAACAATGGAGATTTAGATCAAGTCAATCAATCAATCTGAAGGGACAATATTTTGGGTTCTTGGTTACTCTAAATTAGCGTTATGGGAATGGATTAGCTGAATATTTCTCTTTGGTTGACTACCCACATAGGTACATATTGTTCGACTTTATTTGATTGTACACAAAACAATATGATATGTCTTGTCTATACCAGAAGAGAAAAAGATCGTGTTGCACTTTGTGGTGGGCAAAATTGGCTTG